ATTAATGAAATAAGTATAATGTTACTATTAATGTGACTCACATCATCGTGAAGCATAAATTTGAAAATGACATATGCTTTACATGGGCTTTGCAAAGGAAACGTTGTATTTCACTTATTATTAACATGTTTTACATTCTGATTGTTGTTAATGCTAATTGAATTTGTTTTATTTCAGTGTAGGTTCAGAAATTGCATTTAAGATTGTCTGCATTCTTTACTTGTTTAATCTAATCCTGGACTTTACTAACTCTATTTCGGTGTTTTTCATTCTAACTATATGTATTGAAATGCAGTATAAAAGATAAAGCCTGAATCAAATGATTGACAACTCTAAAGATGGATCAATATTAATATATTCATTCATTAACTCTTAAAAAATTAAGTTAAATCATCACTTATATTTGTATTTGTTAAATATTATTGAAATTAAAAGATCCAGTATGTTTCTGACTAGTAGTGGGCATTTTTTCCCAAAAGTTTTAAGAAACCATTTGATTTATGGAGCATTTATTTAAAATTGCTTGGTAGTATACATAATTTTTTTAAGATAGCACTGAATGCTATATACTTTTAAAATGAGCTGCTTACCTCCTTTAAAATGAAAAGTGAGGCTGGGCATGGTATCTCACACCTGTAATCCCCATTCTTAGGGAGGCCAAGGCAGGAGGATCACTTGAATCCAGGAGGCTGAGACCAGCCTGGGCAAGATAGCAAGACCTTGTCTCTTTAAAAAAAAAAAAAAAAATTTAAATTAGCCAAGCTTGATGGTGCATACTGTTAGTTCCAGCTACATGGGGGACTGAGGTGGGAGGATTCATTGAGTTGAGGAAGTTGAGGCTGCAGTAAGCCGTAATCATGCACTCCAGCCTGAACAATAGAGTGAGACCTTGTCTCAAAAAAATAAAAAATAATAATACAATGCAATAAAAAAGTTGGAAATGCCTTTGAAATATTCTGACTGACACATTGAAATTGATAGGCGAAAATAAAATACTTCTTTCTTTACAGTGATACAATATACTATTCTTTACAAAATAGCAAAATACATTTGTTATATAAAGACAGTTTGTTTTGTCAATGGAGTTTGAAATCTCCCCATATCATTCAACCTCAACCCTATCCAGATCTCTTTATCTGTAGGAGTCTGTAGCTCAAAGCCAGATAACATAATTTTACATTATTGCTGATGTAACTTCAAGTCTTCTCTACCCTCTCCTTAAAAAGAGTAATTGTTATTATTAAGTTGGTAAAGAAGTTAAAGGCACACATATTAATGATTATACTGTCTTTTTTTTTTTAAATTTGTTTTTATGTGCATTATCTTATTTAATTAGCCCAACAATCCATTGAACATAGTGTAATGTTTAATAACAAATATAACATTGGCTTTTGCCCCATTGTTTGTCTTTTCTTATCTTGAAGAATCCCTTGATGTTATTGTTAACCAAAACATAAGAAATCCCACACTTGAATTATAAAGGTCCAGCATTGATCTGATAACAAGAACTGTTTCAAACCAAGAGTAGATTTTTGGAGTTTTGCTTTTCAAAACAAGCATTAACGTTCATTGTCTATATCTGACAACTTTTTGAATAGTGAAAATACGTACTTTCCCATTTTCTTTTAAAGTTAATGGTGTTAAGTAATATGGATGGAATCCAGGTTCATTTGAAATGTGCTACCCGCTCTGCTATTCCCTCCTCTCCACTCACCTTGGGTTTCTAGCTTCTGTATCAGGAAGATAACTTGGTTTTGCCTTGTCTCTTAAAGTAGGACTGCACAATTTAAAGTAAAAGTCATAAATCATGAAGAGGCCTAGACAAAGAAATCATTGTATGTCAGCTTTTGTTTGAGAGTTTTAATCAACTAGGAAGTGATTATCTTCCATACCTGGGTATTTAATTACTATCAAACAAACGGGTTCATGTTATATAGCCCATTGCAAATTGTTGGCTCCTTTGTAGGCTGCATGAAATACTTGTAAGTCAATTTTTACCAATGACCTAAAACCAATGATCCTTCCTCCCTCCCTCCTTCCCTCCCTCCCTCCCTTCCTTCCTTCCTTCCTTCTTCCCTACTTCCCTCCCCCCTCCCTTCCTCCTTCCCTCCTTCCCTCCCTTCCTCTTTCTTTCCTTTCTTCCTTCCTTTCTTTCTCTCTCTCTTTTCTTTTTCTCTCCTTTCTTTCCTTTCCCTTCCTTCCTTCCTCCCTCCCTCCCTCCCTCCCTTTCTTTCTTCCCCTCTCTCTTCTCCCTTCTCCTTCCTCCTCCCCTCTCCCCTTTCCTCTCTCCTCCCCTCTCCTCTTTCTTCTGCTTCTACTTCTGCTTCTCCTCCTCCTCCTCCTCCTCCTCCTCCTCCTCCTTCTTCTTTCTCCTTCTCCTTCTCCTTCTCCTTCTCCTTCTCCTTCTTCTTCTTCTTCTTCTTTCTTCTTCTTTCTTCCTTTTTTTTTTTTTTTTTTTTTTTTTTTGAGACAGAGTTTCACTCTCATTGCCCCAGGCTGGAGTGCAATGATGTGATTTTGGCTCACTGCAAGCACTGCCTCCCGGGTTCAAGGGATTCTCCTGTGTCAGCCTCCCAGGTAGCTGGGATTACAGGCATGCACCACTACTCCTGGCTAATTTTGTATTTTTTAGTAGAGACGGGGTTTCTCCATGTGGGTCAGGCTCCCTACCTCATGTGATCCTCCTGCCTCAACCTCTGAAAGTACTGGGATAGTAGGCGAGAGCCACTGCACCCGGTCCAATGTTTCGAAAGTAGGTTTCTCAGTATATTCTTTCATTTATTTTCTTGTTTCTCTAATGATATTTTCACAATGTAGTCAGCCTTAAACATTGCTTTCTTTGTGTAACTTTCCTTTTTAAAACTTTTAGGAATCCCTCTTACTGTAGTAAGTTCAAACCACTTGATGCTCACAAGAACTTGAGCTCAATTTTTTTGTTATTATCATTTTTGGTAAGGTTGATTTACTTATGTATTTATTGTGTGCCTGTTTAGTGCCAAGTAATGTGCTGGATACTGCAGATCAGCAGTGAATAAAGTTTACAAAGTGTCTGCTTCTGTGGTGTTTATTTTTTAAAGGGACTATAAATCAGTAAACGTGGTCAAACAGTAATTTCAACATTTAGGAGATACTGATAGGTGGGCTTCTTTCTGTTTGTTTCCTTCTTTTTCAGTAAATTTTTAAAAAATTATACATGGTGTATAACATGTTGCCCAGGCTGGCCTTGAACTCCTGAGCTTAAGTGATCCTCCCAGCTCAGCCTCCCAAGTAACTGGGACTACAAGCACATGCCACCACATGTAGCTCCAGTAAAATTTTTTATTCACTATTTTTATCATTTACAGGCTGGACAGCGTGTATTAAAATGTGAGTTCACTGACTAGCTATGTGATTGTAGGCAAATTACTTATCCTCTGCATTTCTTAATTTATACTATTATAAGAGATATATTAGTAGAAAATAACTCACAGTGTTCTTGTAAATATTAAATAAGTTAAATTCACAAGTACTTAACACAATGCTTGGTATATAGTTAAGACTTAGTAAAAAGAAGCTATTTTAAAAATTTTCCTGTTAAAATGTTCCCTAAACTGGAAGTTTACAAAGATGAAATATGCTTAGCACAGAATCATGTAAGTCTTGTAGTCAGTTATCTATTAAGACACTTTGATTTTATGTTAAATTGAAGAAAAAATACATCTAAGGTAACCTAAATCTTATTTTCTACTTTGTACTTCTTTATGAAATGTGTTAGGTATACATTAGTTTTTACTCAGTTAGTTCCTGGAGTCTCACTCTGTCACCCAGGCTGGAGTGCAGTGGCGTAATCTCAGCTTACTGCAACCTCCGGCTCCTGGGTACAAACTATTCTCCTGCCTCAGCCTCCCAAGTAGCTGGGATTACCTGTTCATGATACCACGCCCACCTAATTTTTGTATTTTAGTAGAAATGGGGTTTTACCATGTTGGCCAGGCTGGTCTCAAACTCCTGACCTCCAGTGATCTGCCCATCTCAACCTCCCAAAGTGCTGGGATTAATAGGTGTGAGCCACTGCACTGGCCAAATTGGACTTACTTTCTGACAATTTTAACTTCTGTCATATATTACTATAAAAATTGGCAAACCATGCTGATGAAATTAGGTACATATTTAGAGATTTCTCTGTTTACCCATCTCTATAATAAAAAAAATCAACTAAATTTACTTTTGAAGATTCTTCCAAGTCTGCAGTTCTATGATTGGCTGTCTTAACGTATTTCATGATTTCTCTCTACCTTCTATCAGCTGCTTAAGTTACTTCTGTGTGTATTACTTAGGCAGCCTCTTAATTTTATTTCCCTCTCACCAGTCTCCTTAGCCTTCCAGTCTGTCATACGCATTACTACTATACTATTAATAGTCTTAGTTATAATCCTTTCATCATCTCCTTTACTCAAGAAACTGTTTGCTCCCTCTTGCCCAAAAAATTAAATACAACCAGTAGCTTACCCTCCTTTGTAATTAGGCATCTTTATTTTTTAAATCACTGTTGTTGGTATTAGACTCCACTTCTCAACAGTGCTCTTCTATAATGTTAAGCAAGTGTTATTACACAAGTCTGTCCTGATCTGTATGTCTCAGACTCATTCCTCTAGCCACTCTTTTGTTTTCTTGCTGTGCTCCGATTCTCTCTGAATCCTTAATCGCTCTTACTTCCTGTATAAACATGTACTTGTTTTCTAGGCAGGTTTAGCTCAAATTTCACCTCTTCCATGACTTATTGATTACTGCTGTCATAACTTTCCCTGAAATATATAGGTTAGTGTTTATATTTCTGTATTAGTGATATAAACATTTATGAATACCATTAAAACACTGCTATTTTTAAAGTTTTCCTATATATAATAGTGCTGATATAATTATGTGCTAAGTAATTTTTCATTTCCTTGTTAGGTTTTAAAAAAGAACCTCTTTATATATGACTTTTCCCCCACTTAATGGCTTTCCCTTTTGTTTTATAGAGGCTGCAAGTCGGGCCATCGTCCAGTTCCTAGAGATCAATCAGAGTGAAGAAGCCAGTAGAGGCTGGATGCTTCTGACGACAATTAATTTGTTAGCTTCCTCTGGTCAGGTAAGTTCTTAGTTTTCACGTTTGATAACTCAGTCTTTTTTTATAGCTCTCTCGTGATTTTGTTATTAAATGTATCATAAATGAGATATTATGATAATCATTTGTATTCTTCTAACTCTTTTAAAACATGATATTATGCTTCTCACAACATCTCTGTGAGGATCTTGATGTTTTATGCATCTTACTCATAAGGAAAGGAATGGCTTAGAGCAGTCTTTTCCATCTTGATATGTTGTAACACACATAGAACATAACCATTTGTGACTGGGCTCAATGGCTCACACCTGTAATTGCAGCACTTTGAGAGGCCAGCCTGGGAATTGCTTGAGCCCAGAAGTTTGAGACCAGTCTGGGCAACATAGACCCCTATCTCTTTTTTAAAAACAAATTAGCGGAGCATAGTGGCCTGTACCTGAAGTCCCAGCTGTTCCAAGGCTGAGGCAAGAAGATTGCTTGAACCCGAGAGGTCGGGGCTACAGTGAGCCGTAATCACACCACTGCACCCCAGCCTTGGTGACAGAGTGAGACCCTGTCTCTAAACTGAACTTTTTAAAATGATACCACTTGTAGAGCTTTCTGGGCAAAGGGATAGACGATTACTGGCTGGAGGCAAGTAGCCCAGGAGCTCTGGGTCTATCAGACCCAGCTTAACACTTTTGTCACTCATTTTAGGGAAACTCTGGCTCAGGAAAAATAAAGAAATCACTCTTTATCTAAGGTCACTCAGCAAATAAAGAATAAATGACATGGAAAATAGTTTTAAATTTTTATGGAAATAAGGAAACTGACATTTTTAAGATAATATGTATTTTCTTCTCATTTGATTTATTCTGCAGATTGCTTTTTATTTCCTCTAAATCAGCTCTAAGTACCTGTCATGAAATATGTTGCATGTACTCATTAATGAGCTATTTTGATACCTGATTTTTGGCCTTTGATATTTTGGGGATAAAGGAGGTTTATTCAGCCTTCTAAAATCCAGAGTATAATTACCTACCAAAGTCAGTACCAGTCTTGGGAATGTCTGTTGTCTAAGTTACAGTGGACTTTCAAGCACTTCCCATCATTTAATAATGGACCTAGGTAACTGTAACATCATTGTACCATGTGACTGGCCACAGCAGATACAGTGCATACGTCTTAGTAACTATCCTGAAACCTGTCAGTAACCGAAAGGCATTATCTCTTATTTTCTCCTTGGAATGATCTGTTTTCTTCTTACGTCTTTGCTCTGTTTTTTCTTTTTACTTTTCCGTTTTTTTGGAAACAGAGTCTTGCTCTGTCACCCAGGCTGGAGTGGTGTGCGATGGCGCAATCTTGGTTAACTGAACCTCTTGGTTCACTGTGCCTCCCAAGTTAAGGTGATTGTCCTGCCTTAGCATCCCAAGTAGCTGGGATTACAGGCATGTGGCACCATGCCCAGCTAATTTTTGTATTTTTAGTAGAGAAGGGGTTTCACCATGTTGGCCAAGCTGATCTCAAACTCCTGACTTCAGCTGATCTGCTAGCCTTGGCCTCCCAAAGCGCTGGGATTACAGGCATGAGCCACTGTACCCGGGCCTCTTTTTTTTTTTTAAGTCAGGGAATATTGTGACCAATCTGTCCTGGAGTTCTTGGGATTTTCCAGGTTTTAGGAAAGGAAGGCCTGCCTCTCAGGAGACTGCACAGTCTCAGGCAAATGGAGATGGTTGGTTACTCTAAGAATCTTCAAATGGTCCCAGAGTAGACCATTCATAGTTTTCATGTATCTGACTACACTGGATAAATAACAAAATCTCAATTTTGTTTACTGTTGATGGTAGCTATAAATGTCCGTATGTTCCTACACCAAAATTTGGTTTAGAATAGCATATCTTTATTTGCTATTAAAACTTTATATAATTTAAATATTTACTATTGATATTTAATATAAGTAATATTAAATTTTAATATAGTTTTCTACATTTATTCATATTTTCTATAAAAACCTGATCATTTAAAAACTTACAAGTTTAGATGCCAAGTTATATGTTCAGTCTATCTACAATAAAAATGAAAATGAAACATCATACCACTTTGCTTAGCAGCAAGCTAATGCTAGTAATAATCTATCTGGAAATAGATACGTTTGAAAAGCAAATGCAGTGTTATGTTTGGAGTTGCCTTTTTTATTTGAGTGCTATTTTCTGCTGGTAGCAGCAATATACAGAGTTGACCAAAACATGGTCCCAACTCATTGTGTAGATGACAGAGATGACACAGAGAAAGCTAATACCATAATATTTCATAATGGGACATATATAGTAGTATTGAAAATAGAAATGCGAGAGTTAAACATTTTGAAGGTGAAGGTAGGAGGAAAGATGAGGAGTTCAGTAAACTTTGAGACATAGCAGGTGTTTAAACTGAACATTAAACGTATAGTAACATAAGTGAGTTAAGAGATAATAAGTCGCAGGTGAATAGAAAGAAGGGTTTAGAGTATTTGAGACAAGAAATGGTATGTTGAGTGTATAAAAAGGGGGCCACACCTTCAAGGGGTAGACTTGAAGCTCTCTCTTCTTCATCACCTGCTACTGCGTTAGTTTTGGCCCCATCTCTCTTTGGAGGGTTGGTTTCCTAATTACACTTGCCTTCTCGGTCTCTATATTTAATTTATGATCTGTATTACCACCAGCTAATTTTCTGAAATCTAGTTCTTTTACTTTTTTGTTTGGAGCACTTCATTGGGCCATCATTGCCAACAAAATAAAATGTGAAACTATTTTCTTTTCTGTTCTTTTTTTTTTTTTTTTTTTTTGAGACGGAGTCTTGCTCTGTCAGGCAGACTGGAGTGCAGTGGTGCGATCTCGGCTCACTGCAACCTCCATCTCCTGGTTTAAGCTATTCTCCTGCCTCAGCCTCCCAAGTAGCTGGGACTACAGGCACATGCCACAATGCCTGGCTGATTTTTTATGTTTTTAGTAGAGAAGAGATTGCACTGTGTTAGCCAAGATGGTCTCGATCTCCTAACCTCGTGATCCGCCCACCCTTGACCTCCCTAAGTGCTGGGATTACAGGCGTGAGCCACCGCCCCCTACCATGACTGTTTCTGTAAGTCTTAGCATACACACTTTGTAGGCCACTTAACCAGCCCTCCAACCTCAAGCAGGGTGTGTAAGTAACAAACCTCAGTTCAAAAATGATCCTTATTTTAGAAATGAAGTGTCTGCCTCATGAGTTGACTTAAGGAATAGATCAGACGATGTATGTAAAGTGCTTATTAGTCTTATGCCTGTTATATAGTAAACACTAATTCAAGGTTAGTCATTATTGTGGCTCTTTAGGAGTCAGCATTTTTGGACTCTGTGGTTCCTCAAAAATACTGTACCGTGTGGCGTGACCTCCTATGTCTCTTCCAGGTGATCTTTCCCTTTTTATTTTAATTCTTCATATTTTTTAATACCATTCCTGGCTGTGTTGGTCAATCCTTTTTATGTTAGTCTATATGTACTACCATGGTTAGACTGAAATCTTAAAGAGATTAAGTCATAGTTACTTAGGACTCTACAAATTCCAGTCAACTGTGATCTTTTGAAGGACAGAGGTGCTTTGTCTTTGCATGCCCAGCTCACAGCACACAGCTTGACATTCCCTGGACACTCCATAAATGTTCTATGAGAAAGTAAATAAACTAATCAACAGACTATGCCAGTCTATTGATCTCTAATTCAGTTAAACTTTTTGTTCCAAACTGCACAGTGGAAAATTTTGATAAATATTGTATCATATGTAATAATGTTGAAATGTTTACTGTAAGAAGGTCTAGAATTTCTTATCTGGATATCTTTGAAAATAATATGGAGATGAATATGTGTCAGTGATGCTTTATCTCTTAAGTGTCTTTCCAGCCTCAAAAATCTACAATGAGAATAAAGATAAAAATAATAGTAAAGCAACAATTAATATACAGTTTAGTGCTTAAGTTATCTTTGTATTTGTTAACTTACGTAATTCTCATGTTAACCCTCAGAAGCATATATAATTCTTTTTTTTTTTTTTTTTTTTTCTTTTTTGAGATGGAGTTTTGCTCTTGTTCCCAGGCTGGAGTGCAGTGGTGCAGTCTCAACTCACTGCAGCCTCCACCTCCCGGGTTCAAGCAGTCCTCCTGCCTTAGCTTCCCAGGTAGCTGGGATTTTGTGCCCGCCACCACACCTGGCCAATTTTTGTATTTTTAGTAGAGATGGAGTTTCACGGTGTTGACCAGGCTCATCTTGAACTCCTGACCTCAGGTGATCTGCCCACCTCGGCCTCCCAAGTGCTGGTATTACAGGCATGAGCCACCGTGCCTGGCCCATGGTGTATAATTCTTTGTGTTTTTATTAAAACGGAAAGTGAGGCCAGGCACAGTGGCTCATGCCTATAATCCCAGCACTTTGGAAGGCCAAGGCAGGCGGATCACAAGGTCAAGAGATTGAGACAATACTGGCCATCATGGTAAAACCCCGTCTCTACCAAAAATACAAAAATTAGCCAAACTTGCTGGTGTATGCCTGTAATCCCAGATATTCGGTAGGCTGAGGCAGGAGAATCGCTTGAACCCAGGAGGCAGAGGTTGCAGTGAACCTAGATCACACCACTGCACTCAAGCCTGGCAACAGAGCAAGACTCTGTCTCAAAAAAAAAAAAAAGAAAAGAAAAGAAAGAAAGAAAGGAAAGTGATCTCAGCAGAATTAAGTAGTTTGCTGAAGTTCATAGTTATTAAGAACCTGGTTTTCTAAATCCTAAAGCTTATGCTTCTTAAAACATGATGCTTTTTATTAAATAAATATTAAATTTAGTTGATAATTTACTATGTAACAAACTTATTCTCACTATTTGGTTAAAGCAAAATTGTCCAAATGCAAAGTTGTGTATTTCTTCACTTCTAGTCATTTTTAAATTCTTAACATGCATTTAAAAAGTTACGTTAATACATAATTTTCTGGGTTAACATTTATGAATTATTTGGCTGTACCAATTATAGTTGTGTCTGTCTGTCTATTGACTTATTTATTGGTTTGTTTTCCAGAAAACCGTGGACTGCATGACAACAATGTCAGTGCCTTCCACCCTGGTTAAATGTTTATATCTGTTTTTTGACCTTCCACATGTGCCTGAGGCAGTTGGAGGTGCACAGAATGAGCTACCTCTAGCAGAACGTCGAGGACTACTCCAGAAAGTCTTTGTACAGGTATGGAAGGTGCTGTTCGCCTGGACATCCACCCTATTTAAAGTGAAGTGGGTGTACTTCCTAAATAGATGTTCTACATATCCCATTTTTTTAGATCGTATTTTATTTTATTTATGCTAGTACGACTTTATCTCATATAATTGTTACTTTTTTTGAATCTGCAGGAATATTTGAGTGAGGCATTAACAACTTTGTTTCTCTGAACAGATGCAGCTATTAAGATTACATTTGATATATAAGCAATGTCTCTAAAATGAACTAAGCAAGGAAAACTCTTAAAAATGATATAAAGATTTGGGTAATATTTCTTATGTCTGGAAATTCTATCTAGTTGCTGTTTATATACAGGAAGTCCCTAGCCTGTAAATATTTCACTTGTAAAGATAGCTGCCTCCTTCTCTGCCCTGCCAGTAAAGTTCTTCTTTTCCACCATTAACACTGCTCTTTTAATAGCATTGTGGGTTAATAAATGTGTGATAGGCCCTTATTAGCTAGCCTGGAATATAGTCATCATGTATGATATCCTTTCTTGGGAGAAAATTGTCAAAAGAAGCAACTGACAAACATCTAGAATATAACTGTCCATTGGTCTAATATAGTATTTAAAAAAACAACATTTGACACAAAAAGACAAATTCTGCATGATTCCACTTATATGATGTATCTAAAGTAGTTATATAGGTAGAACAAAGTGGAATACTGGTGGCTAGGAACTAAGGGAAAGAAGAAAAGTTAATTATTTTTCTGTAGGAATAGAGTTTCAGTTTTGCAAGATGAAGAACAGTTTTGCAGAACAGTGTACATGTAGTTTCAGTTTTGCACCACAGTGTACATATAGTTAACACTACTGTACGACATACTTAAAACGGTTAAGATGGTATATTTTACATGTTTTTTAACCTAATCAACAGTTAAAAACAATAACATGTTTGGATTTAGTTCTCTATAGCTAGTTCGTCTGTGATACAGATTTTGCACCAGTAAAATGAAAATGATATCTACGTAAAAGGTTTTTTGAGGCTTAAATGAAATAATATGTAAAGGCTGTTTTCAGCTTAGCACACAGTAAATCTGAAGGAGAAGTAACTGTGATTACTGCTGCCGCCTCCATCACCACAATTGAGAGTAGAAGAGAACAGAACAGTGGATTGGAGTAGAAAAGATAGAGCTGTGTAGAGTAATGGTTGCACCTCATGTTACTGGGCTCTACTGTAAGAATGACTGCTTTGTAGAGCTGGTAGTTATGAAAAGACAGGAGTGAGACAAAGATAGTTTTAGAAAGTAAAAGAATGAGATTATCAAGTAAAATACTAAATCAACGTTTATTGAACACTTGACCTATTGGATATTGTTGTGCTTGTGGTTAACATCTCTCATCTCACATCTCAATTTGCAAGATAACCCCACAACTTCAGAGCTTTTGTTTTCCCCCAAAATGATTACATGAGCAAATGGCAGAAGTGGGATTAAAATAATAAGATCTGTCTAACTCCTGAAATAGATTGGGTGAGAAAAGCAATGGGAATAAATGAAGGATGACATCGCATAGGAATTAAAACTGCTTGAATATACTCCCTATAAATACAGTGGGTTAATCTTTTCGAGTTAGAATAGCAGCCTCATTTCAATAAACCCCTTTTAAAGAACTGCCTATTTCCTTAGGTAATAAATGGAATCTGCATTTTATGCTATTAATACATAAGTAAGCGTAGCAGGTTTTTTTTTTTTTTTTTTTTTTTTTTTTTTTCAAATTATTTCTGTTTGAAAACCAGGTGCTAACTTTGTCATGTGGGAGTCACTTCAGCATACTGAAGTCATTGCATATTAAGGCCAAAATGGACTCAAAAGATAAGTTAAATCAAACTCCTCATTTACAGTTATGGAAACTAATATTCCGGTTTATGATCCACAGTAGGCGAGTGACAGTGATAAAAACCTGGTTCTTCCAACTCCTAGTTCAGTGCTCCTTTCAGTGTATCACTTTCTTTGTTTTAGTTACTCATCACAGGCTAGTTAATGTTTTCATCATTGTGTCTAGGAAACCAATTGAGACAAGCTTATTAAATGTTTTAAAATAGATGAAATCCTTACGTTTGTATTTTGTGACAGATGGTTTCCTGGGACTTTAGCATTTGGTAATGCTTCATGCAGGCGTTCAGTTTTTTGTTGTTGTTGTTATTGATGTGGCCAATTATTGCTCTGCCACACTTGGTTGGACCTTTGTAACAGAGTTCTTACAAATATAAGTGGTTATTGTAGAGGTAGAGAGGAATAAGAAATTTTTTTTAGGGAGAGTCTTGCTCTGTCTCCCAGGCTGGAATGTAGTAGCACAGTCTTGGTTCACAGCAACCTCCGCCTCTTGGGTTCATGCGATTCTCATGCCTTAGCCATCCGAGTAGCTGGGATTACAAGCTGCACTACAATGCCTGGCTAATTTTTTTGTTTTTAGTAGATATAGCGTTTCTCCATATTGGCCAGGTTGGTCTTAAACTCCTGGGCTTAAGTGTTCTTCCTGCCTCAGCCTCTCAAAGTGCTGGGATTATTTTTGGGGTTGCAGGCGTGAACTACCATGCCTGGCCAGGAATGAGAAATTTACCTTACAGTTTTCTGTTCTGTAAAATGAAAGGATTGTGAGATTATTTGTAAGAATCCTTCTGCCTATGAAGATGAACCAATTATCTTAGGAGTCAATAAATTAAAGGAATCCTTGCATCCATGTTGAGAACAGTGATTTGATTTGTAAAAAGTATTTTGTTATTTTTGGGTTTGTTTTCTATGTTCCAAATTAGAAAACTGACATCTGTCCCTCTAATCACATCAGGCAGTGTCAAAACCAACAAAAAGTATAATCAGTAATACACCCCTCTGAGAATATACCTTTTTGTTGCATTTAACTATCTGTATTCACATATGGTAAAAGATGGTGACATTATACATATTAATGGGCATTTGGTATCCAGCAGTTTCTCCAGGCATTTGGTGAGAATGGTGCCATATTTAGTGATTTTTAAAAATATTTTATTGTTTTTATGAATTCTTAAATCTTTTTTCCTTTCTGATACTTGGCAGCTATGGATTAGAAAGCTTTTATATCTAAGCAAATTTTTGCATTTGAAGGAAATAGGAAAAGGAAGACCTAGTTTTCTCAGATAAAATGTGATATTTCAAATACCTATTTCTATTGAGCATGTTTTTTTCCTTTTTTCTTTTTTGAGACAGGGCCTCACTCTGTCACCCAGACTCAAGTGCAGTGGCACGATCACAGCTCACTGCAGCCTCAGCCTCCTGAGCTCAGGTGTTCCTTCTATTTCAGCCTCCTAAGTAGGTGGGAATACAGGCACATGCCACTATGCCTAGCTAATTTTTTGTAGAGATGGACTTTTACCATGTTGCCCAGGTGGGTCTCAAAATCCTGGACTCAAGCAATCTGTCTATCTTGGGCCTCCCAAAGTATTGGGATTAAAAGCATGAGCCACCACTCCTGGCTGCGATTTTCCCGCTGATGCTGAAATACCAAAATTTCATGAAGCATTCTTTTTCAAGAAAATAAAATGATGTCATTAATTAGTTATTTTATTCATATTACATATTTTAAAAAATATTTAGAAGAGAAAATTTAGCAAAGAGAAGAAAAGTTAATTTTTCCTAACTTGACCTCGTATTAGAAGAGTCCATTGAAGGCAGAAACCATTGCTGAATTCCCCAAGTGGCAGGCTCTTAATGCTGTGTGCCCTTGTGTAGTGTGTATTCTGCAAATCACAGTTAAAAAATAAGTTCTCATTCCGGAATTTAAGAAGTCTTGAGTCTTCTTTGAACGCCAGACTTTAGGTTTTAGATGTAATTTTAAAATACTTTGAAATGAAGATTATTTGTATCATTCTAATATCTCCTATTACTTGCATAGAAAAGTGAAACAATTTCAAAATATGTTTACTTTTAAAGATCTATTTTTATTTTCTTTTTTTCCTAAAACTCTACTTTTTGGAGACGAAAATTACATTTCACCTGTGGCAAACTAAAAATTAAAGAACTAAGTTAGGAAAATAAAATGTTGACTTGGAAAGGCAATGTTATTTTATTGTATTTCAAGCCAAGGTATGCAAAAATACTAGGGTGAAGATAGGATAGTAAATATTTTCTTAAAAATAAGCTGATTATTTTCTTAAAAATAAGTAAGACTAGTTTACTGTCGTAACATAATTTCCCATTTATTTACTTACATACACTCTTAGATTTTGTTTTTAACTTTCATTATTTTAATTGACAAATAATAATTGCACATATTTATAGCTCACAGGGTAATGATTTTTATGCATACAATGTGTAATGATTAAATCAGGGTAACTAGCATAATATATCTGTCACCTTGAACATTTATCATTTCTTCACATTGGGAATATTCAAAAATTCATCCTTCTAACTATTTAAAAATATACAATAAATTGCTTTTTTAAATAATATCACCCTATAGTGCTATAGAACACTGGAACTTACTCCTGTCTAACTGTACTTTAGTCTCCCTTAACCAGCCTTTGGCTAGCCCCCCTCCCTTTCCCTTTCCCCTTTCCTTATCCACCAAAGAGTAGAATTTGGTAACCAAAATTGTCCTCTTTACTATTATGAGATCAACGTTTTAAGCTTCTACATATGAATGAAAGCATTCAATACTCATCTTTCTGTGCCTAAATTATTTTTTTTAACATAATGTCCTCCAAGCTTGTCCATGTTGCCTTGAATGACAAAATTTCATTCCTTTTTATGGCTGAATAGTATTAGATTGTGTTTATATTCCGTGTTTTCTTTATCCATTGATCTGTTGGATACTTAGGTTGATTCCGTATTTTGGCTATTTGGAATAGCACTGCATTAAATACGGAAGTGCGGTTATCTCCTTGACGTAGTCATATCATTTCCTTTCTATACATACCCTGTAGTGGGATTGCTAGACCATATGGTAGCTCTCTTTTACTTTTCTGAGGATGCTCCATACTGTTTTTCATAATGGCTGTACTAATTATATTCTTACCACCGGTATATAGGAGTCCCTTTCCCTACATCCTCACCAGCATCTGTTCTTTTTTGAGAATAGCCATTCTAACTGGCTTGAGGTGATACCTTATTGTGGTTTTAATTTTCATTTCCCTGATGATTAGTGATGTTGAGCATTTTTTCATATACATGTTGGCCATTTCTATGTCTTCTTTTGAGAGAAGTCCATTCAGCTCATTTGCCCATTTTTAAATCAGATTATTTGATTTTTGCTTATACACTCTTGTTTTGTTTTGTTTTTTAGATCTTAGTAAAACTGTGCAGTTTTGTTTCCCCTGCGGAGGAGCTGGCCCAGAAAGATGATCTCCAGCTTCTATTCAGTGCAATAACCTCTTGGTGCCCTCCCTATAACCTGCCTTGGAGAAAGAGTGCTGGAGAAGTCCTCATGACCATATCTCGTCATGGTCTTAGTGTCAATGTAGTGAAGTATATTCATGGTGAATATCTCTTTGTATACTTAAGTGTTCTAAATTTCTTCCAATTTTCTTCATTTAATGATAGATTTATTTTTATCTTGCAGTTTTCTAAAACTTGTTCTTTAAAATAAAAAATAAATTTGCAAAGAGAAAAAAGACTTTTTTTTTTTTTTGAGACAGAGTCTTACTCTGTCACCCAGGCTGGAGTGCAGCGGTGCAATCTCGTCTTACTGCAACCCCCACCTTCCGGGTTCAATCACTTCTCTGCATCAGCCTCTCAAGTAGTTGAGATTATAGGCACCCGCCACCACACCCGGCTGATTTTTGTATTTTTAATAGAGATGGGGTTTCACCATCTTGGCCGGGCTGGTCTTGAACTCCTGGCCTCGTGATCCACCCTCCTTGGCCTCCCAACGTGCTAGGATTCCAGGCGTGAGCCATTGCGCCTGGCCAACAATGGATATTTCTAAGAGTTAAAAAAATTTCTTTGTTGTGTAAATTTAGTCATAATATAATGAGAGTTCTGTGTCACAGCCTAATCTTCTCTCCTCTTTTACCAAATAAGAGAAGTTTTTTTGATTTCCTGTAACCCGTCTTTCTGAAGATATTGCATAAGTCGCTAGGTAGTATTCTGTCTGATGTGGCATACATGGATTTAGGTGGATTCTTTATCAGCAATAAGAAGACACTGTCAGTTTAATGTATATGTAATATTCAACTGTCTTTTAAAATGTCTGTTTGGAGACAGTTGCCTTAGCATCTCAAGCAATCTACTTATTTGTTATACATGCAGACACTCCTTGATTTACGATGGGGTCATGTCCCAGTAAATGCATGGTAATTTGAAAATAGCATAAGTCGAAACACATTTAATACACCTAACCTACCAAACATCGTAAGTTAGCCTAGCCTACCCTGAAAGTAGCTAGAACACTTATGTTACCCTATAGTTGGGTAAGATTATCTAACCACATAATCAACTTGATTATAAAGTATTAAATATCTCATGTAATTTCTTGAATACTATTCTGAAAGTGGAAAACTGATTACATGGGTACATGAAGTATAGTTTCTACTGAATGCATGTTGTTTTCACACCATCATAAAGTAGAAATACGTTGAATCAAACCATCATTAAGTTGAGAACTACCTGATATTATTGTCCTGAAACTCTTTAAAAATAATTAATGCACAAATTTGTTAAATCACACGTATTAACTGATACATGTGAAAGCTGGTACCTAATATATGAGTCAGTTATTAAATACGTATTTCCTCCCATTCCTCTATTACATCTTAGCTTTTCTTATGTAATGGTAAGTTTCTTTATACAAATAAATTTCTCTAAAGATAAGAAAGTGAAAGTCTTCCTTGAAATGCCACAAATCATCAAGAGTCAGGGATAAGATATAACTGTGTTTCAAACTAGTAATATACAAATAAAATTTTAAAAATTTGATTTCCTGAAGTATTTCTGTATCTCATTGGTCTATATTCTCTCTAATTTTTATTTTGTTTTATTTTATTTATTTTGAGATGGTCTCGCTCTGTCACCCAGGCCGGGGTGCAGTACAGGGATGTGATCTCGGCTCACTGCAATCTGTGACCTCTGGGTTCAAGCGATTCTCCTGCCTCAGCCTCCCAAGTAGCTGGGGCTATAGGCGCTAGGCTAATTTTTGTATTTTTTAGTAGAAACAGGGTTTCACCATGTTGGCCAGGCGATATATTCTCTCTAACTTAAAGTTTTAACTGATTGCTAGATTTTTCTTCTTAAACTTAGAAGAAGACAGATGTTTGCTTTTTTCATCTTTTACTGTATCAGTATAAAAGATCAAAAATATCATTTGGCAGTGGCTATTTTGTAATGATGTGAAAAAATTATGTGTAAATACATTGTATTATCTTTTGTTTACTACCTACAGGCAGTGCTTTCCCGGTGCATCTGACTGATATTGACTTTTAGAATGTGTAATGTTTATCTCATAGTATTTTACAGATATGTTAAAATTTAATGTTTCATTAAACAACAGTTAACAATTAAAAGGTTTTAAGCAATTGTCAGAAGTAATACATATTTATTTAATTATCTATTCTTACAGAGAAAGAATGTTTATCTACATGTGTTCAGAATATGCAGCAATCAGATGACCTGTCTCCCCTAGAAATTGTTGAAATGTTTGCTGGGCTTTCTTGTTTCCTCAAAGATTCCAGTGATGTTTCCCAAACACTTCTGGATGATTTTCGGATATGGCAAGGATATAATTTTCTTTGTGATCTCTTGCTTAGGTAAGACTGCACAATTTAATAATATGTTTTAAATGTCTACTCAGTCTTTTTTTATCAAAGACAACAAGTGATTTGGGGGTTATAAAAAAAAGCAAATTAATGAAACACTTATTTAATGTATACCTGGCTTTATTCCCTTCTTTTTCTGGTGTGATCTCAGCTCACTGTAACTTCATATTCCTGAGCTCAAATGGTCCTCCCACCTCAGCCTCCCAAGTAGCTAAGACTACAGGCATGTGCCGCCATACCCAGCTAATTTGTAAACATTTTTTGTAGAGACACCATCTCGCTATGTTGCCTAGGCTGGTCTCAAACTCTTGGCCTCAAGCGATCCTCCAGCCTTCCAAAGTTCTGAGATTATGGGCATGAGCCTTCTCCCTTCTCTTTACTCCTCTTCTGCCAACAGAGTGGAAAAGTGAATTTAGAGTTAAATTGCCAAATGCAGGCCAAAAACATGGTGAAGGGAGAGGTTAGATATGAAGCATAAATCTACTCTTTGGTAGCTGAGGGAGAAGAATTTAGATGAACGAATTAACATCTTCTTAAAGTATAAACTCTTCTTAATTATATTTTTGGTTATCTTTATTTTATAGTACTTCTAATCTTTTTACTAATGTAGTTAATAACAAGAATAATTATGTAGATGGAATGAAACCTTACAATTGTGTATATGAAACAAATTAGTAATTTCAAAATATGTTACTAATCCCCTTTTCCATTTCAAGTGGTTCGTGCATATACTTTGAAAGTGGTTGGTTACAGATTTTATTAAGAAGAAGATACTCATTAGTTTTCAGTAGCTATTCCTGGGCCATTGGTTATTTTTAAATCATTTGATCTATTGTAAGACACCACTGTTTCCTTTCTCCCCTCCCTCTTCCTTCCTCCCTTTCCCTCTCTTCTTTCCCCTGCTCCCCGCCTCGCCTTTCCCCCTTCCTTTCCCTCCCCTCCCTGCTCTCACTGTGTTCCCAGGCTGGAGTGCAGTGGCTAATCATAGCTCACGTACTTTCAAACTCAAGACGTCCTTCTACCTTAGTTTTCTAAGTAGCTACACCCAGCGCTCGCTCGCTCGCTCTCTCTCTCTCTCTCTCTCTCTCTCTCTCTCTCTCTACCTATCTGATCTATAAATCTATTTGGTAGAACCTGTGTTGCCCAGACTGGAGCCAAACTCCCAGCCTCAAGCATTCCTCCTGCCTTAGCCTCCTGAAGCACCAGGACTATAGGCATGAGCCACCATGCCTGGCCAGAACTTGTTTTTTCTAACACCAATTTAACCTAGTTCCTGCTAGTTAACATGAGATAACCCCTAGGAATATCATTTTGGATATATTTGCAAATTTATAAAAGAGGATGTGTGAAAGTTGATGAAATAACCACTTCACATTTCTAGTGGAGTATTAATTGATTCATCCTTTGAGAACATAGGCTGACAAGATGTTAAGAGCCTCAAAAATGTTGGTAATCTGATACAATAATTTCATTTATGTTTACTGATCCTAAAGATATAGTTCTACATGTAGACAAAATTGTATTTGTTAGTGCTTTTGTATCTGCCAGCTGTTGCCCCTCTCCCTCCCCAAATGTGTGGCTGGCTCTGCATGGCCACTGAAAGCTCTGCTCTGAGAGCTTATACTATCATGTGGAAGTACACATACAGCACTGGTAAAGGATAAAAATAGGTTACAAAATTCTGTATATAATATGAGAATAAATACTGTAAACACTAATCTTTTCATATTGAAAGATAAGCTTAAGAAATATATCAGAATGTTAAATATGTTTGTGAGGCTAATCGTGCTTTTTCTTCTTTCCTACTTTTTTGTATTATCCAAGTTTATTATTTATTTATTTATTTTTTGAGACGGAGTCTTGCTCTTTAGCCAGGCTGGAGTGCAGTGGCAAGATCTCAGCTTACCGCAGCCTCCACCACCCGGATTCAAGTGATTCTCCTGCCTCAGCCTCCTGAGTAGCTAGGACTACAGGTGTGTGCTATCATACCTGGCAAATTTTTGTGTTTTTAGTAGAGATAGGGTTTCACCATGTTGGCCAGGATGGTCTCGATCTTTTGACCTCGTGATCTGCCCGCCTCAGCCTCCAAAAGTGCTGGGATTACAGGCATGAGCCACTGTGCCCGACTCTCCAAGTTTATTTTAATGAGAATGATTACTTCTTTTAAGCGGAAGTACACAGTAAGTTTTTTTTTTTTTTTTTAAGATATTTGTTGCAACCCATTTTGTGTTCTCAGTAAAGCCATGGTTAAATGATAATTCTCTAATGACCCCAGTGTTCTTTCAGCACTTCTCAGAGTACTTTATGCATTTATTTACTGCATGTAAAATTGAAAAACACTTTCTGTGTTAAATCTGAGAACACATCCAAAGAGAAAAAATACTTTCTAAATCATACTTTTCTAGATTGGAACAAGCAAAAGAGGCAGAATCCAAAGATGCCTTGAAAGATCTGGTTAATCTGATAACTTCCCTAACAACATATGGTGTCAATGAACTAAAACCAGCTGGTATTACCACAGGGGCACCCTTTTTATTGCCTGGATTTGCAGTACCTCAGCCTGCAGGCAAAGGTGAGTCTTTGTTTTTTTAATTCTGTGATACTGAGAGAAATAGGGAAAGAATGATTTGTCTTACTTTGATATATTACTTCTTGTTTATGTTATATATTGTTTACCTTAAAGCTTGTTTTTTTATGGTTTAAGTCCTTGTGTTTCTTAAGTAATAATCTTTAATCTGACAGATTAAATACTTTAATGTTGTAAAATTATCATAAAATCAAACAGAGAGATTTGTATTATAGTATTTCTAACATTCAAACAATTTAATAATCAAAACATCCTTCTTTTGAATGTTGGCACTTCATGCATTTCTACTTTACATGGAGAGAGCTCAATTTTCAGTCCAGTTTCTGTACCTATATATAATCATCTGTTAGTATCTGTAGGGGATTGATTCTGGGACCCCCCACAGATACCAGAATTTACAGATACTCAAGTCCCTGATATCAAATGGCATAGTATTTACATATAATCTACAATTTGCATATACCTTAAACGTGTCTTCCCATATACTTTAAATAAATAGTCTCCAGATTAGTTATAATACCAAATATAATATAAATGCTGTGTAGTTATTTTACTGATGTTATTTAGGAAATAATGACAGGGAAAAAAGTCTGTACATGTTCAGTACCGTTGCAACCACACCTTTGTTTTTCTTTAATATTTTTCATCTGTGGTTGGTTGAATCCACAGATGCAGAACCCATGGATACAGGGGCTGACTCTGGACAGCATGAAGCATAACTGCTTGTATTTTATTTAAAACTAAGCCAATTTAAGTACAGATGTTATATTATTTCATTCAGGTCAGAGGATAAATTTTTATAAATTTTTATCGTCTAGATTTCCAAACATTTGGATACTAAGAATATTTTATTACATAATTATGCAAGGTAGTTTTATTATATATTTGGTTTTTTAAAAAATGTATAGTAATCATTTCAAAGTAACCTGAGCCCGGAGGCCTCTAATAGTTTTTATTCACATAACTGTCACTAAGTAATCAATAGGATCGTGATATTTCCATATAAAATTTAGCCAAAAAATACCAACATGTCTGGTTATTTAAATATATACTATGTATCTATGCATTTTATGACATAGAAGTCAACAATCTGTAAATCAATGAAAATGGTGTCATCAAACAGTATGATATGATGTAGCCTTAGTGCGTAAGTTGTTTATAACATTTTAAATGAGTCTCTGCAATAAGTAGGGAGAAATCCACATTTCCCTAAACGATTTAAGGTTTCATTTTATTTACTATTAAGAAAATCATGGAGTAGCAATTCACACCTATAATTCCATTTACACAGGAGGATCTCTTGAGCCCAGGAGTTCAAAGCTGCAGTGAGCTATGATCACACCACTGTACTCCAGCCTGGGTGACAGAGCAAGACCCACTTTCTCTTAAAAGCAAAAGAAAAAAATAAGGGCTTCTCAGAAAACTTCTAATTTATAGATTCCAGCTTGACCATTCTACAGTTAACTCTTGCTATGAATTAATATAAAAATATCACAGCAATGTACTTCTTATTTTATACTTTCTTGTTGTTTCATTTGATTAATCAATGTGATGTTGATATTGGCTTAATAGCTAATTACAACAGTATAATTTTGTAGCAAAATTAATCTTTTGCATATATCATTGTCTGGTTTTGTCTCATTCATAACAGGGATAATAATTATATAACCTAGCACCTCACAGGGTTATTGTAAGAATCCAGTGACATAATGTCTATGAAAGTAAGGTTATCTAGAAAGTATGTTGCCCAAAGAGTCAGAATTTATGTAATCATAAATGACCTAACTTTTCTAAACATCATTTTCTTCTTCAGAAAAATTGATGTAATATTCTGTAAAGTGAATGGGTCAAGCTACATCATTCTGAGTTTCCTGTATAACTCAAAATTTTCTGTTTCTCATGTCCTACTTTTAGTATTATTGCAAGAATCAAAGGCGATAGCTGTATTCAATATAGAAAGAATGTGGAAGAGGTTCTTTTATATTTCTAGCAGTATTGAGATGTAATTTGTGTACATTAAATGTATTCATTTGAGTTGAATTTGATGAATTTTGACAAGTGGATATGGTTGAGTAATCACCACTGTTATCATTATGTGGAATATTCTCATCCTTCTAGAAAGTTTCCTTGTTCTCCTCGAAGTCAGTCCTCCCTGCCTTAACCCTTGTCCTGGCAACCACTAATCTGCTTTAGTTTTGCCCTTTCTAGGACTTAATACACTGCAATCATACAGTATATAGTTTTTTTTTTTTTTTTGTACCTGAATTCTATCACTTAAAGTATAGTAGTCCCCTCTTAACCAGGGGGAATGTGTTCCAGGGTCCCCAATGGATACCTGAAACCATAGATAGTACATCTCTGTTTTTCCTCCACATACATACATATGATAAAGTCGAATTTATAAATTTGTCACAGTAAGAGATTAACAACAATAATAAAATGAACAATTATAGCAATATACAGTGATAAAAGTTATGTAAAGGTGTGCTGTCTCTTAGGAGGATGAGTGCTCTCTCTCACACACACAAAATATCTTATTGTATGTAATATTTTCAGACTGTAGTTAACCGTGGGTAACTGATACCATGGAAAATAAAACCATGAATATGGGAGGACTATTGTAATACTTTGGAAAATCACCCATGTTATTGCATGTATCAGAAGTTTGCTTCTTTTTAATGCTGGGTATTATTTCATTGTTTGAGTAGTTCACAACTCTGTATATCTCTTCACCAGATGATGGACATTATTTGACTATCAGGAATAAAGCTACAGTGGACAGTTACATAAAACAAATCTTTCTGTGGATATACGTTTTCATTTCTTTTAGCTAATACAGAGCAGTGAAATTGCTAGATCGTATGGTAAATACATGTTTAACTTTATAAGAACCTGCCAGAGTATTTTCTAAAGTGGCTGTCCAGTTTTGCATTCATATCAGTAATGTAACGTATGAAAGTTCCAGTTACTTCACGTTGTCAATACAAGGACTTGGTATTTTTAGTCCTTTTAATTTTAGACATTCTACTAAGTATGTAATAATATCTCATTGTTATTTTAATTTTTGTTTAATTGACTAATTCACATTTTATCTTTAAAATTCACGTTTTATCTTCACATTTCGTTTATCTAATTGACTAGTTCACATTTTTTAAATGCTTTTCACTATTTGTTTCTCTACTTTGGTTCAGATCTCTGTGTCTATTGTTTGATAGGGTGATTTTATTGAAGTTAGAGGAGTTCTTTAGATATTCTATATAAGCTCTTTATCTCTTAATATGTATTTTGGAAGTGTGTTCTCTTAGTCTTGTCTTGCTGGTTTTTTTTTTTTTTTTAATGCATCTAATGAGAAATGGAAATTTTTAATTTTGATGAAACCCAGTTTTTTATTTTAAGAATATTTTTTGGTTATTTTACTCCTGTTGAAGAAATCTTTACTTCACATTTACAGAGATCTCTAATGTTTCCTTCTAATTTTTTCTTTATCCAGTGTTTCATATTTTAACCCTTAAATTAAGGTCCATGATACATTTTAAGTTATTATTATATAGGATAGAAAGTAAGAGTTTCTTTTTTAATGTAGATATCTGAATGTGCCAGAACACTTTGTTGAAAAGATCATATATGACTGCATATATTTGAGACACTTTTTGAATTTTGTTTTATCCATATGTCTATCCTTAAGCCAATACCACACTGTCCTGATTGCTGTAGCTTTATAATGTACCTTAAAATCAGGTCACTTGTTTCGTTCTTTCTTCTCAGCATCATATTGGCTATTCTAAGTCTTTTGACTTTCCGTATAAATTAATAATCATGAGAATAATTTTTTTGAAAGCTGCTGAGATGTTGATTATTCTTTCGCAGACATCTTTACTTTTTACATTCTGTAGGTAACCAGAAAACAAACTTAGGTAGACTGATAGACACAGGATACAAAGATAAGTTTTTGGTATTTGCCGTACATGTAATAAATGTGTATGTTATAAACAAGAAGCCAGAAAATGGAAATCAATTGGCTGGAGATTTTTTAAATTCTGTGTATTTTAAAGAAATGTCCAAGTAAGGATTTCTTTTTTCTTTATTGTTTTACAGACAGTTTTGCTTTCTGTCACCCAGGCTGCAGTTCAGTGGTATGATCATAAGTCACTACAACCTCAAACTCCTGGGCTCAAGCAGTCCTCCTGCCTCAGCCTCCTAAGTAGTTAGACCTACAGGCACATGCCACCATCCTCAGCTAAATTTTTTTTTTTTAAATTTCCTGTAGAAATGGAGGTGGTCTTGCTATGTTACCCAGGCTGGTCTAGAGCTGCTGGCCTCAGGCAGTCTTCCCAAAGTGCCAGGACTACTGGCATGAGCTACTGCCCCCAGCCCTGAGCATTATTTCTCCTGCATTTAATAATTTTTGTAGTTCTCTGGTTTATCCTCTTTCTAAAATCCATCTTATTCTGTGGGACACTACGTTAATTTTTGGTCACACTTGCAAATGCTGTATACTCCTAATAGCTGTTGTTCTGGGGACTACTTTTAGAGGCAAGCTGCTTATTTTCATGTACCTCAAGTATAACTTTCTGTCTTAATTTCTTTGTGATTAATATCACTAATTTACTTCACCAGAGCTATGTATAAAGTTTTTTTTTTTCATTTGATATGTTTGAATAGCTGGCTATAAATTGCTTTAATAAATGTCTATATGAAGAAATTGTACTTTTAGCTAGAAAACAAACTTTCAGCTTAAAATTTATAAAAATCATAGTGGTATAATTATAAAGAAAAACTGGAATTTAGAGAATTTTTTCCCTTCTGTTCTCCTGCTTCATTCTTGCTGCTCTCAGTCCTGTAACATCTTTAGCCTGAAAGTCTTTTTAAATTGAAAGACAACTGTCCTTATAGTCAGGGTCAATCTCATAGATAATAAAATGCTATACTACCACACATTTCCAAACTCTGAAGCATGGTTGTTTATAATATGCTTTTATTCTCTCTAAAACAATCTAACTTTTCGACATACACTGTTTTTGCATTGAAATAGTCATAATACATTAAAATTTTAATCAGCGTTGTTTATTTTTATTAAATAATTTGAACCTGATGAAGAAAAATAAGACCTTTTGTGAAAACAGGGTTATGTTCTTAGTAAATAATTAATAAATATGATAATTCATGATGTGTTTAAGCAGATTAGTCTACCGTTATTAAAATATCATATGGTACCTACTTTTATATTTTTCTTTTCTGTTTTAGGTCACAGTGTGAGAAACATCCAGGCCTTTGCAGTTCTTCAGAATGCATTTTTAAAAGCAAAATCCAGCTTTCTTGCCCAAATCATCCTTGATGCTATCACAAATATTTACATGGCTGACAATGCCAATTATTTCATCCTAGAGTCACAGCACACATTGTCACAGTTTGCAGAGAAGATTTCTAAACTCCCAGAAGTACAAAACAAGTACTTTGAGATGTTGGAGTTTGTCGTTTTTAGCTTAAATTATATTCCTTGTAAAGAACTTATTAGTGTCAGTATCCTCTTAAAATCTAGCTCTTCTTATCACTGTAGCATTATTGCAATGAAAACGCTTCTTAAGTTTACAAGACATGACTACATATTTAAAGATGTGTTCAGGGAGGTTGGCCTTTTGGAGGTCATGGTCAACCTTTTGCATAAATATGCTGCCCTCTTGAAGGATCCAACTCAGGCACTAAATGAACAAGGTGAAGTATTATCTGTAATTTTATTTTTATTTGAAAAGGGTTTTTTGTTCTCGTTCCCATTGTTTGGTTATTGATTTCAGTGATTTCCTAATGAAACCTAACTTTACTAAATATTTTGTTTAATTTTGGTCTCAATTTCTCTTATATCCTTTTCTGTCATTAACAGATAGTCCAACTATATTTATAAAATATCACTCTTGCTCTTTAAAAAAGATTACTTGAAATTTTAGTTAACATCAAAAAGCTCTTAGGCAACAATGTGTATTATTATGACATATTAGTTAACTGTATTTCCCAAAGTTAACAGGTTCATTTAACCTCTGTTGGGGAATTGGGGAGGAGGAAGCTAGAATTACGTCAGTGTGTTGGAGAGAGCTTAAAGGAAGACAAAAACTAAGGAAAAACATGTATGATCTATATGACTGGTATCTACTACCTTCTGCTTCCAAAAGGGAGTTTTAAAATCTTCCAAAAATAATTAGATTTATTATTAATTGTAATTATTAGAGTTAAATGTACAGTTACTTCAGTGTGTTTTTATTGTACAGAGCAAATAAGCATATTTAATGATGTTATGTACACAAATGTATTATCATGGGGTACGTTTCTGATAAATCTGATAAAAGTACAGTAGTATCTGGCAATTAGTAAGTATTAAATGTGAATTAATACAGGTTGAATAGGTAGCTTTATTCATGAACTTTTCTTTCTTTTTTGTGTATCAGAATGTAGCATTCTCCTATTGACCTCCTTTATTACGAAAACCCTCTGTGAAAAGGATATATTTTACTTCTGCATTTTCATTGTTAATATTTATTAGATAACTGCAACTTGCAAGCATACCAAAATAAAATCTGTTGATACTGATTTTTAGCCTGCTTTCGCCAAATGTTTAACATATGCATCGTTTTAAAGACATATTATCTCTGTTGTATTAGTGGTAAAAGTGAATGCTGAAGAAATAAATTATTACAGTAAAACTGAATCAAGAAAAAATAAGCTTATCTTTTGCAATTTGGACCTTTGAACCTTTTTTTAGGGGACTCAAGAAATAATAGTTCTACTGAAGACCAAAAACACCTGGCTTTGTTGGTTATGGAGACCTTGACAGTGCTTCTTCAAGGATCAAACACAAATGCAGGTAATTAAAAAACCCACAAGCAAGTAAGTACTTTGGGAGGTTACCACTGGTTACATCTTCGGTGGTGATTCTTGCTTCTGAAATCTTCCTGTCGCTTAAAAGAAAAACTATTGATGCAGTGATGGTACAATCATGTCCCTAAAAATGCAGTGCTTTTACCATCAGGAGTAACTTGATGAAAAACATATAGCATTGTTTCTATTTCAAAATGATGTTTTAATTCCTTTTTATAGTGTCTTAAGGTATTCTTCTAATTTTTGACCGATACACTCTTATTCAAATAAGTTGCTGTTTAAATTCTTTCTGAAATATTTCTTTACACATTGATTTTAGAAAACATTTTTAGTACTGCAAATTAGAGTATTATAATGTTATAACCTTCAGGAAATACTGAAAAATGATTCTCTAATAAAACTTAACCTCTTTCAGGTAATTAACTTTACTAAATATTTTATTTAATTTTGGTCTCAATTTCTCTTTTAGCCCTTCTGTCATTATGAGATAGTCTAAGTGTATTTATAAAATACCACTCTTGCTTTTTAGAAAAGATTACTTGAAATTTAATGAACATTAAAAAACTCTCAGACAACAAGGTCAATACAACTTGAGAGGAATAATGAGGGGAAAGTGAGTTCAGATTAGTAGACTGGGCCCAAATCATAGAGAGCTTTTTAGGCCATGGTAAGGAGCTTGAATTATATTTTAAGTGTTAGGGGAAGCCATGGGTGAATGAACCCCATGCACAAATGCGTGACTGTTTGCCTGAATGCAGAGAAACTCAGCATTCATCATATTTAAAATATATTGTGTATTGCAGGTACCATGCTAGCTAGGTGTTAGAATAACACCTAGAAGCCAAGGTAAGATCATTCTTGCTCCCCAGGAATTAGAATCTAATGAAGAAAAATGTAGATACATAATTATAGAAGTCATTAGTTAAATACAACTTTGGCAAATGCTAAGATAGAGTTGAATGAGTTTAACAGGTAACTGAAACAATGAGTGTGATGGCATTTAATGGATGCTTTAGTAACATTTTGTCTATCGCATAATGCATAATCTTATTTCCACTAAGGTTTAGTTAACTGAGATACTCAGAAACATAATAAAGATATACTAACAGGAATTTGCTTAGCAAATTAGCTTTGGGTGAGATGACCTAGAAGTTGCACAGAAAGAGATTAGTCAATTGGAGAGCTTACTCTGTATAACTAAAAGTCACTTACTACATCTCCCAACGTGCCAAACAATTTCATACCATTCTTTTCAGTCTTTCTTTTCCTAGTATGAGAGATGTTACTAGCTGTGTGATGTTAGGCATTTAAAACAGTGCTTTGCTCACAGTTTAAGTATTTAAATAATATTAGCCATTATGATTATCCAGTGGGTCCTAACTGAAAACCAGAGGATAACTAAACAGGCCTCAGGGATTGAAAGGATGTCACAAATTTCATGTGCTGAATCTCAAGCACACAACTTAGACTGACTTCATGGTCATATAATTATTATAAAGTTAGCAAATAGAAAGCCACTAAACAGAGAGGCCAGTGGCTGCTATAGCAGAATAAACTGTTTTTAATAAATGTTTATTGAAACACAAATCAGGAGAAAATTCAATAGTCATGGGAGACCAAACATAAGCAATAATAGTAAGACTGTTTGTTATAAACCATAATAAAGATGTAAACAAGATGTTCTAAAAGCATAAGGGGTGGAAGAGTTACTTAGAGGAAATACTAATTCCTGATTTGAATCACTGGGCTCATTTTTTTAAATACTAGAGGTTGGTATTAATGTTTGATGCACGAACAGTATCACTTGCAAGTAGGAGCACAGGCTTACAGAGCTGGGCTATGTAGGCATAATCCTGCTCTGTTGCTTACTAGCTGTATGACCTTTACCCCATTACTTAACTTCTGTGTGGTAGGGGATGAGTATTAAGTAAGTCAATCTGTGTAAAGACTTTGGAGCAGTAACAATGACACATGGTTTCTATTATAGAATTTGTCACTTTTTTGTTCTTATTCTCTACCTATGTAACAAAAAATGTTGGTTCCTCGTAATTTTTCCCATGGTGGAATAATTTATTCCATTCCCTTCTTGCTACTATTTTGGAAGCTGTGTTCACTTAAACCTCATTTAGGGTATTGTTCTTCTGAAAGCCTTTTACATACGTTGATTACAATATTGGGTCTCCTGGGGTCTACCTAAGAGACTTCTGAATGTTGCAGATTTTGAGAGCTTGGACATGGTGAACATATCACAGCATTAATCTTGCATTAAGGAAATGTAGAAAAAATTTGCATATTACTTTGCTGGCAACCCGCAGTGGAAATTTGTATTGTAATTTAAAAGGTGAAATAGTTGGGTCAGTCTTATTTACACTATTTTGAGTTACTGTACCTACAAAAAATAATTTAATATTAATTCATCTGACCTGTCTCAGGATATTTTAAAGTAGCCATTGTTGGACTTTTTCTCCTTTTTTCAAGGAATTTTTCGAGAATTTGGAGGTGCAAGATGTGCACATAACATAGTAAAGTACCCTCAATGCCGGCAGCATGCCCTGATGACTATCCAGCAGCTGGTGCTCTCTCCAAATGGGGACGATGACATGGGCACTCTCCTGGGGCTAATGCATTCAGCCCCACCGACGGAATTGCAGTTGAAGACTGATATTTTAAGGGTAAGTTTGATAAATGTGTTTCTCTTCTTTTACTACTAAAATCTGTGGTTATTTTTAAATGATCTGTATTTAAGTTAGAGACAGGGAAATTTAAAAAATCCAAATTACCAAAAAACCCTCACAACTTTGTACACATTAGGGATTTGGAAAAACTCAAGTCATTTATGTCTTTTAGTATATATTTAACTTACTGCTGATAAACCTTTGCAGTAATTATCTTGACTTATCTCGGAATTATCTCTTAAGAAGTATAGGATCTTAATAAATAATAAATATATATATTTTCTGTTCAATTAAATTCACTCATAGTGTTATGCATCTGTGAAATGAAATGTTAGATTTGGCATTATATACACATGCCTGCATGTAAGTAATGGATATTCTGGTAGATATCAAACAATATACCAGAAGTTTTACATATGCTTTTATCATTTACGCCTTAGCAATACTATAAAGTAGGTAGCACCCTGTTTTGCAAATGAGAAAGCTTAGGTTTAGAGAAATCATATAACTTGGATATTGTTTACATACATGACTTTTAATTCATAAAACTGACCCCAGATTTCAGTACCCATATAGTTTCCATAGTACCATATGTTTTATACAGATTTATACACACACATTCTCTCATATTACTGAAGTCACTGATATTATAAGAAATGATATGTAAGAAATTCTAGAATCAGAATATTATCAAATGTTTCAGTTTCATTTATAAGTGCATTTAGTAATATAAGTAAGATGTAATGGAAAATGGAAAAGTAAAGACTATTAAATATTAAATAACATATTTTAAAAATTTCCAAGTTACAGATATATTATGACAGTAACTAACATTTATTGACCGCTTTAACTTAAGTGTTGTGAGTAATAGTTGTTTTAATCAGAAGAAACATAGCCTTCTCTTTTTGTGGCTAAAAACCTGCTCTTATATTTAATTAATATGAATAAAGTGAAAGAAGTCCATTAAAATTTATGTTCTTTAATTTATTGATTGGTGCAAGGTTTCTGAATACAGTTTTCCGTCATAAGAATTCAGGCCTCCTTGGTGAAATGCTTGATTCTAGTACTAGGGCAGAGAAAGAAAATGAACTTAAAACATTTCAGTTACCCTTTAAAAAGTAAAGAAGTGATCAAAGAAAATAGGAAATTAAGTAAATACAACCAAACAAATAAATGAGAGAAGAGGAAAAGCTCTTATTTACAGTCAAAAGTCAAAGAAAATCACCATTTATAAACTATCATAATAATAATCGATTCAGGTAAAATTCATCACTGGCTACAAAAGATAGTGGATGAAAGTTTTAGAACTGATGGGATTTTTTGCATAGTTTTAAATTGTATACTCAAAAGATACATTTTAATTTTGAGTGGTAAAATACTAGCTTTACAGTGGACCCTATGTTAGCTAAATGATCAGCGTTAATTTTGCCACTGATGGACAGATGAGCAGGATATACCTACTGATATGAAGCACTCAGAAAAATTCAGCTCATTTTTATAGTTTTTTCTCCCAAAAGTATATAATCTGAATCTAATTATTAGAAAACATTGGATAAATCCTAATTGGAAGACTTTCTATTGACTAACTGGCCTAAACTCATTAAAAAAATTAAATGAAATGAAAGATGACTTAAGAACTGTTCTGAAATAAAGAGGTTGAAGTGACTACTGAATGTAGTACATGAATTTGAATTTTTCTTTGCTATAGAGGATATTATTGGGATTTGGAAAAAACACAAGGTCTGTAGATAAAATAATTGTATTGTTTCAACATTAATTTTCTCATTTTGAGCATTCTACTGTGAGTATTAAGAGAATTCCTTTTTTTTTTGAAAAATACACTGAAGCTTTTAGGGGAAAAGGGAAGTGAGAGAAATTAAGTAAATCGGTATTTTTCGAAGAATCTCTATGAAGGATATCTGTGAATTCTTTGAACTGTTTGTGCGGTTTTTCTTCAAGTCTAAAATGACATTAAAATAATAACAGACAAAAAAAAACTGTGTTTAATCTTGCTTCTAAGGCCCTTGTGACTCAATCTCCCTCTCCTTCTACCTCCTCTACTATTATTCCTTGACATGTGGATGAGAAAAACATAGTTTTTCCTCTACCTGCCGAGTTCTTAGCTAGGACACACCGGTGTTACAAAAGACAGATTAACAGGAGAAAAACAAACTTGAGTTTATTAACATGTGTACCTCATATGTGCATGGGAGGCAACCAGGGAAAGATGACTAATTCTCAAAGAGGTGGCTTAGAACTCCACTTTATACAGTAGTCCCCCCATATCTTTGGGGGAATACATTCCAAGACTCCCAGAAAGGTCTGAAACTGCAGATAGTATGGAACCCTATATATACTATGTTTTTTCCTATGTATATATATACCTGTGATAATATTTAATTTATAAATTAGGTACAGTAAGAGATTAACAACGATAACCAATAATAAGATGGAATAATTGTAACAATGTGCCAGTGTCACTACTCTTGTGCTTTGGGACCACTATTAAGTAAAATAAGGGTTACTTGAATACAAGCACTGTGAAACCCCCACAGTTGCTCTGATAACCGAGACTGTGCTGAGTGACTCATGGGTAGGTAGCTTTGTACCATGTGTACACTGGACACAGGGATGAGTCACAGTGGTGTGGGGCAGTGTGAGATTTCATTGTGTTACTCTGAACAATACAGAGTTTAAGACTTTTGAATTGTTTGTTTCTGGTATTTTTCATTCACTATTTCCAGACCAAGTTTGAGCACAGGTAACTAGATCGAAGGAAAGCAAAACTCCAGAGAATGGGGATCACTGCATAGCATCTTCAATAGACAACAGTAAATTTTTAGAGAAATGAAGACATAAAGGGAAAGGACTCTAGGGACATCAAATTGTGGGAAGCCAAATAAATTGTAGATAAGAGTTAGTAGTTTGTTATGTGCATTCCTTTGCTGTCTCCAGGCTGGGGTCTTTCTTCATCAAATATATCTACTTCTTCCCAGTTGCCTTCAACTGAAAATAATCCTTATACCATAGTGGCATATTTTGGGGTGGCATATTCTAGTTTGCTACTTAACCCCATTCCAGCTACAGACATTACAGGAATTATTATTTCTATTTTCTTTTACTTTTATTCAATTAAATTTTTCATTGATAATGAAAAATTAGCATTTCTTTATGTTATGTATTTCATCATGTTTTGATAGTGTATAATGACAATTTTGAATATGCATTTTAAAAGCAAAATTAATCTCACCACAATATATGTTTTAGACCAAAAGGATATCCACGCGAATGTCAATTTTTGAAGAACATTTTATATTTGAAGAAATTATTGGGAGAATATAGGTGGTTTTGAAACATGCTAAGGTTGCCAACTTTTTTTAACCACAATTTTCTCTTCTTTGGGTACCTTATTAATTGGATTTTTAAGATTTTGGTAGGTAAAGCCAGCAAGAAGTAATTGGCTGACTCCGTAATATTGAGGCAGTGTTCTGGTTAATGTTAGTAATTGGTTCTCAGGCTGGAAGAGGGCAGGAGACGGTCATGATATTTTGCATCTATTGATTTCCAGGGTATAAATATTCCCATTGTGGCCTATTCAATCAACTAATGTGCACTGAATGTGGATTAAGAAGAGATCCACAGTAGTACACCATTATATAGCATGTTCTCATGTAGATATGCAAAAGTGTAGATAATAGTAAAATTCAGAAAATAATTAGAAACTGATGGGTTTTCAGTATTATTTTGTTTTTAAAATTTATTTAGATGTAAATTTATTAATTTTTAATTGTGATTGTATGTTTAACAACTGACTTACAAAATTTCTAAAAATATGGCACTTGAACTCTTGAGGGCTGGTATGAGCTAGCCCTGGCATTCTGCTTTGAAGGCCTAAAGAAGCGTTAAGAGCCATTAGGGAAAATTTGGGTTCTCAGTTTCAGTTTCCATGTTTGCTTCATCAGAATTGCCTCTTAGTGCCTCCATTCAACTAACATATACCACAAACCTATGTAATTTAACTTGTAATCATTTATACACAAACCTGACATTCCATGACATGTCATGGAAATTCTGCCGATGCATAAATTTGAATTGTATAAATTATATTTATGCAAATATAAGTAGTATATAGCTGATTTTATCTGATTAACCAAGCAGCCTCCAGACCTCATTGAAACTTTAGGATTTGCTACTCATCATCATTTATTGATATAAGTGGGAAGTTACATTATTCATGGTATTTGAAATTTTTCAAATACTGAAATAGTGCTGGGATAATCTCAGAGTGCCAACAGATAACAGTTTTGAGGATGTAGGAGGTTAGCCTCTCCAGAAGTACATAGTATAAATTATTGGACTAAAGATTTATAAGCAGCACTTTTTCTAACCTCAGTCGTAATTCTAACCAGTAATAGCATTTTGTACATGTTACTTCAGCTTTGAACTCACCCCTCCTCATCTATAAAATAATACTTGTCATATTTTTCTCCCAGTATGTTTTGAAAATTGATATTTTGGCTTATATGTCTAGCACTTCTCTAAGGTTTTTACTGTATTTCCTTTGAGGTAAGTTACTGTTGTTTCCATTTTACGTAAGAGGAAACTGTGACACAGAAAGGTTAAATAACTGGGGTAAATACTTTTTAATGTTGGAGTCAGAATATGACCCCAGGCATTCTACTCCAGCCATCTTTAGGCTATGTTATAAGGAGTGTGTGTGTTTGTGTGTGTGTGTGCGTGTGCGTGCGTGCGCACGTGTGTGTGTGCATGCGCACGTATGCACATATGTGTGTGTGTGTTAAGTCTTTTGTTAATATGAGATATTATAAGTAGTAATACAGTTTATTAAATTTGACAAGATATGGAAACTATATTGTTACCAAATACTAAAATGGAAATTTACTGATTGAAGACTGTTGGAAGGAGTACATTGTTTTTATGTTTTATTTGCATACAGATTGTATATTTTCTGACTTTTAAAATATTAAGGCATAGGTATAAACAATGAAATCTTCATAATTTTTTATGTATATTTCAAAAGGTGATTAATATATTAATACAGGTTGAGCTTCTCTTATCCAAAACCCTGAAATTCAAAATCTTGCAATCTTTTTGTGTGCTGACAAGTAGAAAATTCCACACCTGACCTCATGTGATGGTAAAGTTGCATGAGCAAAACAATTTAAAGTATTGCATAAAATTACCTTCAGGCTGTATGTATAAGGTATATATAAAACAGACATATGTGAATTTTGTGTTCAGATATGGGTTCTATCCCCAAGATAACTTATTGTATATATGCAAATATTCCAAAATCTGAAACTTTTCTTGTCCTGAATACTTTAAATAATGGGTTCTCAACCTGTATGTAGCCTTTTCGTTGTTCAGATACTATTAGAAATGTGAGTTTTTTTTAATAAAATGACTTTTTCAAATGCGATGATTGGACAGATTAGAAACTATATCTTAAGTAATAGTAGATACTGTTTGTGCTACAATAAATGAAACAGGGCAAAGGAGTCCACTGTATTCATAAAAAAGATTTCAGATTGTTGTTTGGGGCATAATGTCATGATTAAGTGTAAGAATAGGGTAATTAGACTGCCTGGGTTTAAATTCTACCTTTGCTGTTGTGTAAGTTCTATAGTCTTTGGAGAGTTATTTTACCACATTGGGCCTCAATTCCTTATCTATAAAGTGGAAATAATAATTTCTTGCACATAGCATTGTTGAAAGGATTAAATAAATTAGTGCATAAAAGCATCTAGAATGCCTAGTACATGGTAAGTGCCGGATAAAATATTAGGTGTGATTTTATAGTGTGTTTTTTTTTAAATCATAAGCTAGCCAGGGGTAGTGGCTCATGCCTAAAATCCCAGCACTTTGGGAGGCCAAGGTGGGTGGATCATTTGAGGCCAGGAGTTCGAGACCAGCCTGGCCAATATGGCGAAACTTCATCTCTACTAAAATTACAAAAAAGTAACCGAGCATGGTGGTGTGTGTCTGTAATCCTAGCTACTCAGGAGGCTGAGGCAGGAGAATCACTTGAACCCAGGAGGTGGAGGTTGCAGTGAGCTGAGATTGTGCCACAGCATTCCAGCCTGGGTGACAGAGCATGCCTCTGTGTTTTTTTTTTTTTTCCTCTTAAAAAAAATCATAAGTTAAAAGTATGACAGTTCAGAAAGTAAATGTTTGATTTGCTTATTTACTACCAGGTTTTCTTTTTTAAAGCTTATAGCTGTTTTGGCAAAGAGCATACTTTTAGCCGTAAGGCTTCAGTTCATTTTGAAAAATAGAATGTTTAATAAGTCTTCTAAAGTGAATACACTTTCTAAAGCTTGAGAAATATGGTCACTTTATACGAGACAAAAGACGTCAGATCTTGGCTGCCCTGACCTTCTCTCTGATCCCTTCTGGAATTAATCAGTTTGTATATACACAGTCATAAGTTTTCATGATTGTGTAAAACTAGATTATTATTATTATTTTTTTTTTCTTTTGAGACGCAGTTTCGCTCTTGTTACCCAGGCTGGAGTGCAATGGCGCAATCTCGGCTCACCGCAACCTCCGCCTCCTGGGTTCAGGCAATTCTCTTGCCTCAGCCTCCTGAGTAGCTGGAATTACAGGCATGCGCTACCGTGCTCAGCTAATTTTTTGTATTTTTAGTAGAGACTGGGTTTCACCATGTTGACCAGGATGGTCTCGATCTCTCGACCTCGTGATCCACCCGCCTCGGCCTCCCAAAGTGCTGAGATTACAGGCTTGAGCCACCGCGCCCGGCCAAAACTAGATTATAAGATGTATTTTACTTACTTTGTAAAGTCACTGAATTAATTGATGTCATAATTAATTAAAGACCCTGGAAAAGATTTTCAGCCAATGTTTGGATGTAGCTTTATTCTATCAAAGAAGTATGTGCCAGTGTTTCCTAAAACTACCTTCAGCCTTTACTGTGGCATTTTTTAATTAGCAAAACTGTTTATGGGGTAAATGACAAAAACATGTCAAATATTCACAGACAGTACAGCTTTCATATACAAGCCTAGTGTTTTTTTGTTTTTTTGTTTTTTTGTTTTTTTTTTAAATTATGTATCTTTTCATTTGCTTTTTTTTGTTGTTTCCTGCAGGCCCTCCTGGCGGTCCTTCGAGAAAGCCATCGATCAAGAACCGTTTTTAGGAAAGTTGGAGGATTTGTGTACATTACGTCCTTGCTCGTTGCTATGGAAAGATCTTTGAGCTGTCCACCCAAGAATGGCTGGGAGAAAGTGAACCAGAATCAAGTGTTTGAACTTCTTCACACTGTGTTCTGCACGTTGACTGCAGCTATGCGCTACGAGCCAGCCAATTCTCATTTCTTCAAAACAGAGATTCAGTATGAGAAGTTGGCAGATGCTGTTAGATTTCTTGGCTGCTTCTCAGACCTAAGAAAAATAAGCGCCATGAATGTCTTCCCCTCAAATACACAGCCATTTCAAAGACTTTTAGAGGAAGATGTAGTCTCAATGGAATCAGTGTCACCCACGTTACGGCACTGCAGTAAACTTTTTATTTATCTGTACAAAGTTGCCACAGATTCTTTTGACAGGTATGGCTCTGCTCTGTCCTCTGAATTAAAGGGTGTATACTAAGCATGACTTCAACATTAAGACTTGGCATTATGAGTTAATCCAAAAGAAAATGAAAATAGATGACTCTTCTCTGCTCTTTGCTTGATGTGTGTCACTTTATTTTGAACATTACTCTTACTCTGGTATTGTTTTTTTTAGCATGGAAGCCTATGTATTATTTGTAAATTCAGGTTCAATTAGTTCTCATTGCAGTTATTGGAACAATTTTTATGAACTTTCCTTTAATTATAGTGTTTACTATTGTGTTTTTTCTTTTTAGCCTCAAAAACCTTAGGTGCATCTGGACTTACTGATATATGTTATCAACAGAACGTCGTTATGATTATTCTTATTTCCAGACACGTACTCCATCATTCTCCACATTTCGTACTCCTCAAAAAATGATATAGCTCCCAAAGAGAGATGTCAGTGTCTTGAACCATCAGGTTCAAGAGGCCATCAGACTCAGTATTTACTCATTCCTTCGTTAAGTACTTCATGAAAACCTGCTGCATGACAAGTCACTGTGCTAGGCATTGAGGATTCAGCTCTGTACAAGGCAGTCTTGGTCCTTGCTATCCTTTAGCTAAAATATAGACACGTAAATAAACAATTACTTATATTGTAACAGATTCTGTGATGGGGAAATCCAGGGTTCTAAGGGAGATTGTAGGAGAGCCACTTCATCGAGATTACTTATTTTCAGTGCTTCAGATGTTTTCAATGAAGATGTCACTTTGAAAATAACACCGCTAATTTATATCCCAAGCATTATTGCTTTTAACAGTTACCATAGTTTTACTTCATAAAGTAAACGAACTTTCCTCATAAATCAAGTAACTCCATTGAATAGAACTTATAATAGATTTTTGTCCTTTTCTGTGGAGCATCTGCTTTGAAGTATCAACTGAGATGTTTCCTGCTTCTTAAAAAGATTTCTTAGTCCTCAGTATTTACAATTAAAAATCCAAACAACTGCAACAACAACAACAAAAAAATTAAGTTCTGTTTTTCCCTATCTTGAAATAAAATACTATATATTGCTAACTTATAGGAAAAAAAAGGAAAGTGTAGTTCTAGGAATGAGCTATATAAATTTGTGTATTCAAATTCAATCTCTTTTTTCTTGATTTCTACTTATCCTAGTTAGAATATGTCATTTTTAGTCATTTTGTTAAAAATAGGGCTTATAGCACCCTGTTTAACAGATGTGTTAAATGTTAACATGAATGGAATAAGCATCTGCCGTGAGCATGCTTTTCTTGTTTCATTCAGTGCATGTGTTGTAGTCGTGTTCCTTGTTCCTGCTGAATATGGAAGATGTTCCTTATTAAACTTTTGCTGGCATTTCTTGTGAAACTAACCAACTGCCAACCTGGTGTTCTCTTCTTCTAACCTCTCTAAACCACACTGTCTGTTTTGTTGTCTGTAGTCGTGCAGAACAGATCCCTCCTTGCCTGACAAGTGAGTCTTCTCTCCCCTCTCCTTGGGGTACACCAGCTTTGTCCAGGAAAAGGTACTGATCATATAAGAGAAATCCATCTCTGTTTGTGGGGTTTCTTTTTTTCTGTGCTTATTTATGTTAACATGGTGATTGTGTTTTGTGATTTCAGTTTTTTTCTTTCTTCTTTTTTTTTTTTTTAATATATTTTTGGGGTTTGGGGGTAGGTTTTAAAAATATCAATTTTTCTTATATACATGAGAGTAAAATGTGTTGAAGCTGTAAAGGACATGTATAATTTTGTCATCCATTTATTTTTGACGACACATTTTGGTTATAGAAAAAGCATGTCTTACTAAAAATAAGTTAGAAATGTGGACCTAATGTCTCTTTAAATAGAATACTTTTCACTTTTTTTATTTTTATTTTTTACTTTAAACATTCTTGGGATCATTCATTGGTTTTTACTGTTATTCCAAAATAACTATCATAGCACTGTGTATGAAGGAAGTGTATATTTTCTCCGTCAGGTTCAACCAGTTGAAATATGTTGCTGTTATGAAAAATGCTCACAGCTAAACTTAGGAAAACTAAATACAGAACCCACTCCCAGTACTTACTTTTGATTAGTTCTCTGTAAATCTCTAAGCTGATCTAGTTGATCTTATTTAAATTACCTTTAAAAAAATTCTCAAATTTTTAAAAACTGCAGTTGATTGACAGAAGTATAATTAGGATCCATTTAAGATTACATTTGCAACCTGCCATAAAATGATCACAGTCTGCAGTTGGCCCCAAACACTTCATTCCTTCTCCTGTTTTCCTCATAACCAAAAATAAGTCCTTAACTCTTACATTAATATTCTTTCATTGCTGGTTTTAAAACATGAATCCCAATATAGTTCTGCTATATTGTTGTTTTAATCTTACTACTGTTGTTCAGATTTTGAAACTTGAAGATAGTTGGAGTTAGTACATCAAAAGTATTTGTTACAGATTTTGTATTTCAGCATATTTGCATAGTAATATTAGGTATAGGAAAAGACATAATTTCCTTCTCTTAAATTTACACTTATAGCTTACTTTGCATAGCAAACCATGACATGGTTCAGAATAGTCTTAAATGAATATAGGATTGTTCAGAATATTCGTGCTTAAAAACTGCAATTTCTTTTTTAAACAAGAGCTGTTCCTAATTCAAGGAATGATAAGCTAGATAAATTTGATTTGATATAATGTATTTTTCTGTTGCAGAAATCAAGGAGGTAAAAAATATGTGTGTTTCAAAATTTGTGTGTGCTCATGATCCCAAGGCATTACTGAATTATTTACTAATTGAAATTTACTAAACTATTTACTAATTGAAATTATTTCTAACGAGAAATAATTTCAATTAGTAAATAGCTTAAATTACTACAAAATCACAATTTAAAAATATGATGATTATATTATGAATGAGTAAAGCCTTAAAATTTGCTGTTATGAACATTTAGTCCTTTTTAAGTATTAACCAAATGCCACAAAATAGAAATACACAGATTAAAATGATACTTAAAAAAATGCATCAGGGTCAGGCATAGTGGCTCACATCTGTAATCCTAGCGCTTTGGGAGGCCAAGTCATGTGCCTGTAATGCCAGCTACTCAGGAGGCTGAGGCAGGAGAATTGTATGAATCCAGGAGGCAGAGGTTGCAGTGAGCTGAGATCACACCACTGCATTCCAGCCTGGGGGACAGAGTGAGACTCCGTCTCCAAAAATACATCAGAACTTTCTGTTTACTGAAATAGTAATTTGACAAAGCAAAAACAGCATTTTCTTTCTATTCTTGAAGAGTTACTTATGGCCTTAAATCAAAAACATTTTGTCATCATTTACAGTGCAGCTACATGTAGAGATACCAAGTCTTTGACTTAAAGAAAAACTGTCACTAAATCAGTAAATCTAGTTGATTGAGTCCTAATCCATGTGAATTCTCCACGAGTCTTACAAGTTGACATTACCTCAAGGACAGAAAGCCTCGATACTGTTCATGCTAATGCTGAGGTCATTGTTGACATTTTCAGGTTGCCATTCTATTCAGCCTGCATGCATTTTGCTCAGTGGTAAGAATCATAAGCTAGTGAAGAATATAGTGTTTTTACTTTACAAATTCAAGTTTAGTAACTTGAAATTAGAATTTAAGTCACCCTATTTCTAGATCCTCTCAACAAATGACATCAGCTTATAGACATCTTTTTCTTGTAGCAAAACATACTGGTTTTGTTGGCAAAAGGAGAAACCAGAATTTACTGTTTTTATGGCTTGTGGAACACTCAGATGCTAAGGATGTTTTGAGCTTGTGATACTTGTCTGACACGTAGTATCCAGGAAATTCTTCTCTAATTATTTCAAGAATTCGTGGAAAATGAACTAGCCAACCTTATATCTGAAAAAGTAAAACTCATAACCTTTTTCATTGTTCAGAAAGAATAATAAAACAGAATTATAGCTGAACAGTGTTCAGTCAGAGTTAGAAGTGAATACAAAATAATAATTAGAATTACACAGAATATAATTGCAGTGGAGCAAAAGGCGGCAAATACTTGTTATCTTTCAAACGTGGGATCTATTACACTCAGTGCTTCTACACACCTGATGATAATTTAAGCAAAGCAGATTGAGAATTTAAATATTTAATTATGTATTCCCAAAAGAGGTAGAAGAGTCTTAAATATACATGAGAATTTAGGTCAAAATATTAAATAGCAACCAAATTATGAAATGTAATTTTATCCTATATTTGCAAATGGTTAGTTCTTACTTGAGAACTAACCATTTAATGAGCTTACCATAACTCTAAAATTTAAAAAGTGATACTTGTGGTGATACCTAGGTGATTTAGTCAGAATAAATTTTGTTTAATACCTATTGTAATACACCTAATTTTAGTTAATAAATACCATGTGTTAGATATCAGCAATGTTTGCAATATTTTTCTGGTTTGAAAACAATGAATGTAATTTCTTTTTTGAGAATATTGTTTTCCTATATAAGATTTAAAAATTTTACTACTGTAATAGTTATATGCAGCTTGAGTATTTCTTATTCAAAATACATGGGACCTGAAGTGTTTTGATTTCAGGTTCTTTGGATTTTGTAATATTTACAATATATATAATGAGATATCTTAAATATGGGACCCAGTCTGGACACAGAATTAATTTATGTTTCATATGCATCTTATACAAGTGGCCAGAAGATAATTTTATGTAATATTTTTTACTAATTTTGTACATGAAACAAAGTTGTGACTATGTTTTGACTATGATCCGTCATATGAGGTCAGATGTGAGATTTTCTACTTGTGGTGCCATGTGGGTGCTTAAAAAGTTTTGTATTTGGGAGCCTTTCGATTTCAGATTTTTGGATTAGTGATACTCAGCCTGTTTTAGTAAACTCTTTACAGGTTGTTCAATGTCCAAAGATGTAAAGATTTCTCCCTGAGTGTATCAGTAATTTAAATCCAAGTCTCATTAAATCGGTCAATTTAGAAATTATTTTGTAAGGCCCAAACTAAAATATACAGTTAGAATCTATGCATATATGTGTATGCAGTGAAAACATTTTTAATGAAATTTTGGAATTTAGTGGTTATTTCTGATACATACTAGATAAATTATGAATCTTTTTTCTAGATGGATCAAAATATTTAAAAGAAGGGAGCAGTATAGGAGGAGGATGACTGTTGGTAATACACATTTTGAAATATTTTTCTTAGTAAGTTTAGAGATTAAATCTTTCTGAATGAAAAATGGCAGATGATAGGGAGCGAAAACATGAATGGGTAGAGGACATGCTGACTTTTAAATAAACTAGGAGATCCCATGTGCCTTTTTATAAGTAAAGCTGAACACTTTCCTAGAATCTCTGTTAAAAAGAGAATGGTATTTTTTTAAAACCATGGCAGTGCCAGTTCTTTGCTACTAAATCACTGATGTAAAGCATCTGTTTCCCAAGCTGCTCTTGTCCCAGAGAGCTGAAACTGCATTGCTCTCTGTGACAGAGCTCAGCATTAGGCAAATTATGCTGAGACCAACTCATTGGAACAAAGAGTTCCCATAGGCTGAAGCCACAAGCATCTGTTTCTTAGTGCCAAGATGCAAAATGTGCAAAATTCATGAATTGTAGATGAGTAGTATGAAATAGAAAGTAGACATCATGGATGAGAAGAAATGTGTACATTCAGGACATGGCTAGGCTTTTTAATTCATAGAAACTTGTTCTGTAAATTGCCTTTAAGTTTTAAAAAGTTGCAGTGAATATTTTCAGTAGTAGTGACGATAGATGCCAAAGGTGTAGGTATTCCAAATAATCTGAAGTAAAACTCCCATAATGCCTAATATATTTATTCTTGGATAGCCTAGACTCTGAGCCAATCCTGACTCAGTCGACCCAGTTAGTTCTTGATTGTGTTACCCTATCCATGTACTAAGGAAAGGTTAAAACACATATAGGTAATTTCAAAAGATGAAATCTCTTTGAGGGAATTAATTTAATGTGATCTCTCAGCATATATTATTGGAACTGTCTTCTTCCTAGAGCTTTGAATCACTGTGATTTTACTTGTTTATATCTTCTAATAGAGGTGTTATTTTTTAATCAAACAATCCAAGTAGTAAATCAGTAAAGGTAAAAATCATATAAAGGCTCTGAATAATTGTTAGTTACATGTTCTGCAGACACACACACACAGACACACACACATGAACTCGAGTTGATAATATATTGCTTTTTTTCTGTCCCAACCTTAAGGTGTTTTGTAACAAGTCTTTTTGGTTATCAGTGGATGAATGTAACCGAAGAAGAAGAAAATGAAAAGAGAATGTGATTGGAATTCAATAGCAAATTTGCCCTTCTTTCTTTTTTTATAGGCATGCATATCATTCTGTTTCAACTCCCCCTGTTTACCCTCCTAAAAATGTTGCTGACCTGAAACTACATGTGACAACTTCATCTCTCCAGAGTTCTGATGCAGTCATCATTCATCCTGGAGCCATGCTTGCTATGCTAGACCTGCTAGCCTCTGTTGGATCAGTGACACAGCCAGAAGTAAGCTTGGATATGTTAGTTTCCTTCCGTCTTTAATGAAATGAATCAAAGGATGTGGGTGTGATTATATGTGCTAGGGGGTTGAGGAAGAAAAAGTTAATATTGCATACTAAAGTAGGTGAAGGAAAAAAAATAGGATTTTTCTATTTGAGTCTTACGTTGCATAATGAATGCTAGATAGATATGTTTTAGAATCCAGTTCATTTGTTACAAAGACAACCAAAATGATTACTTCTGGTGCTAGAATAACTCTGCCTCCTTGTAAATCCTACTCAGCACTGGACATTGCTAATGAATAATACAGAAGGAAGAATGACTGAAGATACTACATTGAAGCTATTTGTCTGTTTTGACTTGTGGCACTCAAGAGTGTGGATGAACTGGAGTTTGGGTGATGATTAAGAAGACCTAATCCCCACTATTTCTATAAAAATAGAACTACTTTTAGTCATATAATCACGTAATACAAAAGTCTTGGAAGAGAATAGAGTCCAACTGCGTGTGCTTCTAGCAAACTTAAATAGGACATGTTTGCCTAACTTGTTTTGATATTGCCATACTGCTCTAAGCCAGTTACTTATTTTATCTGAGTGTATTTGGAAGCAAAAGGTATACTTTAGCCCAGGCGTCCCCAAACTTTTTACACAGGGAGCCAGTTCACTGTCCCTCAGACCATTGGAGGGCCACTACATACTGTGCTCCTTTCACTGACCACCAATGAAAGAGGTGCCCCTTCCTGAAGTGCGGCGGGGGGCCGGATAAATGGCCTCAGGGGGGCCGCATGCGGCCTGTGGGCTGTAGTTTGGGGACGCCTGCTTTAGCCAGACGCGGTGGCTCATGCCTGTAACACCAGCACCTTGGAAAACCAAGGTGGGTAGGTCGCCTGAGGTCAGGAGTTTGAGAGCAGACTGGCTGACATGGTGAAACCCCGTTTCTACTGAAAATACAAAAGTTAGCTGGGAGTGGTCGTGGACACCTGTAATCCCAGTTACTTGAAAGGCTGAGACAGGAGAATCACTTGAACCCAGGAGGCAGAGGTTGCAATGAGCCAAGACCATGCCATTACACTCCAGCCTAGGCAACAGGAGCAAAACTCCATCTCAAAAAAGAAAAGAAAAGAAAAAGGGATGCTTAATGTGAAAAGAATTGTCACCTGTCTCACTAAGGATAACTTTGTGGATTTCTTTCTTGATTTTAGCATGCTTTGGATCTTCAACTTGCTGTGGCAAATATTTTACAATCTCTGGTTCACACAGAAAGGAACCAGCAAGTCATGTGTGAAGCTGGTCTTCATGCGCGACTGCTGCAGAGGTGCAGTGCTGCTTTGGCTGATGAGGACCACTCACTGCACCCACCTCTGCAGCGGATGTTTGAACGATTAGCCTCTCAGGCCCTGGAGCCCATGGTGTTGAGGTAAGTTCTCTTTCATATTCAAACAGTCCACAATTAGTAATGTCAGTTTCTAGAGTCCTTATGAGTCCAGAGTTCCCGCTTTAATGGATAATAATTCAGTTGTCTATGGGCAAAATGTAACAAAAATGGACAAAAAACTCAAAATACAGCAATTAGAAACAAATCTAGTTATTAATTATCATTTGATATTTCTGTCCAGTTATTTCTTTCATTTGAATCTAGCAAGCTCTCACTTTCCTTTAAGAGTAAAGTCATGCATTTACTTCATATTTAATAGCTTTTCATATGTAAGAACTTTTTAAAGAAATACTTTTTTAACTTTTTAATTTTGAAATAATAATAGATTCACCATAAGCTGTGCCTATACATCAAGAGTTTTCCTGTGTCCTTTGCTCATTTTCTCCAGTAGTTACACCTTGCATAACTATATTATAGTATCTAAACCAAGGAATTGATATTGGTATGATGTATTCATGTGCACATACAGTTATCTGTTATTGTATGACATATGTAGATTCATGTAATCACCACACAATTACAATGTCACAAAGATTTCTCTAGTGCTATCTTTATTGTCTTACCTACTCCCCTAATCCCAACATCCTTAGTCCATGGAAACCACTGATCTGTTCTCCATCTTCATAGTTTTGTCATTATGATCGGGGGTCCCCAACCTCTGAGCCATGGTCTAGTACTGGTTCATGTCCTGTTAGGGACTGGGCCACACAGCAGTAGGTGAGCTGCGATTGAGCCAGCATTACCGCCTCTGCTCCACCTCCTGTCAAATCAGTGGTGGCATTAGATTCTCATGGGAGCGTGCACCCTATCATGAACTGTGCATGCAAAGGATCTTGGTTGGGCACTCCATATGAGAATCTGCTGATCTGAGGTGGAACAGTTTTATCCCAAAACTAACCCCAACAACCCATCTGTGAAAAAAATTGTCTTTCACAAAACCTGTTCCTGATGATAAAAAAGATTGGGAACCACTGATTTTGAGAATGTTATATAAATGAAGTTATACAGTATGTGATTTTTTTGAGATTGTCTCTTCACTAATCATAATGCTCTTGGGCTGCATAGAAGTTGTTACATGTATCAATAGTTTTTCCTTTTTATTACCGAATATTACTCCATAGTATGGAGCTATAACAGTTTGTGAATCATTAAAAAAATATGGCCAAGCGCGGTGGCTCATGCCTGTAATCCCAGCACCTTGGGAGGCTGAGGTGGGTGGATCACGAGGTCAAGAGATGGAGACCATCCTGGTCAACATGGTGAAACCCCGTCTCTACTAAAAATACAAAAAATTAGCTGGGCCTAGTGGCACGTGCCTGTAGTCCCAGCTACTCGGGAGGCTGAGGCAGGAGAATTGCTTGAACCCAGGAGGCGGAGGTTGCAGTGAGCCGAGATTGCACCACTGCAGTCCAGCCTGTGTAACAAGAGCGAAACTCTGTCTCAAAAAAAAAAAAAAAAAAAGAAAAGAAAAATGAAATATGTACTTATATATGTATTTTTCTTGAATAATTCATATATATATCTGTCATTTCCTCCAGGAAGCCTGCTTTGAGCCACCCTTCCAAAAGTCTGGGTAGACTGCCCCTATATAAACTATAACACTGCTACTACAGAACTTGTTTTATATATTTATGTGTACACACATGTATAATCTGTTTTAAATGCAAGAAAAACAATGCTGTATATTTTAGGAGTGAAATTTGCCATGCTTATTTTATTTTATTTTTTTTTATTTTGAGATGGTGTCTCGCACTGTCACCACTGGAGTGCAGTGGCAAGATCTCAGCTCACTGCAACCTCTACCTCCTGGGTTCAAGTGACTCTCCTGCCTCAGCCTCCCAAGTAGCTGGATTACAGTGCCCCCCACCACACCCAGCTAATTTTTCGTATTTTTTTTTTTTTTAGTAGAGATGGGGTTTCACTATGTTGGCCAGGCTGATCTCAAACTCCTGACATCGTGATCCACCCGCCTCAGCTTCCCAAAGTGCTGGGGTTACAGCCATGAGCCACTGTGCCAGCCTGCTGTGTGCCTATTTTCAAACTTTTTTTCTGTGTTTTTCTTTATATTACCTAATAAGACAGGTTTAATATATAAATCATCTTGTTCCTCCTTACAAAAATACACTTGTGTATCTTGTTACTCTGGGAGTATAAGCAGATCTCTGTATTCAGTTATTATTATTTTTTTCTACTGTTAGAGTACTCCTCTTTTATAAAACTTTTAGGAGCTTTCTTAAAAATTGTTGAAATTTATCTGTAAGTTTTAAAACTGACTCCAAACTGATTGTTGATTAAGAAACTTTTATGCAGTAAACATTTTTTAAATGGTGTTGAATCAGGCAGTTCACAGCCGTTATAATGCCAAGATGAGTGAGATGGACCTACTCACTTCATCCATCATCTTATGGATGTGTGCACAGTCCTAAAGTTTTGAAAATAGCATTGAGATTTTCCCCTGATCCTTTTTGGTAATCTGCTACATTAAAAGTAGAGAAACACACACATACACACACACACACAGAGAGAGAGAGAGAGAGAGACAGAGAGACAGAGAGAGATACAGAGAGAGAGAGAAGAGAGGAGAGGGGAACACAGGGAGAGAGAGAGAGAGAAAGAAGAGAGGAGAGAGAGAGAGACACACACTGTCCCATACCTAATGCTACTATTTTACTAGATAACTTACATTGCATAGTTAAATAGAATAGGAAATGAAAATCAGTCACTGGATATGTTCAGTTTTCACAGTGAGTGTATTCTCGTAAAAAAAATGTCAAATGATGGTACAAGTACTTTGCTACTTAAAAGCCGTAGATTGTAAACTAATTGTGTATGACATTCTACATGAAAAACCGGCAAACCTAACTTTTAAGCCATTTTTTTCCTGCTTTAGGGAATTGAAAATTTAGAAAGGTATTCTACTTTTTTTTTTTTTACATGATGTTATAAATAACAGGATATGGATTGTTCATTCTCTTAAAAAATGTATAGTTTAGTAACAGTTTAATAAGGAATATGTGCATATAAGTAGGAAATTTGCATTGGTAAGTTCTGTAATAGCAGTGTTACAGAGTTTATTTAGGGACAGCCTACACTTTTGGAAGGGTGGCTCAAAAAAGGTTTCCTGGAGGAAATGACAGTTAATGAAATAAAGTATGAGGCTGGGCAGTGTGGTTCACACCTATAATCCCAACACTTTGGGAGGTCAAGGCAGGTCAGGAATTTGAAATAAGCCTGAGTACCATAGTGAGACCCCGTTTCTACAATTTTTTTTTTAAGCTAGCATGGTGGTGCATTCCTCTAGTCCATGTTACTTGGGAGATTGAGGCCAAAGAATCTCTTGGGCCCAAAAGTTTGATCACTGAGCTGTGATCACACCACTGCACTCCAGTCTGGGTGACAGGGCAAGAGCCTGGCTCAACCAAAAAAAAAAAAAAATTAAATAAAAAAGTTAAAGTATGGAAGAGAGTTAATCAGGTAGAAAAAGTAAGGCAAAGAATTTTTTTCCCCAACAAGAAAGCAAATATGGTGATCCAGGGTGGGGAAGGAGTACAGCATTCTTAAGCAGTCATAATTTTTAGGTATGTCTTTAGTGGAATTTATGATTGGGGAAAAATGAGAGCAATGAAGCTGGAGTTTACACTAGAAATCATCTCATATACGGTACTGAATGCTAGCTGTTTTGGGTTTTCACCTACCAGAAATGGACAGCCAGCGCAGCGTCTTAAGCATTAGAGTGACACTGTAGATTTCAGTTCTGAGAGATTCTGACTGTGGTGAAGAATGGATTGAGTTGGGTCAACATTATTGTCACAGGAGATAATTAAGACTTGGTTTTAGGAATAGTAAAATAATGTGGTCTGGGTGGTAGAAGCAAGAATGAGAGAAGAGAGCATATTCCATATTTTTAGAGAGTAGAAATAACAGGATTTTCTGATTTTCTGAATGTGGAAAGTTAAAGGAGAAGGAACAAAAACACATTTCAGTGAGGTGCAGAACATAAGAAGAACCCTAGGTTTGGGTATAAGGTGATGAGTTTGGTTTTAGAAGTACTTGAATTGGGGTTCTTAAATATTATTAACTTCTAAAAAATGAGTTTAAAAAAATGTGTAGCAGATATATAGTTATATGGTGATTAAATGTAAAACTAACACTATATGTTTTATTATACTTTACATTTTTTGTATTGTAATTAGTCTGTTATAACTTATTAAATTCCTTTTTTGAATGTTTGATGTATGAATTATAATATTCTCAAGCAAGAAGTAGCTGTCTAAAAAATAAATTCAAAAAAATGTAGCAGATACATATACGGTGATTAAATGTAAAACTAACACTATATATTGTTTTATTATATTTTGCATTTTTTGTATTGTAATTAGTCTGAAGGAATTTATTAAATTCCTTTTCTGAATATTTGGTTTATGAATTATATAATATTCTCGGTCAAGGAATAACTTTGCTTTGTCTCTTTCTTAGGGAGTTTTTACGTTTGGCAAGTCCTTTAAATTGTGGTGCCTGGGACAAAAAACTGCTGAAACAATATAGGGTCCACAAACCAAGTTCACTGAGTTATGAACCAGAGATGAGAAGTAAGCTGACTGAAAATTCCCCTTTTTGATTTATTTTATGAATGAAAATCATGTAGGGGCTGAACATTATTTCAAGAAGTTTGTGAAAGCAAAGAGAGAAGGGCTTATTATTTAAGTAGGAAACAAAAGATTGGGTTGATTGACAAAGGGGACAGCTGGAGAGAAGAAGGAATCATTAGTATTTTAAGGATCCAGAAGAGATAGGAATTATGGGTAGAACAACCCTTGGCTTGGAAGGGAGATACCTCTTTCTCAGAGGATTTGTAATTTCTCTGTGTTCCTTGAGTAGCCTTTGCCGCCTGTACTGAAGAGTCGTTGATCAGATTATTGTTGACAGGCTCTGGATTTGCAGGACAACTACTGCAGGAACACATGGAGGATAGGAAATTTAAAATATTGATAAAAGTAGTTGAACTGATACATTAATCTAGCATATGGGCTGGATAAGGAAATAAGTGAAGCCAAGTAGCGAGTGATAGTCTGAGAGAAAAGAAGGGTTAGATGACCACTTTGGAAGGAAGTAGTGATCATATAGTTCAGCTCTTTCGTTTTTCAGGCGACAGTTCTGAAGTCAGATTAAACAAACTTCACGCATTATTTCAGTCTTATTTTTTCCTCATACAGATGATTGTCAGTGACTAGCAAATACTGTACTTGTGTTTTGGAAACCTTAAGATATTCTGACTTCCAACACCGTTACATTCAAGAATATAAAGGATTGCAGTTTTTCATATTAACTAATATACAGCTTCCGGATGTATTTTTTGTTATTGCCATTTTTTTATTATTTTTGTACTTTACACAGTTTCTTAGAATTGAGTTGTGATTTTTCTTTGCTAAGAGTAGAAACAAAAATAGTTCCTCTCCCTAAGAGAATATTGAAATATTTTTATAGTTGCCTGAATATCTGGCACATTTAGGCGGAAAACAGTTACCTATGCTTACGTAGTTTATCTTGAGAGAGAATATTTTTTTCATTACATTTGTAAAGTGTCCCTTGAAAGATAATGACAATTTGTTTAGAATTTGTCTTTTCATTCTTGAAATTGTTACCCTTTCTATAAAAATGGAAGTCTTTAAATTAAAGTACTTTATGATCATGTATTTAGTTCTAATAATTGTAAGGAAAGAATGAATAATGGGGAGAAAATGGAAGAATCAAGTTTCTGCCGTTTATCTGTAATTTTTTAATAAAGATGACTTATTTCCTTTCATTTTAATGCTTCTAAAATTGTTTACTTTTTCCTCAAAGATAATTAATAAAACATAGTTTTATGAAATAAATGTATTATGTGATTTGTAAACTATTAACTGAGATTTATAATTAAATTACATTGTATCATGTACATGACAGTTATTTGAGATTTTTATTTTTATTTATACTCTAGTTTCCAACATTCCTGCAATGGTGCATGTTGCTTTAGGGAAACACATGCTGTTAAGTTTAAAAATAAAGTACATTAAAACTGGATAATGATCTTGGTGCTTAAAAAGAAAATTACTGTATATTGAAACTGAAGTGGTATTTAAAAATAAATTCGCCTTGTAAACTTATTTTAAAATCCCATATGACATTTTCACGAGAGATTTCTTTGACTTACAGGTAGTATGATCACATCTCTGGAAGGTCTGGGTACCGATAATGTTTTTAGCTTACATGAAGATAACCATTACCGGATAAGCAAGAGCCTGGTAAAATCTGCGGAAGGAAGTACTGTACCCCTAACCAGGGTGAAATGTCTGGTCTCCATGACAACCCCACATGACATCAGACTTCATGGGTCATCAGTTACTCCAGCTTTTGTTGAATTTGACACATCACTTGAAGGGTTTGGGTAAGGAATTTGCAAGGAAGCCAAGCTTTATTATTTTATGCCTCATACTTGCCTTTACAAATAAATCTTTGGTTTTAAATATACTTGATTAAAATATATTTTACCATACTTAATATTTTTTAATGATTGAATTTTTTGGGCATGCTATCTTAAGATTGCTACATTTAATTATTTATGTTTATTATACTAAATAAATTGACATGACATAGGAATCGAAAATCTTAGGCCCACGGACCAAATCTGTTTTGTCAGTAAAGCTTTTGCAAACTGTCTTTATTTATTAATTTTTTTTTGTAAATGAAGTTTTATTGGAACACAGCCACACTCATTTATATATATATTTCCTATGGTCATTCTTGTGCTGGAGTGTCAGAGTTGAGTAGTCAGGATGGAGACTGCCTGGTTTACAAATAATAAAATATTTATGACTTGGCCCTTCCCAGAAAAGTCTGCCAACTTCTGATGTAATACATATAAAAGTGTAGATAATATATAAATTAAAATTAGATTGAAAATTCTTTGGGTTTTATCATCTGTCCTTCAAATTACCTAGCATCATAATTTATACTATATTCAATGACTGTCACTTCAAATGAGTGAATTATTTCAATTAGCAGAAAAGATTATGGTAGTAGAAATGCCAGTAATGAATCTATAAACAATTTAAAAGAGTTGATGAAGTTTAGCAGCCTTAAAATAGACACAAATGTTAATAGATCTAATAGCTAGATCTGTTAGCTATTAGAGGTTTTTTTTGTTGTTGTTGTTATTGTTTTTTTTTTTCTTTTCTTTTGAGACAGTCTTGCTGTCACCCAGGCTGGAGTGCAGTGGCACTATCTTAGCTCACTGTAACCTCCGCTTCCTGGGTTCCAAGTGATTCTCGTGTCTCATCCTCCCAAGTAGCTGGGATTACAGGCATATGCCACCACACCTGACTAATTTTTGTGTTTTTAGTAGAGATGTGGTTGTGCCATGTTGGCCAGGCTGCTCTCAAACTCCTGACCTCAGGTGATCTACCCACCTCAGCTTTCCAATGTGCTGAGATTACAGGCATGAGCCACTGCGCCCAGCCTTAGAATGTTAATTCATAATTTTTGTCTATACTAGTTGTTTGTGGTGTTCTTATATTGATGGAAACCTTTGTGTTTTAAGAATATTGGGCCGGGCACGGTGGCTCACGCCTGTAATCCCAGCACCTTGGGAGGCCGAGGCGGGTGGATCACGAGGTCAAGAGATCGAGACCATCCTGGCCAACATGGTGAAACCCTGTCTCTATTAAAAATACAAAAACATTAGCTGGGCATGGTGGCGCGTGCCTGTAGTCCCAGCTACTCGGGAGGCTGAGGCAGGAGAATTGCCTGAACCCAGGAGGCGGAGGTTGCGGTGAGCCGGGATCGCGCCATTGCACTCCAGCCTGGGTAACAAGAGTGAAACTCCTTCTCAAAAAAAAAAAAGAATATTATCATGGGTCATTATCAAACAATTAAAACATGATTGGGAATAGTCAAAAACGATCACTGATAACAACAGAGTGACTAGAAAGGGGCACAGGGGAATTTTCCTGCAGTGATGAAATTGATCTAATGTCTTGATTGGGTTTATACATTAGCGTATGTTACCATGTGCATATTACACCTTAATTTTTTAAAAATTTAAATTAAAAATGTTATTTTAGGAGATTTTACAGTTGTATCTCTTGAAATCATTACATAACTGAAAGAAGTCAGGGCTTCCAGATTTATTCCATGATCTTGTGTCTAGTTACCGTTAAATACTGGCAGTTATTTCACTGTTGTAAGTGCATAGTGTTAAGGGATAAAGTCTTGATCTCTAATATGTATGTTGTCTTTTCTTTAATAGCTGTCTGTTTCTGCCTAGTTTGGCCCCTCATAATGCACCTACAAATAATGCCGTCACAACAGGTCTTAATGATGGGGCTGTCGTCAGTGGTATTGGTTTTGGTAAGTAATGTTTTCTTTCTGCTTATGATATTTCCAGTACATTATATTTAATTTAGAGTTTATATGCTTTTGTGGGCATCTTTAAAAATATAAATATTAATCAACACCAACTTTTTTTGTTATCATAGGGGAAAGATTCTTCCCTCCTCCATCTGGCTTAAGCTACTCTAGCTGGTTTTGTATTGAACATTTTAGTTCTCCTCCAAATAGCCACCCTGTCAGACTTCTTACCGTTGTGCGCCGAGCAAATTCTTCTGAGCAACATTACGTGTGCCTTGCCATAATTCTGTCAGCAAAAGACCGATCTCTGATTGTTTCCACTAAAGAGGAACTCCTCCAAAATTACGGTCAGTATTTGCATTTTCTGTTTTTTCTTTTAATTCTAGAAGTATTAAAACTTCATTTTTATATTTATTTTAAAAGTCCAACTGATAACTTTTCAGCTTAAATTATTATAGCATAGAACAAGTTATATGAAATATTGAATATTGCTTACCAGTGCATTTTAAGGCACTTTCAAAAGAGACTTACAAAACAGTGGAGAGAGTGAGTACCTAAAAGAACTTATCTCTGCTTGCCAAGAAATCATAGCTTTTGCTAGGAAAGCAGGTTGCTTGTTTGAGTATTTTGGTAAGGATTATCATTGGCTGTGAATTCTGCTTAACTAATTAATATTCATTGAGCACCTGCCCGCCATATGTGCCACACTGTGCTAGACACAATAACATTTCAATTACCTTATCCATGACTTACCTTTAAGATGTAATACATATGAATTTATAATTCCAATTCCCTAGTTTTCTCCAATATGCCATGACTTTACAGTGCTATACAATGGAACTCCAAACTCAAGGCATTCATGAAGATCATGCTAAATGATGTAAATAACTTAAAATGTAAATCTCATTTACTCAATTTTCTTGCAGAAGAATATCACCATTTTTATATAAATGTGATTTTTGTCATCTAATTTTGTTCTTTTAACTAAATAAGTAAAATAATACCATATTAATTGACATGTGGTTGGTATTCAGTAAATATTAATTTAATATAATTGTTAGTCTTTTAATTAGATTGTAAGGTTTCTTGACTTAGTATTTTTCATGGTACCTAGCACAGAACTATCAATGTAGTTAATACTTCAAAATTATTGTTGTGATGCTTTATTTACCCCTTAGTAGCATTTGGTCCTGTTGACTAATTTCTCTTAATTAAAACTATCTTCAGTCTTGCATTCTAGAATGCTCACTATTTCTCTGATCTTTGTTTTGCAATTTCCTTCAGTCGCTTTCTCTTCTATCTTCTCCTCAAAATTAGTATTCTCCAGGGTTTCACTTTTGATCTTTGTACTTGACCAACTCTTCTTGGGGGAAAAAAGCATGAATTAGTATTGCTTTAAGTCTTTTTTACTTCAAGGACTGTGAAGTCAAAAATATTTTTCATTTGTCTGTATCCGAAGCTATGTCCTTATATTTCCAGCTGCATATTAGACATCTCTATATGAACAGTATTCCAATAAACATCTCAGATTCTAGTATTTCTTCTTTATAAAACCTACATCTCCTTTAGAAGAGACCAAGGTTGCAGGTTTGCTGAAGCACATGAGTTTGAGGTTGCAGTGAACTATGAAGGGGCCACAGAGCTCCAGCCTAGAGAGACCCAATTTCAAATAAAAACAAAAATCCTACGTCTCCTTCTGCTTTCCTGTGTTGGTAAATGACACTACCACTACCAGTTGGCCCAGCTAGAAATGTTGAGTCAACTTGAAAATACCACCCCTTCACTAAGTCTTACTGTAATATGCCTCCCTAATATTTCTAAAATCTTCCCTTCCTCCCTATGCTCACTTCCATAACACTTGTTTAATAATCTTCATCTCTTATCTAGACTTCATAGATTTTAATTTTTAATTTTCTTTTTGTCTGCTTATTCCATTAGAACCTCCCACAAACAAGATTATTAATCTTTGTAATCTAGGCAGCCCTGTTGTCTGACATAGTACCTAGAATGTATTAGGCATGCAGATATTATGTAAACATATAAATGCATGAATAGAGGAAATGAATGGCCTGAGGAGGAAACAATGAGAAAAGTGAATAATAATGGGGAATTTGAAAACACCCAAGAATTTAATGGAAAAGTTAAGGAGTGGATCTGGAGACAAATCTATAAACTAGGAAAATATTTTCTAACTCTATTTCATTTTTATTACTAAATGTAATTTGCCAGGCTGCTACAGTCCATACATGATTAGAAATGATGGTAACATAAATTAGTATTGCCAGGATATGTTCTCCCAACAGCTGTAACCCATTAAGATGCCTAGGAAATTAAGAGTTGTCATAAGCCAGTTGGCTGACTGAGATATCCTGACACACCACTCAGTGCTAGAAATGTCTTAGTTCAAACCTAAGACAGAAAATGAAACGTTCACAAATTTTTGTAAGGAATATCTTCTTCAGTACTTGAGAAGACTTATAGTCTATGAACCAGGGAAGGAAGAGGGACAAGTTTCTTGTTTCACCCATATGTTCATCTTTAGTTCCACCTCCATTGGTCCATAACATGAGACCTATCAAGGCTTTAGGATCCCGCTTTCTGCCTAGTTTAGTCAGTTCCTATATCAAGTCACCTCATAGATAAGATTTTTGCCTGTGTAATAGTCTTATCAACAGACATATATTCTGAATTGCCATTCTAAAATGTCTTGGTGTTTAAGTATATGCAGATATTTTAAGATTCCAAAATTAGAAATTAATATTTTATTTGCATTTTCTATTTCATATATCGTAAGTTTTACTTTCATATATTTACTTGTTTGTACATGCAGTGGAAATACTAGATCTGCTTTAAATTGCGTGGTTACAGATTAGCTTTTTTCTTAATTAGAAAAATGAGTATTTAAAATCTGGCTTTTCACTGCTGTCTTGTCACTTATTAAGTACTGATGAAAGGTAAATTTATTTTTATTTAGCTTAACATTAAAATTAAATTAATATGAAACCATTATTTCTTAGCATGGTTTGGTAACAAATAGGGTAGCAAAGAGGAGCCAGATTAGAGTCAAGAAGTAATTGTAGAATGGTAGCAAGTCAGAATATATTTATGTACATGGGACACAGTTGTCTGATGAAGCAGGAAATGGATCAACAAATACCTATTCTATACTGTAAATCATCTCCTTTTTACTAGCTGTTATTGTGGACAGTACGGCCACTAACTAATAATAGATAGTTGTTCCCTTGTATCATTGAGTATAGCATATAGCAAGAATAAACTTCACATTTTTCTTGGTTCTTTTTCTAACCCATACCGTAACCAAATCAATGTCAAAAAGTTACAACACATTATTGTTGACTATAGGTGCAGTGTTGTAGAGCAGATCTCAAGCTTTTTGTCTCTTGCTTCACTGAAACTTCATGCCATTTGTTTAGAAACTCCCCATTTGCCCCTCCCTCGAGACCTTGGCATTCAACGAATTTGACTATTTTAAATACCTCAAGTAAGTGGAGTCATGCAGTATTTGTCTTTCTATAACTGGCTATTTCATTTAGCATAATGTCCTTAAGCTTCCTATGTTGTTAGATATTGCAGAATTTCCTTCTTTAAGATGAAATACTATTTCATTGTATGTATATACTGCATTTTCTTTACCTACTCATCTGTCCAGGGAAGTACTATTGCCTCTTTGAAGTCCTGATTTCGGTGATTTTAGGTAAGTGCCTAGAAATGGTATTGCTGGATTATATGTTAGTTCTATTTTCAGTGTTTTGAGGAACCTCCATACTGTTTTCCATAGCAGCTGCGGCACTTTGCATTCCCACCAACAGTGTACAAGGTTTCAGTTTCTCCACATTCTTGCCAAAGTTTGTATTTTGTTTTTTGATAATAGCCATTCTGACAGGTGTGAGGTGTGATATGTCATTGAGCTTTTAGTTTGCATTTCCCTGATGATTAGCAACACTGAGTATTTTTTATATACCTGTCTGCCATTTATGTGCCTTCTTTGGAGAAATGTCTATTCAAGTTCTTAGCTCATTTTTAATTGATTAATAGTTTCTTTACTATTGAGTTCTAGTAGTTCTTTATGTATTTTTGACATTGATCCCATATAAAATACATAGTTAGCAAATATTTTTCCCCCATTCCATAGATTGTCTTTTCACTCTGTTGTTTCCTTTGCTATTCAAAAGCTTTTCAGTTTGCAGTAGTTCCACCTGCTTATTTTTGTTTTGGGTGTCAACTAGTCTCTTTTTTATTGTTTATCATAACTTTATTGTCTCTTAATTTTTCTTTTTCTTGCTTCATTAGCTAACTTTTGTTCATTATAACTTTATTTGATTATACTTATATTTCTTGAGCAGACGAGAGCAAAAATATATTCTAGGTTTCACTTCTTACTGCAGGTAAGGGTATTTGCATGAATAGGGTATCTTCAGTTTGCATTATCTTTTTATTTTTATTTTATTTCTTTTTGAAATGGAGTTTTGCTCTGTCACCCAGGCTGGAGTACAGTGGCGCAGTCTCAGCTCACTGCAACCTCTACCATTCAGGTTCAAGCAATTCTCCTGTCTCAGACTCTCAAGTAACTGGGACTATAGGCGCACACCACCATCCCTGGCTAATTTTTGTATTTTTAGTGGAGATGGGGGTTTCCCCATGTTGGCCAGGCTGGTCTCGAGCTCCTGACCTCAGGTGATTCGCCCTCCTCTGCCTCCCAAAGTACTGAGATTACAGGCGTGGGCCACCGCACCCAGACAACATTACCGTTTTTTTTTTTCTGGAGTTTTATTATTACTCAAATCAGTCTGCGTCATCATTTTATTTTAACACAAAGTCAAAACATGCTGATCTAGATATGAATAACTGTTTCAATAGGAATGATATTGGGAAAGGTTTTTTATGGCTTCCCCCCTTTATTTCAGTTGATGATTTTAGTGAGGAGTCCTCATTCTATGAGATTCTCCCATGCTGTGCTCGCTTTCGATGTGGAGAGCTTATCATTGAGGGACAGTGGCATCATCTGGTCCTGGTAATGAGCAAAGGCATGTTGAAAAACAGTACTGCAGCCCTCTATATTGATGGACAGCTCGTTAATACCGTAAAGGTAAGCATGCCTGCACTTGTAAATCTGCCTGCTTTAAAGGTAGTCGTTTGCGGGGGTGGGAAAGGATCTGTGTATGTGTGTGTTTTACAGGGATATTTTTAAGGTTACTATCTTAATTTTAAGTTGATATTCAGTGCCCACTTGAAAAATAGATTAGACTCAAGAGGCTAATTTTTATCATTTTATTAGAGAAGAATAGAAATGAGGGCTTATAGGTACTAAAGAAGTTTCTGAATATGCAAGAGCTTAAGCAAGATGGCTAGTTGCTTTTTCATAAAAGAGGAACCAGTTGAACGATTCCTAAATAACAGTGAGCACACTTTTTTATTACTTCATTGCTGTTGTTGTATTTTAGTCCAGAAGACTTACTTTAGAGCTAGAATTGTTTTTTTTTCTTTGTTTTCAGATCACCCAGATTAGTCCCTGATAATGATAACAGTATTCGGTTTATTGTTTCTTGAATGAATAAGTACATAAACATTACTCTAGATTGCTGTAGTATTTAGAAGAGAAAAAAGAGTTGATGCAGCAAGTAAAAAAACAGGTGAAACTTCCTTTTTCTGAATGAGAATAAATCTTGCTAGTTACTTTCTATAGATCTCAGTTCACAAGCTCTGAAAATTCTTTAACTTCTAAAACACAGTATCCATTTTATTTGATTTTATTCTGTTTTATTTTGCTTTGCTTTTTTTGTTTTTGGTTTTGGTTTTTCTTCTTTTTTTAAAACAGAGTCTTGCTCTGTCACCCAGGCTGGAGTGCAGTGGCGCAATCTCAACTCACTGCAACTTCCACTTCCTGGGTTTGAGCGATTCTCATGCCTTAGCCTCCCAAGTAGCTGGGACTATAGGTGTGTGCCACCACGCTTGGCTAATTTTTGTATTTTTAGTAGAGATGGGGTTTCTCTTTGTTGGTCGGGCTGGTCTCGAAGTCGACCTCAGGTGATCCGCCTGCCTTGGCCTCCCAAAGTGCTAGGATTACAAGCAGGTATCCATTTTAGAGCAATATCACTTGAAAGAAGTAACAAAGACAAAGTTTGTAATTGTGTGTGAATTAAAGTTTAAAAAGCACTGAAACCAGCAGGTTCTTTGATTGGATTTCCTTCCTTGATGATAATATTTTCTTCCTTGATGATAATAATATCATGTTTCAACATGATAAACCCTAAAATGCACCTTGTAGAATAGTCATTGATTTCTTTGTATACATGATTGCATTTGAAATGGGCTTGTAGATTCTCTAGTATATTTCTCCTTTGTTAATTTTAGTGATATTAAAAATGCCCTCAGCTGCTAGAGTTGAGCAGTAGGAACTTTATTGTCAATTTATTTACATCATCATCATCACTGTCCCTGTCAGTAGTCACAGACTGTGAAATCAGCTCTAAGCTCACATGTTGGTCTTCACAGTTTTGCTGTTAACATCACCAAGAACTTTTGTTTGATACACAGAATAATGAATAGGATCTGAAGCTAAGATGTTACTGTGACAAAACAATTAATGGAAATTTCCTTCATCTCATCAAGTTGCTTCAGCAGGAAAAAGCAACTTAATTTCCTTATCTCTTACACGGTACTTAATTGTATATTTATTATAGTATTTTATCCCTATAAAACACTTTTTATCAGTAATTTTAGTTAGCAGACTTGCACTGAAGGTAGCATACCTAATTTCAAGACTACTTTAATTACGTAGTGGAAAGCTCTCTATTTCAGCACAAAAATTTCAGAGAAGCATCATTAAAACTTGATATGCAAACCGGCCAGTGACAGTATCCCTATATTTGGTTATTGTCATTGCTAGCATTAAAGAGTTTATCTGTGTTAGAGAGTTGGATAAAAGTTTTAGCTGCTGTATCTGGTCCTCAGTTAGGGATCCCAGTATCATCCTTTGCCCTTCCTGTTTCTCAACCCCGAATGGTTTTGTGCATTTGTAAAGTTGTGTGACCTTGGGTTAATGAAAATACATATGCTGAAGTAGCTATTTTCTTGGGGAAAGTGTTCACATCTCACACATTTGCTTTTGTCTTCCTTACAGCTTCATTATGTTCACAGTACTCCGGGGGGTTCAGGTTCTGCAAATCCACCAGTGGTGAGCACAGTCTATGCCTACATTGGTACTCCACCTGCCCAACGCCAAATTGCTTCATTGGTTTGGCGCCTGGGACCCACACATTTTCTAGAAGAAGTTTTACCTTCTTCGAATGTTACTACCATTTATGAACTTGGACCAAATTATGTTGGAAGCTTTCAGGCCGTATGTATGCCATGTAAGTAACTTATTTTTAGTTCTTGAAGTTTTATGAAACTTAACTGCTGCCGTATGTATACATGTGTGTGTACGAAGTTAAACATATTGTTTATCTAGGAAAAGAGCCTTCTCCTTCTCTAATCTTCTTCAACAGGATACTCACTCCTATTTAAAATATTTTCCTACACTGATCATACTGCACTTTCTGGATTCTTTGTCTTTATGCCTGATCACTCATTATCTGGTATCTCTTATTGGCTCCAAGATGTAGGCCTATACCCTCTAGGAGTCTAACTGTGACCATCTTCTTTTTCTGTGATTTCTCCTATTACATGAAGCAGTTTAATGTACAGCCACTCCTGTTAAAGAAAGAACAGATGGGTTCAAAAAACACACACATATATTCTCTAGATTAGAAGAGTTAACATTATTTTTCTTCATCTCTTTACTCCAAGTCTACTTTTTTGTTATCCTTTCTCTCAAAGAAATTTAGACTCAAAGGAACTGTTTAAGCTGGCAGTTCCTTGGTAGTACTCCTTGCAAATGATGGCTTCCACTCCCTTGTTCTGATTCTACTAAGAATCTCAGAAGCGTTAGGATAAGTATATTTTAAGTGGTAATAATCCTATGATTTAGTAATTTATCTTTTCACTTTATCTTAATTTAGATGTTATCTAATAAAAACTAACACTTCTTGGGAACTTGTGTGCTAAATAAGTCGATACACATGAAGGAGATAGCTGTTCTGAGTCCTTCACATGTATTTATTCATCTTAAAACACTGTCAATTTGATACTGTCATTATCATTCCCATTTCACAGAAGAGTAAACTGAAGCACAAAGAGATATAGGTCACACAGCTTTTAAGTGATAAAGCAAGATTCAAATTCAGGCTATGTGGCTTTAAAACACATGCCTTTATTAATAACTGCTCTGCTGTGTTGTCTAGAATAATACAGGCAGGCATATCTGAGTGCTGTTTTTAGGGAGGGGACATAGTGCGACACAGCTGATAGGGACTTTACTCATTTCCATTCCTTTTTCCTTTGAATTTAGGGGGACATGTTTTATAATTTGTCTGACGACAGTTAAAACTTTCCCTCTTCCTTTGCATTGTGCTATATGTTAAACATGCTTTAAGAGTAGCACTTAGAATGTAGAACTCTATGACTAGATATCCTTTTCCATTTTTTAATTAAAGAAATGAAGAGCTGAGAATTAAGTAAAATATTTTTAAAATTTACCTCTCTTATTCTGCTTTAAGATTTTCAAGCCTCTTCATTTAAAAACGATGTGATAAGAAACTTGTTTTAAGATGAGAATCACTGATGATTTTGAAAAGAATTATTCTTCTTTTGAAGGTAAAGATGCAAAATCCGAAGGGGTAGTTCCATCCCCTGTGTCCTTAGTACCAGAGGAGAAGGTGTCATTTGGCCTCTATGCACTCTCTGTGTCTTCCCTAACAGTGGCAAGAATCCGGAAAGTATATAACAAATTGGATAGCAAAGCCATTGCTAAGCAGGTAAGCAGAATGATTTTTTGGTGAACTGTGGTTGATTCTCACTGGGAACATACCTCACAACCTCATATGGATACTACCCAATTATGAGTGATTGCTAAATATCATACCTTTCATGTACTGCTTATGTTTGGTTAATTTGACTTCAAATGTAGGCCAAAACACATGCAGATATGTAACTTAATTTGGAAAAGTGACAGATTCTGTTATGAGTACATAATTCATGTTAACTTTTTGTTTATATTGGCAATTAAGAGATTTAACTTTAGAAAAACTAATGAAAACAATTACTGTTTTTAGGGCTACAACTCAACTTTTTAATGAACGGCCTATTATATGCCAGGTAACATTTAGTTCACAACATAGCAGCAGATAAAAAGAAAATTTCTGCTTTTATGTTTTCTACATTCTAGTAGAAGAGACAGATGATAATACCTGAAGAAATAACGTAATCATGAAGTATGTTGGATGGTGATGAGTGCTATGCAGTTAAATAAAGCAGGGAAGGGGAAAAAAGAAGCTTCAAGTTTTAAATATGGTGGTCCAAGGAGTCATTACTGAGAAGGTGAATTTTGAGCAAAGACTTGACAGGGATGAGGTAACAAGCCACAGAATAGGAGCTTGGGATATACATATGAGTGTGGGAGTGTTTTGTATTCCAGGAGTACAGGTGCAAAGGCCCGGAGAAAAGTACTGTAAGTGCCACATTGGAGACAAATGTGGCTGGAGTAAAATTAGAGAAGTCCTGGGCAGTAGGAGAGGAGCCCAGAGAGATGATGGGCCCTAGGTTGTTTAGGATTCTGGGGGCAATTGTAAAGCCCCTGGCTTTGATGAAATAAGATAGGAGGCATTATGAGGTTCCAGACATAGAAGGGAAATGCTGTAACTTACATTTTATCACCACAAAGGTAGTAGTCGGGAGACAAGTTATAAGGCCAAAACGGTAAATAATTCCTATGAGAGATTATGGTGATTTTAACTTGGGCAATAGCAGTGGTGTTGATAAGAAGTGATCAGATTCAAGATGTCTGTGTATGTATATATATATATATATATACACACACACACATACATACATATATATATACACACACATCTACATACATATATATATATATACACACACACATATACATACATATATATACACATATACGTACATTTATTTATATTTATTTTTATTTTTTTTAATGAATGAGAGGTTACATTGCCCAGGTTGGCCTCAAATGCATAGCCTTTCCTCAAGCGCTGGGACAACTGGCCTGAGCCACCACGGCTCCCTTTTTTTTCTTTGAGATGGAGTTTCGCTCTTATTGTCCAGGCTGAAGTGCGGTGGTGCAATCTTGGCTCACTGCAACCTCCACCTCCTGGGTTCAAGCGATTCTCCTGTCTCAGCCTCCTGAGTAGCACCACCACACCCAGCTCATTTTTATACTTTTTTTTTTTAAGGCTAGTCAACTGAAGCAGTGGGAGTAGAGAAGGAAGAAAGAAATCTGTAACTGGTTGTGATCAATAATTTTTGTATTTTTAGTAGAGATGTAGTTTCACCATGTCGGCCAGGCTGGTCTCAAACTCTTGACCTCAGGTGATCCACCCACCTCAGCTTCCCAAAGTGCTAAGATTACAAGTGTGAGCCACACCACTTGCCACAAGGAATATTTTAAAGGTAGACCTAACAGTTTTTGGTGATAGAATGTGAAATGGGTGTGGAAGGTGAGAGAGTTAAGGAGTCCAGGGTTTTTTCTTGAACAGCTGGGAAAATGGAGTCACATTTTCTGATTTGAGAAAACTACAAAAAGTACGGTTGGGGGAAATACTGAGAATTCTGTTTTGGAAGTTTGAGAAGTGTATTAGATATCACAGCAGAGATTTCATGGCCGTTGGAAATGTGAATCTGAATTTCATTTATACAGGTAGTGTTTAAAGCTATGAGTCTACATGTATTCACCAAAGCCTAGATGTAGATAGGGAACTGGAAAGGTTTAAAGACTGAACCCTGGGACATTCCAGTGTTTTGGAGTTGGGGAGATCAAGAAGAACCAGAAAAGACTGAGAAGTAGCAGTCAGTGAGAAGGGAGAAAAAGCAGGAGGGCCTAATGTTGTAAGATCAAGGATTCACTTTGGAAACGTGTTAAGTGGTCATAGTAAGATGAGAAGTGAGGACTGACTATGGGGTTTAGCAAGGTGATCTCATCAGTGAATTTGATAAGCCATTTTGACTGATTATCAAAGTCAAAGTCCAAGGGAAAGGAAATCAAGAGACCAGGAACTTGTAAGTATTGACCGCTCTTATTGTGTGTATATGTGTGTGTGTGTGTGTGTGTGTGTGTGTGTGTGTGTGTGTGTATACATATATATATATGATAGATATATATACCTTCTAAGGAACATAAACTATACGTTAGTCTATAGTGAACAACAAAATTGAAGTTATATTTTCCTTGAAAATAGATCTTGTATATGTGTGAATGTACAAAATGTAAGATTCCTTTATGTAGGCGTGTTTTATCTATAAACTCTTGAAAAACTTATATAGAGTTTAGTTGGATATGGAATAAAGCTAATATGTTCACTGATCTGACATACTGTTAGGCAATTGGTGATGACAACCTTCCCACTACCATAGAACTTTAGTCAGAAAGACCCCTGAAGCTGTGTCTCAAGACCTTCTTGCCATCTTTATCTTAGTAAATTGTATTTAACTACTATGAGTTTCCATACTTGGAGGTGTTTGTACATTTCCAAAAAGTAAATGCAACCAGGCTGGAGTGTAGAGTGCCAGTGGCATGATCTCCACGCACTTCTGCCTCCTGAGTAATGTACCACCATGCCTGACTAATTTTTTGCATTTTAGTAGAAATGAGGTCTCGCCATGTTGCCCAGGCTGGTCTCAAACTCCTGGGCTCAAGTAATCCCCTCGCCTCTATCTTGCAAAGTGTTGGGATTATAGGTATGAGCCACTAGGCTGAACATAAATGTTCATTTTTCATTGTTCTGATAAGGGAGGAAAGAAAGATACGTTATCATTCATGTGCTTGATTTCTTTTCCAATCAAAACATTGAAATTGTTCTTATATAATTACATTATTTTCCTTTCCTATTTTTCAGTTAGGCATTTCCTCACATGAGAATGCCACTCCTGTGAAGTTGATACACAATTCAGCAGGACATCTTAATGGATCTGCACGGACAATTGGGGCTGCTTTAATTGGATATTTGGGTAAGTGGACTTTGTTATTTCAGACTTCTTTATTTGCCTTCAAGTTTGCATTCACTTTCCTCACTTGAGGGACAGTATTTAAGTTCATATTTTATAGCACTGACCAATAGTGTACATGCAATATTTAGGGATTAAATGTAATAATCTCAAATTCCAGTCAACTTAAAATAATAACCTTTCGTAAAATCCCATTAACTTATACATATATACCATGGAATACTATGCAGCCATAAAAAGAAATGAGGTCATGTCCTTTGCAGGGACATGGATGAAGCTGGAAATCATCATCCTCAGCAAACTAACACAAGAACAGAAAACCAAACATCACATATTCTCACCCATAGGTAGGGCCTGATCAATGAGAACACATGGACACAGGGAGGGGAACAACACACACCAGGGCCTGTCAAGGAAGGTGGCCCAAGGGAGGGAGAGCATCAGGACAAATAACTAAAGCATATGGGGCTTAATACCTAAGTGATGGGTTGATAGGTGGAGCAAACACCATGACACATGTTTACCTATGTAACAAACCTGCACGTTCTGTGCATGTATCCCAGGAAGTAAAATAAAATAAAAAATCTCACTCACTTTTTTCCTGTTGTCAGTAATGATGAGCACTGACTATATAATTTCATGTAATTTTTAGGTAAATTTCAAACTACATTTAGTGACAGGTATCAAAATTCAGAACTATTATTGATTGTTTCATGGTTTGGTATAGCTCATGAGTTTTTCTGTTAATTTAGAAATGAGCTAGAAAAAAGAGCTTCTGAGTATAAACACTATGACTCAAACGATAATAAAAGTTTAGAGAGTAGACATTCTACAGAGCCTTGTACATGTCTGCTTAAAACTTTTGTTGTTGTTAGATAGGATCTTGAGACATAAACCAGTCAGGCCATCCAAAATTCAGAACCATTGATTGTGCCTTGTAATGTGTAAACCAGTATATAATACTGGTCCCTTTTTAGATTAATAAAAAGTTAGTGTGCTGGTCAGAATTCAATGTCTTTATCAGTCATTGGCAATATTTATTGTCCCAGTGAATTGCATAAATCTTTTTTTTAATAATATCGCATTGATAAAAGTTTTTTTTACTCTAAAGCACATGATGTAGTGTTCTTTAATTCAAAAACTACTTACTGAGAACTGTGATATGTCCTTTTCTAAAGTATAGCAGCCCTGTGGTACAATGGAAAGAGCAGGAGCAGTGAATAAAGAGTTCAGAGACTTAGGTTCTAGCCCCTCTTGTCTCACTGTGTGACATTATGCTATACAGTTAAGCTCTATGAACTTCAGTTTTCTTATCTATAAACTAGGTATACTGGCCCTAATTACCTTAGGAGCCAGCACCATAATATATGAAAGTATTGTGGGCTGGGTATGGGGGCTCACACCATGTAATCCCAGCACTTTGGGAGGCCGAGACAGGAAGATTGTTTGAGCCCAGGAGTTCAAGGCTTCAATGAATGTAACTGAGCCACTGCACTCCAGCTGAGGTGACAACAAGACCCTGTCTCAAAAAACAAAAAGGAAAGAAGGAATGAAAGTATTGTGAATACAGAGCACGTAGAAATATAGTATGCATGTTAGTTTTATTTTTTAAAACTCAATCTTGATCAGTAGGTAAGTGACATTCAAATAATGCCTCTTTAAAATGTTAGGATTGTAGGTGAGATTTTTTTGTTAATTGGCACACAGTTCCAGAACTGTGTTTCTATAAACTTATGCTCTACTAAAGTCACTGATATACTGTTACTCAGATTACTTAACCAAGGGAAGCTTTGGGTAATGGTCAGTAATGTGCTTTGCTTGGCTCATCTATAGGAGAGGTATCATCCCTGCCATGCTGACTTCTCCAAGCCTTTCCCCAGTTCAAAGAGTTAAAGTGATTTTTATTCTCCCCAAGTTTATTCCCCAACAGAAGCTAGTAAGGCACTCTCACTTAGGAATGCATTCTCAAGACCTTTGAGTACAGCCCAAAGCTACACAGTAGAAACATTTGTGCTTGCTGTAAAGCCCAGTTCTTCTCTGCCCACTCCTCTACTCTCAATCTTCAGTGACAGAATGTAGATTAGCAGTTTTTATTGCCTTTTTTCAAATTCTACCTGTAGTGCTTTCCCTAGAATTTGCATTTTAGACAGAAGATATTTTTTAAATAAAACAATACTAATTAAAAACTTGTCAAGATGATATATACATCTCTTGTTCACATGGGGAATTTATCTTAATTATTTTTCACTGTCTTTTAATCAGGAGTAAGAACATTTGTCCCTAAGCCTGTTGCCACTACTTTGCAGTACATTGGTGGAGCTGCAGCCATCCTGGGCCTGGTGGCCATGGCCTCTGATGTGGAAGGGTTATATGCAGCAGTCAAGGCCCTGGTTTGTGTGGTCAAGAGTAACCCACTAGCCAGCAAAGAAATGGAAAGAATCAAGGGCTACCAGGTTTGTAACTGTAAAACTTTGCCTTCACCTGACCTGGCACCGAAAATACTCTGCTTTTCATTATCATTCATGTTGTTTAAACTCTGGAAGAATTATGTTGTCCAAGTAAACTTAAGCCAGTCGTTTTATGAAAACTAATATATGTCAAATGAAAGTATGTATTGTTTCTTTATTTTGCTTTATCCTTTTTCTCCTATCTTATCTTACTAAACACTTTAGTTAGGCTACATTATTTCAATATGGCTTTAATACATTGAATATATTTTCAGAACAAAGGTTGGCTGGTTTGAATGTTGTTTTTCTCTGTGGAAATAGGAATGAAATGAAATGGGGTTTTATTCCCCCTTCCTCAAAAGATTGCCAAATCCATGGTAGATCCAAGGCTTTTCCTCTTGTGTTGTCTCTCACCTCTACCTCACACCCTTTTATCTCTGTTATGTAGGAGATGTGAAAGCCCCTACATAATAAGTGTACCATTGCTATTCCTGAAAACTAAAAATGCAAAAAGTGGCCAGGCGTGGTGGCATGTACACAGAATCCCAGCTCATCGGAAGCTGAGGCAGGAGAATCGCTTGAACCTGGGAGGCGGAGGCTGTAGTAAGCCAAGACTGCCCACTACACTCCAGCCTGAGTGACAGAGCAAGACTCTGTCTCAAAAAAAGAAAAATATGAAATATTCATGTATCCACAGTCTATACCAGAATTGACAAAAAGTCACTTGTAACAAGAGGAACAAATGTTTGAAGCAAGATTAAAACCTTCTATCATAGATGAAGTACAAATGCCTTCTACAAGTTTAGCCATTAGTTTATTGATAATGAATAAACTGTTTACTGTGTTGTATAGATTTAATTACACTATTTTGATAAGTGTTTTCTTTTGCAAAACTTTCAAAATGATTATTGAAGTACTGTTTATCATGAAAAAATAGAACAATCTAAATATACCAGTAATAAGAGAATGACTATACTCTAAGCATTCCATAGACTATCATCATTTAGCCTTTTAAAAATTGTAATTATGAAGACTATATTGCAAAAGAAAAAACATACTTTATGTAGAGAAAAAGTGTGTATTTAAGTAGTTACTATCATGTGCATACAATTTTATGCATACAGTTTTATGCACATGATGATAACTATTTAAATATTTATATTGGAATCAAAAGGGTAAATATAAAAGTGAATATTTTAATTACAGAGTGTTAGGATTCCTTTGTCTTTCAGATTTTACCTAATGTTATATTGTCATAATAAAAATTTAGAAGGTAACTTAGAAATCTCAGGAATTCATCTGCATAGGATTCTTGAGTGGTGTGTGTGTGTGTGTGTGTGTGTGTGTGTGTGTGTGTGTAATGAATATATATGATGATTTATCAACCAGCATTTGTTATTACTTTCTTGTAGTTGTTGGCAATGCTTCTTAAGAAGAAACGTTCCCTTCTTAATAGCCACATCCTCCATCTAACTTTTTCTTTGGTGGGAACTGTTGATAGTGGACATGAGACCTCTATCATTCCAAATTCAACTGCTTTCCAGGACCTCCTTTGTGATTTTGAAGTATGTATATAAGCATAATTGGCAATATATAATCAATGAATGTATTTCTTCATATGATTATAAACTGTTTTTAATCTCTAAAATGTGTTTAAAGTCCTATAATTTTATGATGTTTATGTTTAATATAAAAATAATTTAGTAAAATATAAAACGTAGAATAATGCTAGGGTTCCTTTTCTCCAAGGATACTCCATTTTGCAAACATTTTAGAAGTGAAATGGTGCAGTGCATATACCTACCTAGCTAATTTGCTGCTACCAGTGGCGTTGCATGAGTCAAACAGTTTTCAGACGATTCTGATAGAAACTTTTCCTTGATAAATAGGACCTAGACCTGTAATTTTGGTTACAGCTGCATTGTAAAATATCATTCATTTTATGGTGACATTTCATAGTCTACCTTTTCTGCTTCTACTGCTATCTCCTAATTCAAGCCTTAATCATGTCTTCTCTTAATCATACTAGGATAACTATCACTTCTTTATCTCCTTTGCTCAGGCTATCCTACATACTCTTGGAACCTCATTCTTTCAAAGGCATTTTCATTTCTACTTATTACCATAACAGCTTACGCTCTGTCCTCTCAAGACAACACTTAATCACTCATATCCTTTTTTCATTTAATTTCTTGTTTATAGCACTTCGCATGTTAGTCACTATATACTAAACTTACGTAATATATCCTTATGAAACTCTAGGATCTATGGGCTTTATGATTGCGGAGATCATGTTTATCTTCTTTGTCTTTGTGTTACTATCACCCAGAATAATGCCTAGCACTTAATGTTTGCTAACTCTTATGTCTAGGCCCTAACTCTTCTTCCTCACAACTATTGTAAGCTCTGTTTTGTGACTTATTGAATCCTTCACAAACAATGTGCCTCGATACTGTATTTTCAGAGATCTTACTAGAAGTTTCCCTCTAAATAAAAATCTATGGCCTGTACTTGGTTTTCAGTATCCCCAGCTCTCAGTAGTGTTGGCTATAGTCTGTTTTTCTCATATTCTTTCAAGTTGTACTTCTTTTTCTGGCTCAGGTGTTAATATCCTGTTTCTTATGTCTTTCTACTATTTTTTCTATTATTTTCTTGCTGTGATGTTTTCATTATTTGATATAAAGATGTCCATCTTTACTTTTTTATATTTTCCTTTATTTGTTATTTTCCTTCCTTTAAACTCTTCACCAAGGCTGACTGCCTCATCTCCATGGAGTTGATCTTCAAATCTAAATCTCTAACATTGACATCTGAATTCCAGACTTATTTCTAATTCTTGCTCAACATTTCCATTTTTATGTCCCAGCAACACTTTAACTGAACTTAGCATCCCTCCCCAAATTAGTTCTTCCAGCTAACTTCTCTGTTTCTGTTAATAACACCATTATTCCCCTGGTCACCAAGGCTTGAAATTGAAAACATCAGCTTCCTTCTTCCCTATCTATAAACAGTCTGATATTGTCATACAGGTTCTACTTTCTGATTTCATAGTCTGCCTTTTCTGCTTCTACGGCTATATTCTAATTCAAACCCTAATCAGTTCTTCTCCTTCTATTCATACTAGGATAACTATCACTTATTTTTCTTCTTTGCTCAGCCTGGCCTACATATATACCCTTGGGACCTCATTCTTTCAAAGGCATAGTCATATCATTTACTCAAGGACTTCCAATGATTTTCCTTTTCTACACTAATAAAGTACACATTCACATTTCTCAGTCTAGTATTCAAAGTTCTAATACCTAAACCTCCTATTCTTTTTTTTTTTTTCGTTTTTTTTTTTAATTGCATTTTAGGTTTTGGGGTACATGTGAAGAACATACAAGATTGTTGCATAGGTACACACATAGCAGTGTGATTTGCTGCCTTCCTCCCCATCACCTATATGTGGCATTTCTCCCCATGCCTCCTATTCTTTTAGAAAGCACTTGCTGAGTATTTTTGAGGCAAGTAGTATATTAGTTACTAAGGATATGAAAAGAAAAGGCAAAGAGTCCACACCTGAAGGCATTTAGTCCATTAGAAGAAAAAGACAAAGAAATAGATAATTTAACTTGTGAAAGCCCAGAGATAAAGGGAGACAGAAAGAATTATGGGAACACTAAGAACCTCCCTAAACCAGCCTGACCTGTTTTTATCTGTTAACTGAAACATTTAAATCAAGGATTATTTTCAGTTTCAGATTTCTGATTAAGACTCAATACAGAAACATCAGAAATTTAGTTGCTTAATACATGTTTGGTTTATTTTATAGTACATTGCTCACTTTACGGCCTAATATAGCATCCCTAATTACCCCAAACCACAAGTAGTCTATAAATACCGAATTTACCAAATTTTTAGAATAGTATTTGACAAATATAAATAAAATAATTGCAATAACATACAGACTTTTTAGTGATTTTTTAGAATTTATTATATGCATCTAAAACAATTCTATCTTTGAAGAATATTATACCTTATAAATACTTAGCAGTAAGAGACTTTCATTTCTCCCTTTCCATCCTTATGCTATTGTTGTGTACATTTACTTCTATGTGTTTATAATCCCTACAGCAGTTTAGATTATTTTTGCTTTAAATTATCAGTTATTTTCAAAAGACATTTTATATATAATTATTTTCTATTTGACCCCATATATATATTATTTATTCCTTTGCATAATCTATGTTTCTATCTTGGATTATTTTTCTGCCTAGAGATATTCTTTTAACATTTCTATATTACAGAAATTTTGACAGTAAATTTTCTCATCTGAAAAAGGCTTCTGTTTTTTTCTTCTATTTTGAAGGATTTTTTTGCTTGGAATAGAATTCTAACGGACTGTTTTTATTCTTTTCACACATTAAAGATGTCAGTCATTTCATTGTCCCCTTTGTCTACTTTATGTTTCTTCTGCTTGGGTTTATTGATCTGTGAATTTGTCATTTTCATCACATTTGAAATTTTTAGCCATTATTTCTTCAGTGATTTTTCCTGGCATCCCCTTCCCTTTTCTGGACGCCAATTATGCATATCTTAGATTGCTTGATACTGTCTCAAATTATTAATACACTTAAATCTGGTCATTCCCTTTTAGTGTTTTTTCTTATGCTTCATTCTGAATAATTTCTGTTGTTATGTCTTCAAGTTTATTGAATTGTTTTTCTGAAGTATCTCGTCTGCTATTAATGTCATACAGTATATTTTTCATTTTAAATATTTTATTTGTCATGTCTAGAGGTTTGTTTTGGGACTTTGGTTCACTTTCATTTGGCTCCTCATCATTTCATGATTTTCATTACATTCTTTAGCATATGGAGGATATTTGTAATAGCTTTTTGAAGTGTGATAATTCCATCATTTTGGTCATTTTTTTGGCCAATTTATAATGATTTTTCCTGCATGTAAATGGTTTTATAGAGCTTTACAAAATAATAATTACGTAAATGAAATAAGTTCCATGTACTATATTGGTGTTTGTTGGTTTGGCATTTGGGGTATTTTTTTTTAACCTTAAATACACTACTGTTTTTATTTTTTATAGGTCTGGCTCCATGCACCATATGAACTTCATCTTTCCTTATTTGAACACTTTATTGAACTACTCACAGAGTCCAGGTATTAGTTAATATCCATGCAGTTAGTTATTCAGCTATAGAAAAGGTGATAGTACAGTGTATAAAACCTTCTTTCTCTTATAGTGAAGCTTCGAAGAATGCCAAATTAATGAGAGAATTCCAGTTAATCCCAAAGCTGCTCCTGACTCTTCGAGATATGTCTTTATCCCAGCCTACTATTGCTGCTATTAGTAATGTGCTGAGCTTCTTATTGCAAGGTTTTCCCAACAGCAATGATCTGCTCAGGTAGGAAAAACTTCTGTCTTTGTCTTTGTCTTTTTATTAACTGAAAGTACCAATGAGGTTAAGATGGATGAGATGAATGTAATTGGTTTTTGTGGCTGTGTAATAACACCTGTAATGTTAACACTATTCAAAATATTTCTGGGGCATGGAAAACATCAGCGAGACAGTATCGTGCCTTGATGGAACAAAGCTAATTGTTGCCACTTTTGAATAATAGAATCTTGGTGAGAAAAGCTGTAGGAATTAGCTCAATGAAATTGGCCTGGGTATAAAGTGTTCAGTTTAGGAATTCTTGGTTCCTAATCCTATTTCCTAAGCCTTGCTAATTTTTAAGTGTATATGCACAAGCATGCACACACACACTCCTAACTGATGAGTATCCCACTTCCATTTTTTATTCTCTGTTACTCAAACAGATTGCAGTATTTTACTGTTGCATATTCACAATTTTTATATGTTGTAAGTATTATTTTGCAGACAATGTGTTTTAAGACATTGATGGCATGTCTGTAGAAATGTTCTTATATTCACATGGGAATGCCCATTTTGGAAAATTTGGGGATTATAGAAGGAATACAAGAAAAACAAACTACACAATTGAGTATTTTTCAAGTAGAGAATTGTTCATGTGATCTACCAAGTATCTTAGGTGTGAAATCATACCTATTTACTGTATTCAGTTATTTTCATAGACTAATCTCTAATCTATATAGTTTGTAAATCACTCACTTTTTTATTCATTTGCCTTCAAAACATGTTTTTAAACCTGGTGACAAGTTCAAAACTGGCGCTTAAGAATTATTTTGGAGAATTATTATTATGTTAAGAATGTATATTTAAAGCAATTCCTAGCATTGTAATGGTCACTTTGCTGAAATTATTACTTAAACCTGTAAAAATTTTTTGCTTTTTTTCCTACTTTATAAATAAACAGAGCCCCAGGTCACATAGTTAGAAAGTGATAGAGTCAGAATGTTTTTTCTCCACCTGTTCCCCTGACTCCAGGATTTTAATCATATACCTAAACCCAAGTTTCTTAACCTTTAGGGTACAATGGATCCATCCAGATAATGTTAGGACACTCAAATGTGGATGTTGTTTGGTTTTTGAAACCAGTTGCATGTTAGTGTATTAAAGAATTTGTATTTCTGAAGAACTGTATTTTCCCCATATTTTGAAAGCATTATTTTATATAATATTACTTGGGATGGTACAAGAGGAAGCAAACGACATATTATCACCTAATGGTCCTTAAAAGGCTAGTTAAGATAAGTACTATTTGGTTTTTATTTCTTTGTATTTTGTTTCTTTGTACTTTGTTGTTTGTTTTGGGAAGAAGAAAAAGAAAATCCATTACCTTGTTTTTTTTTTTTGTTTAAAGATTTGGCCAGTTTATTTCTTCTACTTTGCCAACCTTTGCAGTTTGTGAGAAATTTGTAGTAATGGAAATAAATAATGAAGAGAAGCTTGACACCGGTAAGTTGATTCTGGAGCTTGGAGAAAATAGTGGTGAACTATAAATACTATGCCTCTTTTTTCTTGTGGCCCAAATTAGACCTGAATTATATGTGATTATATATAATATATGTATAACTTTTCTCCTTACATTACATTTTTTGTCCTTTTTCTAATGTACTTTTCTTGTATCAAGTCTATACAATATGCAAAATTACAGTATTGCCTACAAAATTTAATAGGGTATGAATTTTACTTTAAAAATAAAATCTTTCCTATTTTTAGACTATTCATAGCAATGTTGGTTTAAATAGTAAACTCTTCCAATGTAATTTGAACATGATTTGATTTTTTAATGTATGTATTTCTCTTCAGAAACATGATATTGCTAAATTAAATTATATCAGTATATCTATCTGTATCATTATTATTTTCACTTCCCTGTTAAATCTGTAGTATTCACTGGGAAAAAGTGTATATAGGTATAATATAAAAATAATTTCATGTGTTGTAAGTTCCTGGATCCATGACAAGCACTGTTTCTGGTAACCTTTCCTCGTTTAGTACATATTTTTTCCCCCTCTGTTCCCATATGTTTTTCCTGTTGTATATGCTAGGACAGGAGAGTTGCTTGGAAAACATTGAAAGGACCTTTGTTTAGATTGACCTCTGGAATTAAATTCACAGAATCTTACATTTGTTCAGCCTATTTATATCATCACCCTTTTATATTATCACCCTATAACATTATTCCCAAATCATATCATATAGATTGTTTCACTTAAATCCATACAACTCCATCCACCTAGAGCGTGGAGAAGAACTACTTGTTGTAATATCACTTCCTCTCAAAGGGGTTTTCCATGTTGTCTGTCCTTCCCGAGCACAACCTCTCCTGTGCTTCATGAGTAAGAGAAAGTGATGTGATCACAATTTTCAAAGGAAAGATGGAGAGATTTGAAAAACTAAGTGACTTGCTGCAAATTGCACAGTATGTTAGTGACAGATTCGGGACCCTGACAGTTACCTACTGCCAGTTCATTTAGAATGACCCTGATATTTCTCTGGTGAAGCAAATTAGCAGTGGATGAGACGTATAAAGATCAGATCAATGAATAACTCTTACTGAATACTTACTAAATGCTCTATATAATTTTGTAATAACCATATGAAATAGGTACTATTATTCCAATTATACTAGTAATATAATTATTATTATAGGAGGAAACTATTACAATTATTATCCTAGGGAGGAAACTGCAGCCCAGAAAGATAGTAAGTAAGAGAAACTTATCCAAGATCATACCATTGACTATATGGGAACCCAGGAAGTCCAAACCAGCATTCCAAGCTTTTAACTACTACATTATCCAACCAAATGCAAAGATTATTTCTAAGTTCTAAATTAATATAGGCTGACTCATTATAATTAGGTAGGAAAAGTACTTTAAAGATTGCTGAAATATATAATGTATTTGTTTCAAGTATAAAAAATAATGTGAGCTGAGCGTGGTAGCACATGCCTGTAATCCCAACATTTTAGGAGGCTGAAGCAAGTAAATCACTTGAGCCCAGGAATTCAAGACCAACCTGGGCAACATGGCAAAGCTACATCTCTACAAAAAGTAACTAGATGTGGTGGTGTGCACCTATAGACCTAGCTACTCAGAGGTGAAAGAATCACTTGAGCCTGAGGTGATTGAGGCTGTAGTGAACTGTGATTGTGCCATTGCACTTCAACCTGAGTGACAGAGTAAGTCTCTCTTTCAAAAAAAAAAAAAAAGTGGGAAAAAAATTTCTCTGGTTTCCATATTTATTAGCTGTCTATTGAATTCAATAACCATAGTAGTATTGTAAATTTTACTTTCATATAGGAACTGAAGTAAGGATGTATAAATTAGTAAATTTTTCTATTAATGTGCCAAGTTGATTAGACTGTTATGGCCATCATCACTTTATGGCCATTTGAAATAATAAAGTCAGAAGCAAATTGCTAGTCTTATTAGTATATGACATTTATTATTTGTTTGATATGCTCTGAAGACTTTATTGAGTATAATATAATGTTCCAAAAAATGAAAACCATGACAGTGAGAAAAGGAGACATAAAGGTTAAATAAATTTTTAAATTTCTGTGTAGAGTATTACTTTGTTATAGAAAAATTAAAAGGAAGTAGCTCTTAGAGTAATAAGTTTTATGATATTCCTTCAATAAGGCAATTTGCAAATTACTAGTCTCTGTCCCTTAAAGAGGTGGAGATCTTGAGTTCTTCTTGGTAGCTTGAAGTATCCATAATGGTTAAGATGCTAAGTCAGCATTTTAAAGGACAGTTCAAAGGTACATTGCCCCTAAACAAGTAAAAGTATATAACCATGAACGTTTAGCCTGAGCCTTAGTTCTAGAATGAAGGAAAGTGTTAGGAATACTTTGGAAATATTGCAGGTTTCGTTCTACAGCACTGCAGTGAAGCTAACATCACAATAAAGTGAGTCACATAAACTTTTTGGTTTCCCAGTGTTGTAAAAGTTATATTTACACTATACTGTAGTCTACTATGTGTGCAGTAGCATTATGTCTTTAAAAAAATGTATATAACTCAATTTAAAAGTTGTTTTTTTTTTTTAATTGCTAAAAAACCCTAATGCTCATCTGAGCCTTCAGCAAATCGTAATTTTTGCGGATGGTGGGTGTTGTCCGGATATTGTTGGCTGCTGATTGACCAGGATGGTGGTTGCTGAAGATTGAGGTGGCTGTGGCAACTTCTTAAAATAAGACAAGAGTGGTTTCAGGTCTAATTATTCTGATTTGGTCATTACACATGTATTGAAATATACTGTTCCCCATAAATGTATTCAATTATATGTCAATTAAAAGTAATAATAAAAGCAAAGATAGGAGAATGTAGTTTGCTATAACAGTGAACTCTTCCTTTCACAAAAATGTTCTGTGTAGAATGCGATATTGTTTGATGAAATTTTATCTATGGTAAAACTTCTTTAAAAATTGGACTTGATCCTTTCAAAAACTGTCACTGCTATATCAGTTAAGTTTATTTAATATTCTAAATTTTTTGTTATTATTTGTACAATGTTCAAATAATTTTAACCAGGAGTAGATTCCATCTCAAGAAACAACTTTCTTTGCTCATCCATAAAAAGCAGCTTCTCATCTGTTAAAGTTATGTCATGAAATGGCAGTAATTCAGTCACATCTTCAGGCTTCACTTCTAATTCTAGTTCTCTTGCTATTTCTGCCACACCTGCAGTTACTTCTTTCACTGAAGTCTTGAACCTCTCGAAGTCATCCATGAGGGTTGGAATCAACTTCTTCCAGACTCCTGTTCATGTTTATATTTTGACCTCGTCCCATGAATCATTATTATTCTTAATGGCATCTAAAATGGTGAATTTTATCCAAAAGATTGTTAATTTACTTTGCCCAGATCAGATAAATCAGTCTGTGGCAGCTATAGCCTTATGAAATGTATTTCTTAAATTATAAAACTTTAAAGTTAGAATTACTCCTCGATCCATGGGCTGCAGAATGGATGTTGTATTAGCAGGCAAGAAAACAACATTAATTTTTTTGTGCATCTCCATCAGAGCTCTTGGATGACTAGGTGCATTGTCAATGTGCTGGTAGTATCTTGAAAGGAACCTTTTTTTTCTGAGCAGTAGGTCTGAACAATGGGCTTAAAATATTTAGTAAACCATGCTGCAAGCAGGTTTGCTGTCATCCAGACTCTTGTTATTTCATTTAGAGAGCACAGGCAAAGTACATTGAGCTTTATTCTTAGGGCCCTAGGATTTTCAAGATGATGCATGAGCATTGGCTTCCACTTAACGTCACAAACTACATTAACCTCTAACAAGAGAGTCAGCCCTGTTCTTTGGAACTTTAAAGCCAGGCATTGACTTCTCCCCTCTAGCCATGAAAGTCTTAGATGGCATCTTCTTCCAATAGGAAGCTGTTGGAAAAATCTGTTCAGAAGTCTGTTGGAGAAATTTGTTGTTTAGTGTCGCCATGTTTATTAATAATCTTACTAGATCCTCTGATAACTTGCTGCAGCTTCTACAACAGCACTTGCTGCTTCATCTTGCACTTTGGTTATGGAGATGGCTTCTTTCCTTAAACCTTCTGAACCATTCTCTGCTAGCTTCCAGCCTTTCTTTGTTTTTTCTTTTTGTTTGTTTGTTGGTTTGTTTTCAAGACAGGGTCTGACTTTGTCACCCATGCTGGAGTGCAGTGGCAGGATCGTGGCTCACTGCACCCTCAACCTCCTGGGCTCCAGAGATCCTCACATGTCAGCCTCCTGAGTAGCCGGGACCATAGATGTGTTCATTTTGTTAAGTTTTTAGAGACCAGGTCTCACTGTGTTGCCCAGGTTGGTCTCAAACTCCTGGGCTCAAGAGATTCTCCCACCTCAGTCTCCCTAATGTTTTGTTACAGTAATGAGCCAGTGCATCTGGCCCCCAACTTTTCTTCTGCAGCTTTCTCACCTCTCTCAGCCTTCATAGAGTTGAAGAGAGTTCAGGCTTTGCTCAGGATTATGTTTTACCTTAAGGGAATGTTGTAGATGACTTAGTCTTCTATCTAGACCTGTAAAACTTTCTATCAGCAATAAGGCTGTTTTATTTATTTATTGTTTAATAATTTGTGTGTTCACTGGAGTAGCACTTCCAGTTTTCTTTAAGAATTTTTTCTTTGTATTCACAGCTTAGCTAACTTTTTAGCATAAGAGGCCAGCTTTGGGCTTGTTTCATCTTTCAACATGCCTTCTTCACTGAACTTAATTATTTCTTATTTTTGATTTAAAGTGAGAAATACATGACTCTTCCTTTCACTTGAACATCTAGGCGCCATTTTAGGATTATTAATTAGTCTAATTTCAATATTATTATGTCTCAGGGAATAGTGAGGCCTGAGAAGAGTGAGATAGGGAAATGGCCAGTTGGTAGAGCTGTCAAAACACACATTTTTTGATTAAGTTCACTGTCTTATAAGAGTACAGTTTGTGGCACTCGTAAACAATTGCTATAGTAACATCAAAGAGCACCATAACAGATATTATAATAATGAAGAAGTCTGAAACATTATAAGAGTTACCAGATAAGACAGAGTCATGAAGTGAGCACATGCTTTTGGGGGAAAAAAAAAAAAATGGCCTGATTAGACTTGCTGTATGTACGGTTGCCACAACCCTTTAATTTGTAAGAAACACATTATCTGCAAAGTGCATTAAAAGAAGGTGTGCCTCTGTAAGGTCTGTGACTCGGTTAACTTATTGCTCTGTTGGACTAGAGCTGGGTTTGGAAATCTGGGTTGTCGATGCCCGGTTCTGTGTACTTCCAGCACTGAGAACCTCTGAGCTCTGTTTCTTCCTTTCTTTTCTAATTTCTCTTTTATGCATTTATGCAACTTTGCCTTTCTTTTGTGCTATTTAATTCTAACTTTCCTTTATGTATTACATTTATTGAGTAAATCTGTGCTCCTATTTTCAGTTTTTAAATTTGGTAGATTTAACTATATCTCTCAAAGCAGTCCTGGAGAAAATGTTTTCTAAAAGATATGTCTCTCTCTCTCTTTCAATAAAATAAAATAAAATAAAATAAAATAAAATAAAAAACTAAAAAGGATTTGAGAGGTTGAAAAGTCAGTGGTTATTATTATTATTTGCATGGTCCTCATTTGTTGACTTTCACCCTATTGGGAGGGCCAGGGGCATATTAATGTAAAAATGGTCTCAGAGCCTTAGTATCACTAGTTTAGGAAGTGTCAAATGTAAATGAACAATTTTCAGAGTTCTAAAGAAAAATATTTAACTGATCCATTTTCTTGTCCATGTTGGTGGAAAGCAGTTCTGGAGAAAATGTTTTCTAAAAGAAATTTTTCAGTAAGATTTCAAAGAACTACGTTGGACATTTTATTTTAGCTTATCCGCTAGAGAGGTTTAATGTATTTATTTTTATTTTAGGAACTGAAGAGGAGTTTGGAGGTCTTGTATCTGCTAATCTTATACTTTTGAGGAATAGACTTCTGGATATCTTGCTAAAACTAATTTATACATCTAAAGAAAAGACAAGCATTAATTTGCAGTAAGTAATCTGTTTAAAAGTGATTCTACCACTTGCTACTACTAGTTAATTCATATTAGGCGAAAGAAGGGATTGTCACTGACTTTAAATATGTTTTTTTAACCCTGAAATTTATAATGTCTGAAGAATGAAACTCAGTCTTCTTTGTCCTTTTTGATTTGAAGTCTAATTTCTGAAGTTAATTTTGTTTCTTGCTTTTTAAATCCATCTGTCTTTCAATAGAGCTTGTGAAGAACTGGTGAAGACACTGGGTTTTGACTGGATCATGATGTTTATGGAGGAACACTTACATTCCACCACAGTTACAGCAGCCATGAGGATTCTTGTTGTCCTACTAAGTAATCAGTCTATTCTCATCAAGTTTAAAGAAGGACTCAGTGGTGGAGGATGGCTTGAACAGACAGATTCTGTCTTAACTAATAAGATTGGAACTGTATTAGGTATGGGACTTTTCTAGTCCACTGCTTGAAAATGAGCTGGTGTGTTGTGTTTTATTTTTAAATTTATGGAAACTTATCCTCTCCAGTTTAATCACCATTAAAAAGATACTAATTTTAATTAATGATAGAATAAAAAAACTTAGAAGATTTCAAATTGGGCTTTTTAAATGGCAAATCAAACTGAAGACAGAGATAAGATACTAAAGTTTGAAAACTCAGGGAATTCCTCAGGATCTTTTTGTATTATAGGCCTTACTGATCTGTAAGTAGATAACTACTAAATTATAAGTAGAACTAAATTAATAATAATAATAATAAATATTTATTTGGGGTACTTACCATGTGCCAGTTCTTAAACACTTGCCAGGTAATAACATTTCATCACAATAACTCTGTGAGGTGCAAATATTATCATACCTATTTTACAGATTGGAAAACCAAATTCATTTCACCCAGTTCCAAAGCCTGTGCTTTTAACATTGTGTTATATTGCCACACAAGGATGTTAGCTCACTGGTATCATGGCTATTTTCAACATATAACTGAGCATTTACCTAATGTTAGAAAATTGCAATTTCCTATGCTAGATTTATTTGAACTCCTATATTTCCATTCATATTAGTAATACTACTTTGGAAAATATGTATTTGAAGGTAGCATTTTTATTTAAAGGCAAAGTCATTTAGTTCTTAAATAATTTTAAAAATATATTTGTTATGTAACATTACCTTGTAAATCATAGCTAATTGTCAGATGTTTGATCTTAAGAAGCTTGTATTCAGTATATTTATTTACCTTAGTCCAATGGGAAAATTAGAGATTAGAATTTAGTATGTAATTTAATTATAGAAAAAACGGTAAGTATCAATGTCTAGGCACTGCCTCTACTACTTCAAACATCAAAGCAAATGTTAGGAAGACAGATCTTCCAACATAGTACTGTCGTATTGTTATTTCATATGTGAAGAAGGTCTGCAGAAACTTTGTATATGATAAAGGAAAAGTGTCATTTCCATTTCACTGTGAAATGATTTCTAAGGAAAATTATATGCTTTATAATACACATTGTAAGTGATCATCATAGGTAGTTTTGTGCTTAAAAATAGATCACTATTTTGCATGAACTCTGGGGAAAGAGTTAATCTACAGATGTAATTGTTTTGAACAGTTTGTTAGTAAGTTCAGTTTACTGGCTTTAATATCTACTGGAGAATAAACAGTGAAAGGCACAATTGAATGTGAGTTCTTTTGAATATGCTAGGTTTAAATGCTAATTGACAGCAATGCTTATTTTGAAGACAAGCAGCAGCAGTAGTAATAACACCTGAGATTTATAATAATACATTGTTATTTGCAAAATTCTTTCACATATGTCATTTCATTTGTCCTTCATGATTCTGGAAACAGGTATATATTTTATAGCATATAAGTTTTATTTTCTAGAAAATAAGCCCAATGAATATAAAGTAAGGATTATTTTCTCTAATTAGGAAATTAAGACTATTAACTACATAAGGTTAGTTGGCTAGGCAGTAATAATACTGTCTAAGAATCTCTTCTGTTAGTCCTGTGCTTTCTCTGTCCTATGTCACCTCAGTAATATTAGAAAGAGATAAATTGCTTTCACTGTATCTGACCTACCTGATTTCATACCTTAGAATCTTTTTGTCATTCATTGGTACTTGCATGCATATGCATATGCTGTTTTGATTTCAAAGAAGAAATCTAGGTATTCAATTTAAATTTAATTTCAATTTCGCCCCACTTAATTTAATTTTTCTTGAATATGTCTGACACATACATATTTGTGTGTATAAACAGGTATGCATATCAGTTCATTTGATTCTATTTCTTCTTGATCTGAATAGCAACCTAATTTTTTTTAACTTTTTAATTTACATTTATTAGTTTTTGTCAAATTTTTCTTCATAAAAATATCTTTTTAAAAACATTTTACTTTAAGTTCTGGGATACATGTGCAGAATATGCAGATTTGTTACATAGGTATACATGTGCCATGGTGGTTTGCTGCACCCATCAACAAGTCATCTAGGTTTTAAGCCCCACATTCATCAGGAATTTATTTGTCCTAATGTGCGCCTTCTCCTTGACCTCCACCCTCCACAGGCCCTGATGTGTGATGTTCCCCTTTGTGTATCCATGTGTTCTCATTGTTCAACTCCCACTTATGAGTGAGAACATGTGGTGTTTGGTTTTCTGTTCCTGTGTTAGTTTGCTGAGGATGATGGTTTCTGGCTTCATCCATGTCCCTGCAAAGGACATGAACTCATTCTTTTATATGGCAGCCCTAAAAATATATTTCATGTAGTGTAACTACTTGTATCTAAATTAATGCTTATTCATAGTTTCATTAATAAGGGCAAAGAAAACAATAATTTTACAGACTCTAAAATAGAGAAATGAGTTTTCAAATCCTAGTGCCTCTACTTATGCCACATTGTTACATGGAACAAATCATGTTTTCTATGTTGTAAAAATGATACTACTACTTTTTTACCTGACATATTCATTGTGATTAAGAAATTATATGGGAAAGAGCTTGTAAATTGCTATGTAATTTTTTACTAGAATAACATACTTTGGAAGTTAATTCACATGACACTGAGCAATTGATTAGGATAAAATATTTTAAAAGCCACCTAGACGTAAATTTTTCCTTTATTAAGTAAAATAACAGTTGTAATATGTACTTGACTGCATTTCAGAAAAAAGTAAGTTGAAAAAAATATGGATATCTATGCTGAGTGCAGTCACTTATACCTGTAATCTTAGTGCTTTAGGATGCCAAGTCTGGGGGATCACTTGAGGCTAGGAGTTTGAGACCAGCTTGAGCAACGTAGCAAGACCCTGTTTCTATAAAAAATTTTTTTTTAATTAGCCAGGCATGGTTGCATGTGCCTGTAGTCCTAGCTACTGGGGAGGGTGAGGCAGGAGGATCCTTTGAGTCCACGAGTTTGAGGTCAAGTGGGCCATGATCACATCAGTGTACTCCAGCCTGGGCAACAGAGTGAACCCTCATCTCTTAGAATAATAAATAACAAATGTGAATATCTATTTGAAATACAAATTGCTTCAGACCAAAATCAGTTCTTTATCTATTGCTTACTATTCACAGAAGTTTCCATTGAAAATTTGACCAACATTCACTGTGTACTGAGTACTTCCCTAGGTATGGGGTGAACCAAATGTTTAGGGTGTATCCTGAATTTCTTTATAAAACAGAGGAAACAAGATTGATAGAAACATTGATGCCATAAACCAGGTGTCCTCAGACTTTTTACACAGGGGGCCAGTTCACTGTCCCTGAGACCATTGGAAGGCTGCCACATACTGTGCTCCTCTCACTCACCACCAATGAAAGAGGTGCCCCTTCCTGAAGTGCGGTGGGGGGCCGGATAAATGGCCTCATGGGGCTGCATGCGGCCCGTGGGCCGTAGTTTGGGGACGCCTGCCATAAGCTATATTAATAAGAACTGACCAGCTCCTAAAAAGAAAAGGCTGGGTTTCTAGACGGAATTCTGGATGTTCAGCTCAGCCAGTGGACAGCTGCAGCCACAACGGGCTTGGATTTGCCATCCCACTGCCCAGCAGCTTTCCAACAGATTACAGATCATGTTGAGTAAAGATTGTTTCACTTATTCATTTAGTTTTGTCTCTAAATTCATAGATAATTTAAGGTTCACTAGTTTATCATGATTTTCAGGACAAATGAAATATGTAAACTATTCTATAACAAGTTACAAAACTTAGCTGGGCATGGTAGCTCATACCAGTAGTCCCTCAGGAGGCTGAGGTGGAAGGATTGCTTTGAGCCCAGGAAGTGGAAATTACAGTGAGCCAAGGTCACTCCAGCCTGAGCAACAGAGCAAGGCTGTGTCTCAAAAAAATAAAAATACAGCAAGGACATTTTTAAGTTATATTTTGTGTAGCATTCTAAATTTTGTCTGTATTTTGCATTTCAGTTTTTTCTTAGGGAAATACAAGCCAGCAACACTATAGAGTTTGTCTGAGATCTTTCTTTAATAAGAACTTATATCCTCTTAAGAAGTATTTTCAAACTCTTGTATCTGATTGTCTCAACTGTGTTTCAAAACCAATATCCTAATAGGCAGGCTTGCTAAAATCAAACAAATGGTAAAGTGAAACTTGACTGAAGATTAATTTATCAATCGAATACTTAATTGCCTATAGTAATATAAATGTTCTGGATAGAAATATTACACATGCTGAATTACTTCCTTTGTTAATAGAGCATGTTTATCCATTGCTAATTTTGCACACTGTTATTTTTCCTCTTAGGATTCAACGTGGGCAGAAGTGCTGGTGGAAGATCGACAGTCAGGGAGATTAACCGAGATGCTTGTCATTTTCCTGGTTTTCCAGTCCTTCAGTCATTCCTTCCTAAACACACTAATGTCCCTGCCCTCTATTTTCTCCTCATGGCATTGTTTCTGCAGCAGCCAGTTAGTGAGCTGCCTGAGAACCTGCAGGTCAGTGTGCCTGTCATCAGCTGCCGGAGTAAGCAGGGTTGCCAGGTAGGAATTACCTAGTAAGGGGTGCGTGAAATTGTGTATTCCAAAGAATCACCGTAGGATAATGGATAATCACTGTAAAACCAACTGTCAATTCCATCACTTTCCCCACATTTAAGGTTTGATTTGGAACAGAAAAATCTGAAAATACCACAGAAAATTTTCCCAAAAAGAAATCCTTCATCCTTGTTTACATTTTTTTCCTATATGATTACTCTACATATTATATATGCATAAAGACTTTGGATGATATTTAGTGGTGATCTAAATAACTCTTTTGTTAATGTGATTTGTTTTTATTTTGTTTTTGAGATAGAGTCTCACTCTGTCACCTGGATTGCAGTGGCCTGATTTCAGCCAACTGAAAATTCTGCCTTCTGGGTTGAAGTGATTCTCCTACCTCAGCCTCCTGAGTAGCTGGGACTAAGGCATGCACCACCACACCAGGCTAATTTTTGTATTTTTAGTAAAAACAAGATCTCACCATGTTGGCCAAGCTGGTCTTGAACTCCTGACCTCAGGTGATCCTCCTGCCTCAGCCTCCCAAAGTGCTGGGATTGTAGGCATGAGCCATAGTGCCTGGCCTGCTATGTGATTTATTTCTGCAGAATTAAAAATGAAAGGAGTAGCTTATATACAATAAATTAAATACCACTCCTCAAGTGAGTGTGACAGGATTCTCGGAGCAAATTCTGATCAGGAAAAAAAAAAATGTACTTGATAATAGATACCATCCACATTAGGGAAACAGTAAGCCTTTACTTCTAATTGAAGACTAGTAAAGATACCTATATATAGTTTATGTTTGTGGCACTGCAAAGACTTAGGAATTTAGCTTTTAAACTCAACTGTGCTTCTGTCCTAATGCCAAATGCTATTTAAATCAATTCTAGTAGTTGACAAAATCTTTTAAATGTAAACACTTGAGTCTGTGCCCTTATATTAAATCAAGATACAGACTCATGCTTAGCACAGTTGTGTTGGTTATGCAATTTTTCAATATACACGGCACCATAGTCATAAAGTTTATATATAAAACAGCTATGAATAAGTCTCAAATTAATTTTTATTTTATCAGATCTTATCTGTAAGTATCTAAAATGGAATTAAAATATTTCTGAGAATGGGAAAGAAGTGAGCTTAATACACTTTATTTAAAAGATTTTGCTTAAATGTGTTGGTTCTATAATTTTATCTCTTGGCTGACTAACATGTATTTTATTTTTATTTTCTTTAGGAAAAAGTAGAAAACAATATTTTTAACATAGGTACCTAAGGCAGGATGCAGAATGATACATTGTACAGTATCCAATTATCTTATAACTAAAAAATGAGTTTTAAAATGTAGGATAGAAGGGTACCAGTTCTTTATGTCTATATCGTTACTTTAAAAAAAAATCACAAACCAGTTTCAAAGAAGTTTTAGTGTATTCGAACTTACGAAGGTCTCTACTGAAAAACATTAGTGGTAGCTAATATTTGGTCAATTTTGGCTCTGCAGTTTGATTTGGATTCCATTTGGACATTTATCTTTGGAGTTCCTGCCTCCAGCGGAACTGTGGTCTCTTCTATCCATAACGTATGCACAGAAGCTGTTTTTTTATTATTGGGAATGCTCCGCAGCATGCTGAATTCAGTAAGTTCACTCTGATACTCAGACCTATTGAGAGTTCCTACTGCCTGTGATACTTTTTTGTAAATAAAGGAATTTTTTGTTAATACAGCTATTTATTTACTGTATGATCTCTGGAACTTCAGACACATTTGTTAGACAAAGTTATGTCTGATGTAAGAACAGACTGTGTAGTTGTTAAGACCATGGACTCTGGAGCCCTGCCTGGGTTAAAATCCCTCCTCTGGTACTTAAGATCTATTATCCTCAGTTATGTGCCTTAGTTTCCTGGTGTTTAAAATGCCAGTAATAATAGAATGTATCTCTTTGGGTTTTTGTGAGGAATTAATAAGATACCATATACACATAAAGCACTTAGAAACATGCATGATACATAACGTCTCAAAAGTATTAACTTATTAATGTAATAAAAATATATTAAAATGAGTACATATATGATGAGCATATAATTTATAGTGTATGTTATTACAATAATGTATAATTTGAACTTTTAAAATCACTTTCATTTAGAGGTCAGAAATGTTAACAATACAAATTTCATTTGATTTTGTTTTTGCTTTTTTTCTGCTTTATGTCTAACTGAGAGATGAAGAATTGAAAGCATAAAAGACAAAATTGATATTCCCATCGATCTGACAGGAATACTGTGAATGATGACCAGATTTATTTATAGAATTTAGGATTGTGTTGTAACAGGAAATATTAACTTGACTCCTTGACTTACATGTACCTGACAAATCTAATTTAGGTCAAAACTATTGTTGTGTCATCTAAGAACAGAACATTACCATTAAATGTATTAATTTAGAATGTTTTAGGAGTCTTGTTTTGGTGCCTATTTATAAAATCTAAGAAAAGTTTTTAAAAACCCACTCTCTGGGCAGGTATCAGAAGATACACATTGTTTAAGTGTACAGTATTCATGTTATTTTTTTAATTATTGTCATTATTGTTGTTGTATTACATAATGCTTAAGAGTGAGGCTCAGAAAGGTGAAGTAATTTCCCAGCTTTTATCTTACTCCTAACTCCCTGGCATAATGCACGATGAGGCAACATTGATGGTAATACAACTACTTTGGTACCACCAAGACTCATGGTAATAATAATGAATAATCAAAACCACTGATTCTAGTTAGCAGAACTGTGAGTGATCCAACGATTAGACAACGATCCCATCAGTTTCTAAGGGGATTATTTTTGTTTTAGCTAGTTTCTAAATTTCTTTGCATGTGTGTGTACATGTGTGTTTGCTCATATGTGTGGTTTACAAAGGAGTTCTAGACCATCAGCATATCCAGTTTCATAAGAATACTGAGTAATGGACTTTTAAAATAATTTATAGCAATGTCAATTACTCTTAACAGTGTTTCCTCTTGTGTCCCCATGACAGCCTTGGCAATCAGAAGAAGAGGGATCTTGGCTCCGAGAATATCCTGTGACCCTGATGCAGTTCTTCAGATATTTGTATCACAACGTTCCAGACCTTGCCTCCATGTGGATGAGCCCTGACTTCCTGTGTGCATTAGCAGCCACGGTCTTCCCCTTCAATATTCGCCCTTACTCAGAGATGGTAGGAAAGGGGGAGGAAAATGTCAGAACTGGAATTAGTCTGTTCTAATGGTTAGCAGATTTTTTTTTTTGACAATCTTTTAAGCTTCTGACCAAGTTACAGTTTCATAACTTTTTACATCACCTGTTGCATCATTGTCTGGTGTCCCCAGCTCCCCACATTTTCCTTCTGCTTTCCCCTAAAATCACAGTGAACTCAATTTCCTTTTCTCATTCACCATATTAAGTCTCTTGTTAGTAATTTCCCTTTTCAAGTAGTTGATTCATTTCTTATTTTACGTGACGCTAGCTGTGTACTTGTAAAATTTCCTTTTCCGCTAAGAGAACTCTAGTCCAACCAAATTTATTTATTTTTTATTTTAGGAAGTAGGAATTAGCTGGATTTAACTTTTACAAATAAATTATAGGTTTGAAAGTATATGTTGGTCCATTCTTCCACCCAGCTTTTCTTATTTTTCTTATTTTGTACTAACTTAATAAAACTATTAGATTATAATCATATATAGCATAGATATTTATTTATCCTTTAAAATAAGCCCAAAAATTGTGTTAGCATGTATAATATCTTCTCTTTCATATGCCGCCTTGTTTTCTGCTTTGAAAATGTATTTATATAGAAATTCACTGAACCACATTTTTGCAGAGGCCTTGCAGGATGGTTTCATAACTTTAGAGTCTAAATAGTATTCATTACAGAAACTGATAGTTCAGTTGTGTAAAAACTGATGACTTTTCAAAACAAATGAACCACTGTAGTTTACACAAAACCATATTGTAGGGGCTTGTACTTATCACTTACTTTTATGTGTTGATGTTGATTAGCTAAGAAACTGTAAACATAAAACAGGTTTAAAAATAAATAGATAAAATGCACCCAAAAGATAGTTATTGCTTCATAGTACTTCAAAATTTCATGATGTTTCTTCTGATTTCCGCCATGTACTTTAGGACCTGGGATAAATGACCTTCGTTGTACTCATGTTTCTCCATGTAAAACAATGCAATACTTATTCTAAAATTGTGAGGATTTTTAGGAGAAAGACAAATATAACACATGGCCTTAATACCCTGGCTTGTTTATAATTTTAGAATCCTTATTTTCGTTTAAAAAAAAGAGATCTTTATCTTTGTTTTTTGAGACGGAGTTTCACTCTTGTCATCCAGGCTGGAATGCAGTGGTGGCATAATCTCGTCTCACTGCAACCTCCGCCTCCCAAGTTCAAGCAACTCTCTTGCCTCAGCCTCCCAGATAGCTAGGATTACAGACATGTACCACCATGCCCAGTTAATTTTTTTTTATATTTTTAGTATAGATGGGGTCTGGCCATGTTGACCAAGCTGGTCTCCAACTCATGACCTCAGGTGATCCATCTGCCTCGGCCTCCCAAAGTGCTGGGATTATAGGCATGAGTCATCGTGCTCAGCTGTCAGCATCTTATAATCTGTTTACTAGTGTCTCTCTCTCTCTCTCTCTCTCTCTCTCTCTCTCTCTGTGTCACTTGGTTCAAAATTGGCACTAATGTTGTTTTAAAAAATTTTTTTTTTAACCTATAAAAAATGGATCAGCCCTTACATGCTACCATTATACCAGATTTTTATGTGAAATTCTGTGACATTTGACTTCACAATGGGGGTAGAGTTTAAATATGGAAATATAGTTATCCTCATTTTATTATTTCATATTTTTTAAGTGCAGTTGACCACAATAGACATATAATTCTACATAAAGGTGATATATTGTTAGTAGTCAGTCAGAAACACTGTATGTTGTGCAACCATGACATATGGTGCTAGATTACTACCTTGAAAGCAAGAGTCAGGTAAAACAGAGCGAAATAATGTGCTGAATAGCTTAATAGGTGGAAAATGCTGCTGCTACAGTTTTATTTTTAGGAAACACAGAAGTAAAAATGTCAGAGTCTAATGTTATTACCATATCTTTCCATTTGATTTTACTAGGTGACTGACCTTGATGATGAAGTTGGATCTCCAGCAGAAGAGTTTAAAGCATTTGCAGCAGACACAGGGATGAACAGGAGCCAATCAGAGTACTGCAATGTGGGCACCAAGACATATCTGACCAATCACCCGGCTAAAAAGTTTGTTTTTGACTTCATGCGGGTCTTAATCATAGACAACCTCTGTCTTACCCCTGCCAGCAAGCAAACTCCATTAATTGATCTTTTGTTGGAGGTAAAGACAAAGAAATGGGTATCTCATTTGCATTACTTTTTAAATTAGAACATTAGTAACCAAGCAAGTTCTGTGCCAAAGATTTCTAATTCCTCTTAGTTATATGTAGGCAGAACATGTCATGAGCTATGGAAAGTTCTTAATCCCATATATGCTTTAGACCCTATCAATTTTTTTCTTCTTTCTCTTCCCTCAAGGATGTCTCTACTTTAGTTCTTTATCATCCTTTCCCTAGCAGCTGGCAAACTTCTTCTGTAAAAAGCCAAATAGTAAATATTTTAAGCTTGTGGGCCATACATTCTCTACCACAACTGCTCAACTACATTGTTGTAGCTAGAAAGCCGCCATGGACAGTGCATAAGAGACTGAGCATGGCAGTGTTCTAATAAAACTTTGTCTACAAAAACAAGCACAGGCTAGATTTGGCCCACAGGCCATAGTGTGCCAACCCCTTCTCTGGACATTAACAGTGCCCAGTGGCATTGTCTTCTTACCTCATAACTTCCTACATCTATTTCTCCTACCTATCATTGCCAGGTGTTACTGTTGTCAGTGTCGTGTGCAGCTTAAGACATGATGCATTGTACAGAATAGGTGCCTACTATGCACTTGTTAAATTCCCCAAGGCAGCAAACTTATAGGTTTCCTGCCTCCCCATTCTCCTGACAATTGATAACAATCAACTGATGTATCAGAAAATAAAAGTGGCTCTAATTAAATTCCCCAAGGCAGCAAACTTATAGGTTTCCTGCCTCCCCATTCTCCTGACAATTGATATCAATCAACTGATGTATCAGAAAATAAAAGTGGCTCTAAGCCTTTAAGTGGCTTCATTGCTGGCTCTAGAAATTAGCTATCCCAGAAAGGATTAAAAAATGTTTAGCTAGAAAAGTCTGAAGATACCACTAAGAGAAAATTTAATACAGTATAATTAGTTGCATATACATTCATGTTCCTTTGACCAATTAATATAAATAAGGTCAAACAGTACATGCTAGGGGCTCTGAAAATAACATGTGTTGGGAAAGAGTAGATCTGTGGAGAAGACTGCTCTTCTCTCTGAGTAACTTCTGTCTCTCAGCAGTTTGACAGCTGAACCTGACTTTTTTTGTGCTCCCTCTAGTGGCTAGTACAGTTAACTTTCAAATAGCACTCTGAAAACCACAGGTTTATCTTATTCATGTGAAAATACTTCAATTTGGTCAATTTTTAAAAAATCACTAATGTAATTTGGGTACCAGTTATGCTAAGCATTTAACCAGGATCACAATGTTTAATAATGGCAGGAGAATAATTGGTTTCCTCACTAATGCATGTGGTAGAATTAAAAAGCAGATCCAGTAGAACTTGTCCCTTTTGGAAACTTTAAAAAGCTGTAAGAAGAGATGGCCAGTATCTGACTGTATAGAGTAAAAATTTGAAGCATTTTGTGAAAAAATGAAATAGTTTATCAGAAAATAATAGAATAAAGTCCAGAAGAGATGTGTGCAAGAAAGCATAACTGATCAGAAAAGGAAAATACACACATGAAAGATATGGAATGACTGGAAATATCCAGTGATAGCATTTTCAAACTTATGGGAACCCGAATAGCTAATTAATTAACCATATATGAATCATATAATTGCCCTTTACTTTGTTTTTCTATATTTTTTAGTAGGAAGATTTGATATATAGTAACATGTATTAACCTTGAAGTAAGGTTCTCTTTGTTGTGGGCATGAATTTACCCTGCCATGGAATTGTGCTTCATTATACTAGGGAGCAGGACTATAGTTCAGGGAGAAGCGGGGAGTATCAGGATTGAAACTCCCAGATAGATTATAAACTGTTTAGAGACCAACTTTCATGTGTTCCTTCATCTCTCACAACAGTTAGCACAGTGCCTAGGTGTATTCTATCAGTACAGTAAGTCCTCACTTAATGTCATTGGTAAGTTCCTGGTAGCTGCAACTTTAAGCAGAATGATGTATAACAACTCTAATTTTTTTTCTTCACTAACCTTATAATAAAACTACCTTGAAGGAAATCATGTCATTTGAGGACCTACTGTACGTCGTTTCACTTAAAGTTGCAGTTGCCAAGAGCCTATCAGTTACATTAAGTGAGGCTTACTGTATTTTTGAATCATTTAACTATTAACTTCATCCCTGGAAATTCCCAAACAGAAAGATTAGGATACCATCTATTGAAAAGAATAGAAATTTGCTTTTAAATATTTTGAAGATCTTTAAGTTTAGTATACACATGCAGAATTCATATACCAAAAAATTTACATTAACGAAATATTGATATTCCATGTCTTCCTATGGTGTACTAGAATAAATTATAAACAGTTGATTTTGAAAATTATTATTATGAAGTCCTTATCCATGAAGAGATTTAAAAAGAGAATTAGATTGAGCGTGGTGGCTTATGCCTATAATCCCAACACTTTCTTTGGAGGTTACGGCGGGAGGACTGCTTAAGGCCAGAAGTTCAAGATCAATCTGGGCAACATAGTGAAATCTTGTTTTTACAAAAAAATTAACCATAGCCAGTGTTATGGTGTGTACCTGTATCCTACCTACTCAGGAGGCTAAGGTGGAAGGATCACTTGAGCCCAGGAGTTCAAAGTTACAGTAAACCATGATTGCACCAGTGCATTCCAGCCCGGGTTGCAGAGTGAGATCCTGTCTCAAAAGAGAGAAAGAGAGAGAGAGAGAGAGAGAGAGAGAGAGAGAGAGAATTATCTTATATATTTATCATTTACCTTTGTGAAGGAAGGGGCTTGAACCATCTGAGTCTAGTATATGTGAACCAGAGCATTCAGTCTTATGAGTGTTAGAATTTCATCATAAAAGTATCTGCTTACTTGTTTGTATCTACAAAAGAACATGTAAAATTATCTTCATTAGCAGTAAAATTCATTAGCATAAAATTAAGAGATTCACATTGATATAGACTGGCTTTAGTGTGACTAAGACCAAATACAAGGGAGGTGGTATGATGTGGCAGAAAGCTAGAGCATGAGTTTGAGAAGAAGTACCTGGCTTTAAATTTTGGCCCTGTTGTTTATTATATAAGCAGTTTCATCTTCCCAAGCTAAATTCATTCTCTAGAGAATGATATTATTTACTATCTCTCTTCTGAGATTATTATAAGGGTTAAATATATGTATATCGCCCCGCAAAAAGTATTTTGAGGAGTTACATGTGTGCTGGATATAGCTGTGAGACCTTGACCAAGTCCAATTTTCTTTACATCTATACAATTTACACATCTGTGAAATCATATGAAGGTGGAACCTGTCTGAGAATTATTGTGAAAACTAAATAAGATACCATTTAATATTCATAACACAGTACCTGACACTTAAACTAAAAAAATTGACTTAAGTGACCTGCGTTGGCTTCTATAAGGGTGTTTAGAAACTCTTCTAGCTCTTGTGCCCTCTCCTGTCACCACCAGACTTCTCATGGAGAGCCAAATGAATTTGCTGCAAATAAATACTGTGGCAGTGCAAAGAAATTGCATGAGAACAGATCAAACAGATTTGTGTATACCTGGAGGTAAAGATAATGAAACTGAGAGGGTGTTCACTAATCCAGTCTCACACTGCTAATGAAGACATACCCGAGACTGGGTAATTTATAAAGGAAAGAGATTTAATCGACTCATTGTTCAGCATGGCTGGGGAGGCCTCAGGAAACTTACAATCATGGCAGAAGGGAAAGCAAACACATCCTTCTTCATATGGTGGCAGCAAGGAGAAGTACAGAGTGAAGTGAGGGGAAAACCCCTTATAAAACGATCAGATTTCATGAGAACTCACTATCACAAGAACAACATGAGAGTAACCACCCCCATGATTCAGTTACCTTCCACTGGGTCCCTCCTATGACTTGGGGGGATTATGAGAGCTACATTTCAAGGTGAGATTTGGGCAGGGACACAGCCAAACCATATCAGAGTGCGTGCTTTTCTGACACCATAAGCACCTCGCTGTTGTCTGAGGAATTCACTGGACTCTATTCCAGCCATCTTCTACAAGAGCTCACCATTGTCATACATCAAAGCAGAAACCACCCTGAGTGACTGCAGGGAAACAAACAGAAAACAGTGGCAAAGTGGACAAAGAGAGTACCACAGAATAACTCAGAGAGAAAAAATCAGTCAGTAAGAAGACTACAGTCAGAATCAGAAGATTCAAAATCCTCTCCATTACAGGCTTCCAGCTCATTACAGAAACAGGACAGAATTCCAGAGGCCTTCCGGAGCCACAGTGCTGTCTACTATGGGCAGTAGACACCTATGGGCTGTCTGGACTGCGTGTGGGACGACACAAAGATTCTAGGTAGTGTCCCCAAGACCTCAAAAAGGATAACGAAACTGAGAGGGTTTGAAGATGCATATGTTGACACTGGCTTTGCTGTTTTCACCAGGAGAACAGATCTCACCGCCAGAGTCCAGAGCAGATCACCGTGCCTGTCCTGCCTTCATTCTGGTTGTCTTGTGGGCCAACTGTTCTTATCTAAAAGAGTGATGAAAAGATTGTAGCCCACAGATTTGCTCTGGTGCAAACTTTGATAAGGAAATTTTAGTAGAGTGGGGAGAGTATATGATATGACTGGTGAAGCCATGGGCTTTGGCTTCACAGAAACTGAGATTTGAGTCCTAGTTGTGACTTGATTGAGTGGCTTACTCTCTAAGCCTCAATTATTTTGAAAATGAGGATGTTAGTATCTACTTCAAGGGTATTTTGCTGATTAAATGAGATAATGTATGGATATAAACCCTGTGTCTGCTGCAACACAGAGTCTAGTGAATTGTTTAAAAAGAGAAAGAACACCTCAGAGACAACAACGTATGCTTTCATAAAATGTTAAGTCCTTTAAAAGTTACACTGCTATACATCTCAGCAAGAACATCAGAGCTAGGCCATTAAGACCAGTAACAAGTGTAAATTCTGGGTCCTCATCATTCATGTAACAGTTTTATTGAGACAAATCAGAAAATTAAATGTTTGTTGATGACTAAGCCAGTCTTATTAAATCCTTCTGGAATAAGAAAGAATATTATTTTAATAAAAATAAATATCATTCACCAAGCACTTCTCTTGATTTTGCAGACTTCAGAATTTTTCTAGTTAGGATTTGATAAACCCTTCCAATTACTGCTTATCTCATTAACCACTTTGTGTTGATTATGAACCTAAAAGAATAGCTTTCTTTTTTTAAGACAGGGTCTTGGTGTGTTGCATCGTCTGGAATGCAGCGGCACATCCTTGACCTGCCGGGCTGGATCTTTCTTCCCTTCTAAGCCTCCTGAGTAGCTGGAACTTCGAGCACACACCACCACGCCAGCTTTTCTTTTGTTGTGGGAGTTAGAGACAGGTTTTCATCATTTCGTTCAGGCTGATCTTGAACTCCTGCGCTCAAGTGATCCACCTGCGTTAGCCTCCCAAAGTACTGGGATTACAGGCATGAGCCACTGTGCCCAGCCAGGAATGTTTATGTCCTTCTGTGACTGGAGAGCTTTATTCCTTAGCAAATTATGATGACTCAAACTATTAAATAAAATGGTCTCTGATCTAATTACAAGAAGAACCTCCTAGAACTGTCAGTCTGCTGTTAATCAGTTAAAAGCCCTCACTTCTCTGCTCACTAGATCATCTGCTGGAAAGTTATGCACCTGGATTTTCTTATCCTAATTACAAGTAGAATTGTTGTCAATAGTCTACAGTTTAACTTTGTGCCCTACACTTTATCTTAAGAAAATTTTCAAAATCATTTTTGTGCATTGCAAAACTTAACAAAGATGCCAGCTATAGGGTTGTTCACTATTCTTACAAAAACCCACAGAGAACATTCCTCTCAGAACAATTTTAGGAAAACATGTCTTTGCTGACAATCTAGTGTGTTTCTTTTTCTTTTTTTTATTTCTTTTCTTAATAGAAGGGTCTTGCTATATTGCACAGGCTGGACTCAAACTCAAGCAATCCTCCCACCTCAGCCTCCCCTGTAGCTAAGACTACAGGTACTTGCCACTGTATGTTTCTTTTTATAGACAATAAAAAGCTTTGTAAACCTTTTTTTTTCTTGACACCTATGAAGCCCACAGCTAAATTGTGTGCTTAGTTTTTTGTTATAAATATATTTTCCCTCTTCATTGGCATGCCCTCTCAATTACTAGATTCTTGGGTTTTTGTATTTGTTTTAATGGCTTTAAAATTCATTTATTATTTATTTTATCTGTATTTCATTATAAACTGCCATATCTCTTTTGGAAGTGAGGTGTGATAATAGTCAAATATTTATTAAATACTTAGAATGTTTAGAATACTATGTTTTAAGGAATGGATTCAAAAGAAGATGATGTTTCACTTTTGCTTTAATTTTTTTAATTCCATAGTCAGAAAATATGTGAAAGACTATAAGCATGTATCCTATCTCTCATGTCATTTTAAAAAATTTATCAGTAGGATTTTTTAATCTTTTAAATACATTAGGTAATGTAAATATAGTTGAGCTCATATTTTTGTTTTAGTTGGTTCTGTTTTTAATTCTAAATTTTCTTTATTAGGCTTCCCCTGAAAGGTCTACAAGAACTCAGCAAAAAGAATTTCAAACTTACATTTTAGATAGTGTGATGGACCATTTGCTTGCAGCTGATGTGTTATTAGGTAATTCTGTGTTTTTATTTTATGAAAATAAGTCACTTTCCTCTCTAAGCCCCAAGTAAAACTACTTTTCAACATCAGCTTTTCACTTTCCTTTTTTGTCTAGCTTCTCATACTCAATATTATATTTGTGAAATTTGTCTATTTTGTTGCATGTAGCAGGAGTCCACTATTTTCATTTCTGTATAGTATTTCATGTGAATATATAAATTTATTACTTTACTCTTGATAGACATATGAAAGTTTTCAGCATGAGATAATTATTTTAAAAGCTGCTATACACATATTCATATGGACTACATATATGTAGAATACTTATACATATCTGTTGAGTATATACCTATGAATGGAATATTGGATTATAGGTATATATGTGTTGTCTTTTTAGGATGGCTTCTAGGACATAGAGTCAAAACACATTGAAATGTGTTTTTTTTAATATGTCTATATCTAATTACAATAAAAATATAAAACTTAATACATTTACAGTGAATCCAACATTTATGTATAAAACAAAGTAGAATTAGAAGGAAACATAATGGCTTAGTATACTATATCTGCTACTTTTGAGTTTCTAGTGATAATACTAATCATATAACCTCTGTGCTATTAAATTACCATTTTTTTCCAGAAGTAAACTTGCCAGGAAATCTTTAGTATTGTCTTAACATGTAACTGTGCATTCTCAAAGTCAAGTCACACTTTTGTACTTACTCCTATCAGTTTAGAGCAGTCATACTACACAAAGACATAACATGAATAATTTTGCTTAATGGAGCAATTTAGCATTAGGTGAGAATAATAAAAATCAGATTCAATGGTGCCTCCAGAATTTCTATGGAGAAGGAGCTTAAAGCAGTGGTCCTCAACCTTTTTTGGCGCAAGGGACCAGTTTCATGGAAGACAACTTTTCCACAGACCAAGTGGGGGGCTTAGGGGTTTGAAATGATTCAAGCATTACATTTATAAGCATTACATTTGATTCTCAGAAGGATTGTACAACCCTAGATCCCTTGCATGTACAGTTCAAAATCGGGTTTGCACTCCCATTAGAATCTAATGCTACTGCTGATCTGACAGGAGGAGCTCAGGTGGTAATGTTGCACACCCACCGCACACTTCCTTCTGTGTGGCCTGGTCCATGGCCTGGGAGGTGGGGACCCCTGGCTTAGGGGAAACATTTCTGTTAGGAGGAGGACCTAAGAGGATTACTCTGAAAGCAATATGTATATGGCAAGCACACCAAAAATGCTCAGATAGCTTTAGAAAGAGTGAGAGCCAATGGTAATGATGGAGGGGCTAAATAGCACCCCTCAACATTGATTATACTTTATTTTTCACAATTTTCTTGACGCTCTCTTCTATCTATGTTACTTAATTGCTATTAGAGGTATACTCTAAAATAGTTTTGTTTCACAATTTTACCCTTTATTAACTTATACAAAATTAATTAAGAGCTAATAAACTGACCTTTTTTCTCTCAAATGGAGAACACCTGTGACTGGCCGTTTATGCTGAGGAACTCCTTGTTTATCACAGACTGTCTTTAGGCAATAGGAGACTCCACAGGTAGTTTCATTTCATAATACTTTATCCTGCTGAAATTATTTCTTCCCATATTTATCCTGATTTATGGCCATAGAACATCATTTTCTTCAAGTAGTGCATAAGAGCTAGTGGTCATATTTCTACATGTTGAAGATATAATTATTTTTCCTTAGCCTGGTTTATTTGAGGATCTGGTCTTGTGTTGGTAGATATCAATTTTCTTAGACATTTTTTTCCTACTGGAATTTAGGGGAAGACGCATCTCTGCCTATTACCAGTGGAGGAAGCTACCAGGTATTGGTGAACAATGTGTTTTATTTCACACAGCGTGTGGTGGACAAGCTTTGGCAAGGCATGTTCAACAAAGAATCTAAACTTCTTATAGATTTTATAATTCAACTAATTGCACAGGTAATTCATTGTCACTATTAGTTGTAGAGCACATGTTTTCCTATTGAAAACTTTATCAAAATTGTTGAAATTAAATGTAACTAATAAGATAATGAATGTCAACATTTAATATAAAGCTAAGCTTATTAAAAGTGAATAGAGATAGACTGGGCATGGTGGCTCATGCCACCATATCATATCAGCACTTTGGGAAGCCGAGGTGGGTGGATCGCTTGAGGTCAGGAGTTGGAGACCAGCCTGGCCAACATGTTTACAATTCTGTCTCTACTGAAAATACAAAAATTAGCCAGGCATGGTGGTGCGTGCCTGTAATCCCAGCTACTTGGGAGGCAGAGGCAGGAGAATCACTTGAACCTGGGAGGCGGAGGTTGCAGTGAGCCAAGATCACACTACTGCACACCAGCCTGGGTGACAGAGCGAGACTCCGTCTCAAAAAAAAGTGAATACAGACTTTGAACCCCTCCGCTATTACCAATTGTCTGGTGCCAATGTGTCTTTTGTAAAGTTGCCTAGTTCTCAAGCTGTGATCTCTCACTGATCTCCCAACTGGTATTATTATTTGCTACCCAGATAGATTTAAATGCCCTAAGTTAATAGAGTTTGATATGTTTGTAATGTGTGCTACATCCATGTGTAGAGGCTTGCAGAGTATGAAGAGTTGATAGTAAAAGAATATTCTCTTACCAAGTAAATCTTTACAAAGTTCCTTATAGTTTATATTCTCTTGAAGTTGTTACTTTTTGTATATGTTTACAGTACTTTTAGTTAAGGGTTTGGCTTGGTTTGTCACAATTAATTAATCTTATTCAATACTTAATGTAGAAAGTAGGAAATAATTGTTACATATTTTATTAGCATATGGTACCCAGACATAGGCTCTCTCATGTCACCTAAGACTTTCTAAAAGGATATACTTGTATTTAAGCCAAAGAGAAAAATTCTCCAATAAGGGGATGAAACTAGAATGTTAAAATAAAAAAAATGACTTTAATAACATCTTAAGCAAATTTTTTTCAGTACTTTTGAGTAGAGACCATTTATCCTAACACAATGTATTTGTGAGGAGACTCCCCTAGATGTCACGTCCTTGTGTTCTCAGGGGGACTGCTCTGCCCGTTAGCAGCATTAGTGGCTCTCCTCCCTGGGAGCTCTTCTTTTTTTTATGTAGCCCTCATATCATCATTAAATTGCATTGATGTGTCTCATGGGTTCTGCAATCCATAATAGCAAGAGCTTTGTGTCTTTTAGCACTCTCATACTTAGCATGGCATTTGGTATATAATAAAAGTTCATGTGTGAATGATTAACAGGTGTTTTACTTTTGTCTGTTGTACTGAAAACGTATCTTTCATGTCTTTAGTCAAAGAGAAGATCACAGGGATTGTCACTGGATGCAGTCTATCACTGCCTCAATAGGACCATCTTGTATCAGTTCTCACGGGCACACAAAACCGTTCCTCAGCAAGTAGCTCTGCTTGATTCACTCAGGGTCCTCACTGTAAACAGAAACTTGATCCTGGGACCTGGGAACCATGACCAAGAATTCATTAGCTGTCTGGCCCACTGTTTGATAAATCTACATGTTGGAAGGTAAATCCTTTAGGTTCAGTTTGCCATGTTAAATTTGGCTTTGATATTATTCCAAAAAAATTCTTTTTTTTTATAGTAATATTTCTTTTACCCTTTATTCTATTTTATTTAAGCCTTTATGCAAAAAGATGAAGGGCGAGTGTTGCATTTTTGCAGAGAAATAATGGGTACTTTTTTTCTTTAACTTAGTTTTCTATACCTTTAAAATTTTCTGTTATCACATATGTCACTTATATAAGGAAGCTTACTTTTAAAGCAAATGAAGTACATACCATTGAAGTCTAAGAGAAGAAGAAAGTAAAACTCAATGCAATGTCATATGTTAAATGAGTAAAATTAGTATTTTTCAGTTGATTGCTTTGACAGATAAATTTCATTAGTGTCTGCCAGGGGTCAAGCATTGAATTAGGGGCTGGGACAAAATGTGAGTAAGATAGACCCTGTGGCAGCCTTCTTTAGGGGAAACAGCTAAGCAAGACCAGTCAACTGTATTGAGTGATCTGTTAGGAAAAACCCAGTGCTTTGGAGGCACATAAGAGGGGCCCCTAACCTGAAAGAGATGCCTGCTGAGCTGCAACTTGAGACCTGGTTAGGGAGGACAAGAGAATGGAGTCTACTGCTACTAGAAAGAGCAGTCTGTGTGAATGCCCAGAGGGAAGAAAGAGTGTTACACCTGAGGGGAACTGCAGCTATTTCACTGCTACAGGAGCAGAGTCAGAGTAGTGAGATATAAGACTGGAGAGAGGATACAGGCATATTAGAAAAATGTTCCTAGTCGAATGAACGTTTTGTAATTTTTAGGTAAAAATGTTCACAATAATTAAAGGCATGTTAAATATTAAGGTAATAATCTTGATGCTATAGATTAGTCTAAGTACATTTAGTCAAGTGGACTTATTTGATCACTTCTTAAAAATGGCATTTTTCTGGTAAACTAGAATTCTGTGCATCTGCTGAGTAGACATTCAGTAATATCTGTTGGTAATGGAAATAGAGTAATTCTTAGTTATTGTAGTCTTTAGCTAATCATTTCCTTCATAGAGTTTAATCTGACTGGAATTTTTCAGCAATGTGGATGGATTTGGACTGGAAGCAGAAGCTCGCATGACTACATGGCATATTATGATCCCCTCTGACATTGAACCAGATGGTAGTTACAGCCAAGATATTAGTGAAGGTAATTGCTTCAACCTGGGATGTTTTAAATTGTTGTTGTGGTTATTTTAACTCCAGTTTTTAAGACATAACCAAAAAATCAGCTTCAGAAACTGCCAGCATTGATAGCAGCTCTCCCAGTAGGGCAACCTATACATAGACAAAGAGTCTCCTCATGCCATTAAGAGTAAAGCTACCTGTAATATTGCTAAGCTCATCATTTCTTAGTAATACTGTGAGACTCGGTGGTGGTATTAATATTTACATTGACTTAAGTAGAAGTACAAGTATTAAATTGGCATTAACTAACTGCCCAATGGTAATGTCAGGCATATCACATTAGAGTAAGCAAATATTGCTTGAGACAGATTATCAGTATTGCCATTTTTATTCTTCTTTATACTCACCTTTTTTTTTTTTTTTTTTTTTTTTTTTGGAGACAGAATCTTGCTCTGTCACCCAGGCTGGAGTACAATGGCACAATCTCAGCTAACTACAACCTCCACCTTTCGGGTTATGTTCTGCAATTCTCATGCCTCAGCCTCTCAGCCTCTTGAGTAACTATGACTACAGGCAGGCATCACAACGCCTGGCTAATTTTTTGTATTTTTAGTGAGACAGGGTTTCACCATGTTGGCCAGGCTGGTCTCAAACTCCCAACCTCAAGTGATCCGCCTGCCTCGGCCTCCCAAAGTGCTGGGATTATAGCTGTGAGCCACCACGCCTGGCCCCTCTCTCTTGTTTTAATCTGGTTGTCCTACTGATCCTATAAGCATTGCACATTGAAGTCTTGTATGGATTGATTTATTTCCACATGCTCAGTGATAAATAAAAGTCACTCTTCATAGTGTTTGTCTCCCCAGAAATAACTGTGTGATAGTTTTACATATGGTTTCATTGTTTGGAAGCCCAGCACTCATTTTAATTTCATTCCTTCATTTAAACATGAATTTATTAACTCTGCTGTTTCACCAAAATGTTTTCAACACTAAACACCAAGGATGTAGTGATTATTTTCACCTTGCTATGGTTCTCATAGCAAGGTCCTCAGAATAGCAACATCAATGTCATTTTGGGAACTTGGTAGAAAAGCAGATTCTGTTGCCCTACTCTGATCTACTGAATCAGAAACTCTGGGGTTAGGGACTAGTAGCTTGTTATCACAGGTCCTCAGGTGATTGTTGAGGACTGACAGGTCTAGAGGAGTAGTCAGGCACACAAATAAGGAGTCCAAAACAAGAATGAATTTCATAGTAAAAGTCTTTTCAAAATATTTCTTTCTTTGTGTAAAATACTAACTTAGTTTTGAATTCACCTTAAACATTCAGATCTAAAAATTACTTTTAAATGGGGGATAAGTTTTTATCTAGAAAAAGTTAGATAATTACATATATATAATTTCCAATTTTATAAATAAAAGTGTTATTTTGTGTGCATATAAAGATTTTTTTTAAGTATCTTCTAAATAGGCAACCACAGTTTTAGTTATCTGAATAACCTTTTCACTGGGCTAGTTACAATATGAGCATTGTTTTTTACAATTAAATACTGTAGTCAAAATTCCTACCTGTAAGCATGAAAAAAAATAAAAATAAAAACTAACCTTATACTGTGTTTTGATCATTTGCTTGCTTTTTTGTTTGTTTACTAGGGCGTCAGCTTCTCATAAAAGCTGTCAACAGAGTTTGGACTGAACTGATACATAGTAAGAAACAAGTCTTGGAGGAGCTTTTCAAAGTAACTCTGCCTGTGAATGAAAGGGGCCACGTGGACATAGCTATAGCCAGGCCACTCATTGAAGAAGCTGGCTTGAAGTGCTGGCAGAACCATCTGGGTAAGGCCTACAGAGATCATGTGACCACGAGACTTACATGTGGCTATTATATATGGGTGTACTTTAAATATGTAATTACAGCATTGCCAAAAAGATACTATAAAGTCAATAGAAATGAAAATCAATATAATGTAACCATTCTAGAATGATTGTACTGAGATCTTACTTTTCTTGGATTTATTTTTTTTATATTTGAGGTATGTTATACATCAGGCATTTATGCATTCAGAATATCATACATTGCAAAGAGCTCTAGTATAGTCACTGTCATGGCAACAGATCCACAGTCCCTTAACTATAATTTTGACGTTCAAAATGCTGTGAAAACCCAATGTTTTTCATTAATTTGGTGTCAAAACTGACTTCATAGAAGAACCTAACTTATCTTTCTTTGTCCTGCTTGGTATGGGAATATTCATATATTTTGCTGCAGTTATATTAATGTATTAAAAGTACAGCTTATTACTGTAGATTCTCTGGTGTCATTATATAATCTACAGTGTATAAGCTGTATAGCCTTTTAAAAATCCAAAACATTATAAGTTTTGAAGTATACCCAACACCAAAGATTTTAATTAGGTGATTATGAATTGTTATTAATTCAGAAACTCATTATAGTTAAAATAAAATTGGATACTATTACAGAGCTGTGAGGTTTTAACCAACTATAAGTTCAGCTAATACAGTAGTTTGCGAGCAATCATCCTTAAACAAGACTACTGATAAATTAATCTGTGATATCTAAACGTAATATCTGCATCTGTAGTATGTGCTGCTTCTGTTCACTTCAGGATTGTAGTTTATAACCAGATATGAACGTTTTAAAAGTAGGACTCATAAATACATGGAGAAATTATAAAATAATCTAATTTAAATTTTTCATAGCCCATGAAAAGAAATGCATAAGTCGGGGAGAAGCTTTAGTGCCCACCACACAGTCCAAATTATCCCGTGTCAGCAGTGGCTTTGGTCTTTCCAAGTTAACAGGATCAAGAAGGAATCGAAAAGAAAGTGGTCTTAATAAACACAGTCTTTCCACCCAGGTACTTTTTTAGTTTTATAGATGGTACTATTAGAAATTTATATTCCAAGGTTTAGTTGTAGTATTTGTTATAATATACTTAACATGTACAAGCAATTGATTAGAAATGAAACTTTTCTGTATTTTTGCTTTAAAATAGAGATAGAAGTAATCCAGACTATGGGAATTTCCCTCATTTTATGATGATAAAATTATGTGTGAGTACCATGTCATTATACCTATCTTATAACTGGATACACGATGAGATTTAGAGATTGATATATGATCAGACTATTGATAATTTTCTCTCAATTTTTCCAGCTTTCAATATTGTTGTTACTGATAATTATATAAATTTTAAGACAATAGCCAAACACACCTTTTTAAATTTTTACAAACTTGTTGTGTATGCCTGGGATTGATGGTTTTTAAAAAGCTCATCTGCCTCCAGCGTTAACTTCTTCATCATCCTACTTCCTTCACCACCCCCAGAATCGAAGTGGCAGCTATGAAAAGGGTCTGAGAGAAATAGTGTTTGTCAGCCATCTCATGCATCAGGTTAGGTTTCCTATGAAGCCAACTCTGAGATGGAGTTGAGTGTGCATAATGTATATTGGGGGTGTCCTTGGGATCAATACTTGTGGAAGGGAAAAGAGCAGGATTGGATATAGGGAAAAGTCAGGCTGCCGTGCTGGTCTAGTGACAGCCTCAGCCCAACTAAGTGGAGCTTTGAGGACAGAATATCCTCTTAGAGTTGACCTGCATTAAGCTGAAATGTGTGAGTCTTGTTACCCCTAGATCGGGTAGTGGTTGGATGTGGAGAACCCTGTCAGCCCTCTGCAGCAAAGGCAATCCCTGAGGGTGTTGACAGCAGCCTAGAAATGTGGGCAGCAAGCTCTTCTGTGAGGGGGTTTGAGGAGTTGAAGAGCTTGCAGATCTGTGTCCATCACGTAGGCCTCCATTAGATTCATCATGTAATTCCAAATGTTGGGGTGTTATTTTCTGTGCTTTTGGCAGAATTTTAACCAGCTGTTTAGCATTCATTTCAAGAGTAACTTTTTTTTTCAGAAATCCGTGAAATATTAAGACTCTTTTTCCACCCATTGTTAGGAGATTTCACAGTGGATGTTTACTCACATTGCTGTTGTTCGTGACTTAGTAGATACACAATATAAGGAATATCAGGAGGTAAGGATATGTAATCATCATAATGGTTTGTTTTACATTTTTTATATGTGAAAGTCTCTGTTTGTCCTGGTATCTTTCTGCCCATTTTAAGGTACTGGCTGGAGTGCATTCATCATCAGATGATGGTTTTAATTATCCCTGCTATCAGCTACTTTGGCTACTGACTTTAGGATAGAAAATTTTAATCTTTTGTCAACAAACTGAAAATGAGCACAGCTGAATTCTCTTAACATTCACTACTGACATGTTATGTGTCTTTGTTCCTAATAAAAATAAAAATGTAAGAGTGAGCCTTCTTTTTCAGACTTTTAACAAGGAGATTGCAAAAATATACATCAAAGTCTCTGAGAAGTCTCTTAAAATTGTAAAAAATTACAAGATTAAATGAAATTATTTTTTACTGCACTACAAGTGCTTGGCGATTATGTCAGTGAAAAATAAATTCATTGAAATTCTCTTGGTGAATTCTTAATTACTCAAAAGCTTATCTTAAATATTTTATTCCCAGAGTAGCTATTTTGGATCTATTAAAGGTTTCTGAATGATAAACTGCTAGTATTTTATGGATATGACACTAGATCCTTAGTTTCCCAACCAAAGACATATAAGTACTAAACTGCTAGTATTTTATGGATATGACACTAGATCCTTAGTTTCCCAACCAAAGAACATGTAAGTACTACTGTGATAGGTAATTTTATAATTATTCACTCAGTGATCTTTACTGTCAGTTGTATTTTAGAAGTCTTTATTTTTATATTTAAATTGTGTATACTTATGTTCCATGAATCATTGGGCAAGTTAGTTATCATTGTCTACTATTGAAATGTTTCATATTTGTCATTTGATAGATAAGAAGAATTGTACTGTGTCATAATTTTCACTTAAGTAAAATGGTTTGGATCTATCTCAGAGGCCAGAATAAAATGTTTTCTCTTTGACTTTTATATGAACATCAAGTTCCCTGTTAGTGCAAAATCTTGGGAAATGTTTACCTTGCCCACCAGTAATCAAATCTGTTGGCACTGTTTCTTTATCTGATTTCCTAAAATACCCCCTATTCATGTTGTGGTAGCTATTTTCCAGTTTGGTGTATCCTTAAATTACTGTATGTATTTATTAACTCACATAGAGCTAACCATTTCCTTATATTTTCATAGTAATATTACCATCTTTTCTGTGCCAGAAAAACAAACTTTTTTTCAACTCTGTTCCACCATATTGCATACTCTAACCTATACATGTCTGTCATTTACTTGGTGCCTTAAGAAGTCCACCTTCTGCAACAAAGCTGCTTACTTTAACTGTAAACAAGTGTAATTTGACTTTTATAATGTTAACTGAAATGGTGTGGATTGTGTTTGTTTCCAAATAATAACTTGATTTTCAGTGACTTGTAGACTTGTTACTGTTACTCCTGTTTTTGCTTGAAAACCGACCTGGACTCTTTCCTGTCAGCGTCAGCAGAATGCCCTGAAGTACGTGACAGAAGAGTGGTGCCAGATCGAGTGTGAGCTGCTGCGGGAGCGGGGGCTGTGGGGCCCTCCCATCGGCTCCCACCTCGACAAGTGGATGCTGGAGATGACAGAAGGGCCCTGCAGGATGAGGAAAAAGATGGTGCGAAACGATATGTTTTATAACCATTACCCTTACATGCCAGAAACTGAGCAAGAGACAAATGTGGCGGTGAGTATGCAGTATTCAGTGATCACAGTGGCTCTTTCAAGTTTTTATTTTCTTTTGTAAGCATTTTTTTCTCTGTTAAGTCGATTACCTCAAATAGCTAATTTTAAAAATTCAAACTTTTTTAAATTGATAACTTCAGAGTGGTGGTGGAATGAAAAGATGCAACAGTGTAACAAGGAGACATCATAATGAAGTGGTTAAGATCACAGACACCAAAGCCCAACTACCCAAATTTAAAACCTGGCTGTGCCACTTCGCTATTGTAGCTGGGTTACAGCGTATTAAACCTCTCCGGGTTTTCATTTTGTTATACCTGAATTGGAGCAAATAATAGTTCCACCTCATAGGACTGTTAGGAGGATTAAGTTCATTAAAATTAGTTAAGTACTTAGAATAGTGTCTGGTCCAGAATAAGCCTTATGAACATGTGAACTTTCTAAGTAGCTCTGATCGTATAAGGTGAGGCAGCTTGAATTGTTCCAGTGCCTCTTGTTTCTCTGCCAAACACCCTGGCTCCATTTATCTTGTACTGTTAGCTTAACCTCAGTCCTGATGCTAACACATATCTAGCATCAACCTAAGCATCCATCAACAGAGTAATAGATGAAGAAAATGTGTTGTGTATACATAATGGAATAGTATTCAGCCTTAAAAAAAAAAAAAGAAGGAAAACCTGTCTTTGTGGCAACATGCATAAACCTGGAGGACATTATGTTACATGAAATAAGCCAGGTGCAGAATGACAAATACTACTTGACCTATCTCACTTGCATGTGGCACCTAAAACAATCAGACTCAGAAACCAAGTGTAGAATGATGGTTACCAGAGGCCGAGAAGTGAGGAGAATAGAGAGATGTTGGTCAAAGGGTACAGTTTCAGATAAATGTGAGGAATACATTTTTTGAGATCTATTGTATTCCATAGTGACTATGATTTATAGTATTGTATATAGTACATTTCAAAATTGGTAAGAGAGTAAATTTTAAATGTTCTTGACACAAAAATTTTTAACTATTTGAGGTGTTGAATATGTTAATTAATTTGTTAATTAACAGTAGAGTTTTAAAAATAATAATATAGGTGAGTCTTAGCTCCTGCTAATAATTATTAAGATTTTGGAAGATAACTCTCTAAAGTCTCCTTTTCTCAAAGCTATTCAGTTCTGTCAAGAATGCCATATTTGATGCAGCAGTGCCTTAAAGCACTGTAATTTCTAATCCTGGAGCACTGTGTAAAAAAGGTAATCTACCCATATTTTTGCAGCCTGTTACTAGCACTTACTTTTATAAGAGCAAATTAACAGTATGGTCTTTTAATTCTTAATCTTTTTTCCCTAACATTCTATTGAGAATGTAAGCCATTAGCAATTTGATAAAATATTTCTTATCGAGTTAATGCTTAAACTGAATCCATTCAAGAATACTAAAATATAAATATGCTCTCCCTAACACATGACCAACTCACTGTTTGAATTTAATTGAGGCATATATTTTTGAATTATTTTTACAATAATCATGATATTTTTTATCTTTACTCCTTTCCTTCCTTGTAATAATGTCATTTGTTTACAAAAGTATATTTAAACTTCTGTATCAGATAAAAGCAAAGTACCCTATTAAGAGTTCACACCTACGACTGTGGTATCATCAGCATTTTACCTAGGCAAAGGAATTCACCAGCCTGTGAAATCAAAACAGACGCTCTCATAAATAAGTATACACCAGATGGAACTTGTTTTTTTAACAGATGGGTTACATATTGGAAAATACAAGGCAGTTAAGAAATGTTGGAGATACTTTCACATAAAAGGAAAAAGCAGTCAGGAAGGAGAGACAGTTACAGAATGTAGAATTCATGCTGCATAGTTCATGCACAGGTCAAGGTCAGTCTGCTATGATGAAATTTGCTGAAATAATTTTTATTTTGCTTTTAGTAGTTTACATCGTTTGTAAATTTGGAATGCCATTAAATGTCCACTTGTATCTTTTAGAATATGCATTCTGGCAATGTTAAAAACAAATTTTCAAAAAGTAGTAGTATCTGTCATCCCACTGAATTCTACCATCAAATCAAAAAAGAGGAGCTGATATTTACAAAACACAGTAAGCCAGATCAAGCTTGTCCAGTCCTAGGCCCATGGGTCACGTACGGCCCAGGATGGCTTTGAATGCGACCCAACACGAATTCGTCAACTTTTTAAAAACATAATGAGACTTTTTTTAACCTTTTTTTTTTTTTTAAGCTCATCAGCTATTGTTAGTCTTAGTGTGTTTTATGTGTCGCCCAAGACCGTTCTTCCAATATGGCCAAGGAAGCTAAAAGATTGGACACTCTGGAGCTAGATTCTTTACAGAGCAGTTTGCTTGTGTTTTGCTTCAGTCTCGTAACAGCCCTCTGAAGTACAGTTAATATTGTTATCCCAGTTTTACAGATGAAACCTAGAGTAGTTAAGAAACCCCCTTTTTGGCTGCAGCTACTAAGTACTAAGTAGTGTAGTAAGGTAGGAATACAATTCAACAGTCTCTTAGTAGTTGAATCACTTTGAAAAATAAAAGATTCTAATGTTTGCCCATTTTGTGACATTATCCATTGACAGTAAATGTATTCCATATTAGGTTTTGTCTCTCTAGGGCTAACAAAGTACCTAATACTTAATGAATGTTGAGTGAATAAACTGGCAGCACTCTGTTACAGACTTTTTTCTATTGCTTTCTCTTTCGCATTATATAGAATTTTCCTAACTCTAAAACTTCTTCACTATAATGGCCTCAAATAAAATTTTACGGGCCACGTAGTTTACACAGTTTAGGAGAGGCCTCTATAAGAAAAAAAGTACAAAATTACGAATATAAAAGTAATAGGGCTTTGTTTCCAAGGTTTTGAAAGTGGCTCATGGAACTGAAGGCCACTAAAGTTTAAGCTACCTTAACTTCATAGTAAAGCCACCTCTGCCCTGATGTATATTAAAAAATATTGGCTCCTAGAGTTAGAGATCAATCAGTTCTTTCCTTTAAACTTCCATAAATTTGTTGTCTTCCTTGCATGCATGTTTCATATAGTAAGTACTTTTTGTGACATAATAGGTTTGTGCCAACCTAAAAGTTGCTTTTGAAGCCTCTTGATGGTTAAAAGACTTTACCTGGCGCAAGGGCAAATGATTTGATCTTTTGTTTATTGATTAAAATAATTATTGTTTCTCAGTAACATTTCCGTTTTTTGTCATGTCACTTAAGCTGAAGAATACAGTGATTATTTAAAAGTTAATTTCTTACTTAAAAGTATTTGATTTGTTAGAAATAAATCAGGTGTTTTTTTTGTTTTTCTCATTAAAGTTGTATTTCTTAAACTTTGATAATCTTACATACTGTATAGCAAATAGCTTACTTAGTCTAAGTTTTGAATTTTATTTCTTGATTTTAAATTGAATGTTTGTGTATAGAATATGGAACATCCTCAGACTTTAAAGCATTCAAAGTTTATCAACTAAAATTATTGTAATAAAAATAGTAATAATAATTACCAATATCCTGAGAAAAATTAAGTACATGTGGAAAATTCTGTATTCTCAAATAAAAATGATTTATCCTCTACACACAGTGTAGAGGATTCCTCAGTGAGTAATTTTCATAATTAAAACAGTTATAATGAATTATACTATAATTCTGTATTTTAAACAGAAATATTATAGATTGTATAAGATGTAAGTCTGGGATATACTGCAAATTCAAAATCAGATTCTTCCTCTGAATTCTAAGGGAGGAAAATAATGCATATTTTGCCATTTAAAAAAATATTTAAATATTAGGCTTTAATTTTGTAATTCCCTTATTTTTACAGAATACTAATCTCAAACACATTTACTATTCTCTGCAAAGTTCATTAGGGTGAAGACCTTGTCTACCTATTAATTTGGAGTTACTCAGGGGCAGGAAGCTAATCAACTTTTCAGTTCCTTTTCTAACTAGGGAAGTTTCTTGTGGCTGCCTCAACATATATTTTTATATAATGTATATATGTCACAAGACTCATAGAAGCTAAGCAACTCATTTAGGAAATTTCATTGCCAGCATTATAGGAAAATTTGAAGTAAAAGAACTATAAAATTATTTTCTACAAATTATGACTTTGAAAATTATAAGTTTCTATGTAAACAATTATAGTAATAATTTAATGCTTTTTTAAATAAAAGAAAACCAAAATATTGCTAAAATTACTGGTATAACATATTTACTATTGAGTGCTGGGCTTTTTAGTAAAATAAAAACCAGTTAATCAATCAGTGAGCAAATATGTATTAAATCAGCACTGTACCATGTGCTGCCAGGAAAAATATAGGGTATACTTAGTAGACGCTGCCTGCATCCTGGCTGGGAGTGTATATAGTGAATGTCACAGTTAGCTGTGACATTAGTAATTGGTCTGTTTTGTTGTATTGATTTGTTGCATATTTATGCAATAGTCTATCTTGGTTTTTTGTTTGTTTAAGACAAGATCTCGCTCTGTTGCCCAGGCTGGAGTGCAATGATTGTCTTGGCTCATTGCAGCCTTGACCTCCTGGACTCAAGCAGTCCTCTTACCTGAGCCTCTCAAGTAGCTGGGATTACCAGAATGCACTATCATGCCAGGCTACTTTTTAATTTTTTTGTAGAGACGGGGGTTTCACCATGTTGCCCAGGCTGGTCTTGAACTCCTGAGCTCAAGCAATCCATCTGCCTCAGCCTCCCAAAGTACTGGAATTACAGGTGTGAGCCACCACACCTGGTCATATATATATATGAAGTTGAAAAAATATATAAATATATATATTTTTTTCAACTTCAGGGTGAGTTGAAGGATCAGTTTTCTTCACTTTCATGTGCACATTGTGAGTTTAATATTTGTTTACAATTCTTTTTTTACTGAAGGAAATTTTATGTAGATTGAAATATACAAATCTTAAGTGTACCATTCAGTGATTTTTTTTTCTTTTTTTAATATTCGATTTCCTGATATGTTTTTGTCATTAAAATTCTTTTATTATGGTCTAGTCAGTGAGTTTTAACAAATATATACATTACACTTTTACCATCTAAATCCGTACCAAGATAAAGAACTTTGATTAGAAATTAAAGATTATTTTTTAATATAAAATACACCTTTACAAGTTTGCTTTTAAAAAGAAAGATTCACCAAAACCTTGTGAAGTATCCGAAAGTATACCTAGTGGTCCATTGTTTGTTTTGCCTTGGGAAGCACATGTGTGAAAACATTTTGCCTCCTCACGTTTACTATAGGGAAAGGTACCAGAAATCATCACCATATATAAACCATGAACAGGAAGGAAATTTGGAAGCAGTTCTTGGTTGCATTATTGTCTGTAGCTATCTGTGTGCTTACATGAAGCCATACGCTACAGCTCAACAGAATTGCCTTCTTACTAATCAGGATTTTATTCTGAAAATAAAATATAAAGCCACTACCTAGTTCTTTTAAAAGTACTCTTTAGAAAAACTTATAACCTGGGGGCTGGTGATGCAGTCTACCTTCTGCTTTCAGCCTTTCTGAGATGGCGAAGGTAGTAAAAGAAGTAAGCAAGTCCTTGTGTTTTTAAGGGAGGATTTTCTTTTCACTAATTATGCCCTTAGTGATGTCTGTGGTATGGAGTATTGTAAATGATAGTTTAAATTAGCCATTTGCTCCTGTTACAACACAGATTTGGAGATAACCCCAGGGAAAGGAAGATGGAAGATACTAGCTAGCATTAGGTTCTATTATCCTAATTTTAAGTTTGTTTTCTTGGTTTTTGTAAAATGGTGTGAAGAGTTGCCTGTAAATCATCCAAGTCAATGCAGTCTGTGCTGAAGTTTTGTCTGTATGATCTGTAAGAGTTTGTCCTGTTCAATACCACTGAGACATTTGGTGTTTTTAAGTTTTACTTCAAACTGCTTTTGATCTGTGAGAAAGTAATCACAAGATGCTAAGTGATTATTTAAGTTGCTTAGGCTATCATATTAATTTTCTTTCAGTAACTACATCTTTCATATTTCATACAATCCTCAAGAAAATTTTATTTTTGTGTTCCTCTTTATGTTTTTTTTTCTGATATGTCTATACTTAATACCCTGTTTTCAGTCTGAGATCCCAAGTAAACAGCCTGAGACACCTGATGATATTCCTCAAAAGGTAAAACACAAATTACAGTAAAAGAATATAAACTACTTATAGTTTTGTTTTTGTTTTCTGATTTTTTAAGTGCATGGTAGACTAGACTAACTTAAAAGATTGGCTTTCAATTTGTTCTTCCTGTAAGTTTATTAGAGTTGAACAGTTGGTTTCATTCGGGCTGAGAAATGTTCTACTCTTTCTCAGCTTTTTCTGATTATCTCTTTTTAGGGTTTGTATGCCGCTCACTAACAGGCTGAGTATTCACTGCTCTCACTAAAAAAACGTGTATTGCTTCACACGTAAACTAACAAATTATGAGGCATGTTAGTAATGGGCAGCCTGGCATCTTCAACTTTTTTGTTACTCTTTTAATTTTTCTAAATACTGAAGAGTGTATTTTGAGAATTCAACAATGTCTCCTCTTTTAAAATTATTTTTTTCAATCAGAAAGAACTCATGGAAACTAAAAGTGTCTGATCACTTTTTAAAATAAAATTTTATTTTAATTAATAGAAAAATTAATCATCGTTCTTATATTCCAGAAAGATGAAAGTACATAATTCAGTTTAAAAAAATGTAGTTCTTTAGAACACAGAAATGTGCCTCAAAATATTTAGAGAAAAGTTCTCGTAGGTCAAGTTTTAATCTGTACATGAAGTCAGTAATTAAGTAGATGCTGTCCCACATTTATTAATTCATTGTCTTGCCCATCACTAACTATGCTTTTATCTTTTTAAATATTAGCAATTTTGAGTTGAAAATACTTGTCATACCTCATATAGAAGAATATTTATGGTACAAAGTTTACTACCTTCCTTTCATTTTTAAAAATAGTGCAGTGTTTTGTTTGTTTACCCATCAGATTGATCCTCCAAATTGTAATATTATTTTACATCATTTTAATACTTTCCTATGTCAAGTAGTATTTTCAGTCTCTATTTGCTATATGTCATTCCTCAGTTCACTGGCAACTCCCTTTATTTCCTTGCTCTGTACCTGAAGTTAAAGAAGATTTAATGTGGCTTCACTTAGTTATCTTTTTATCTAAAATTCGGCTCAATATCTCATTCTACATGTCCCATCCAAAAGACACTTGTTTACCACTTGAGTTGGAAATCACTTTAATATACATATATAGCTTGAAAAGGGCATTGTTGTAAATGATGCACATTGACTGAGTTTCAAGAGTGGACAGTAGAATTTTTAAAATTACATATTCTTGTTTATAGAAAAGTAAAGTCATATTTAGAAGGGGGAAGGTTTTAAAGCATGTTTCAGATTTCATCTTTTTAAAATTATTAATCCATAGTCTAGGTCTAATTCTGATCTGAGGAACCTATATACATACAAACTTTTCACTCTGAAATTTTATAGGCTATTTTAGATGTTAGTTTCTCATCTTCTGTGATTTTAGGGGGAAAACAATTTAAGTCAGTTGGAGAACATGTTTGGGAATGAAGGTTAATCAGAAAAAGCAACGTTCATGTATCATGTTCTAAAACATCAAATCCTGTGTTTCTAGGTAATTAATTTCTTCTTCAAAATGGACTGCTGTATGGTCTTACTCTACTCATTTAGTTGAGTTAGTTATGGATCGTATTCCTTTACACAACAGACAATGAGAATGAGCAAATTGAAGATAGCAGCTTGCAATTGCAAGCTAACCAGACTGTCTCCTGGCATAAAACTTTTTGATTCCTTTTTCGGTCAGGACTCTCAGACATACCTGAAGAAGGTTTTGGCCATTCTCAGTGAAACCAGGGGATATAGGAAAGAATAGGGCAGTTGAGTCTCCAACTCCAAGTATCTGAACTATACACTCACACCAGTTATTCTGAATGTATAGACCTTGAGGCCTAATGTAATTACTTCACTTGGGGGTGGAAGCAAAGTTCCAGGCTGCTTACAGACTAAATAGGCTCCTTGCAGCTTGATGCTCCTCAACAGTGAATATTCTCTTTAATGGGAGGGGAGGTTTCCTCATACACCAAAGAAGGCACACTGCACTAACACGTAAACATTTTTTGTCTAGAGATTATTTCAGGAAGAAGAAAACTGCTAATACTGTTGTTTTATATGTGTCTTTTAAAAACCTATGGTATTTTAAAATAGAGAAACTTAACCCAAAAGTGTGGATTTACTGTATATACATAGTCTATGAAAAGCCCCTTTACAAAGGTAACACACCTTGACACCATACCTCTCCTCAAGAATATTATGTTTTAATTCTTGGTGATAGTTATCTGAGTCATTTTCTTTTGTCATTTCTTAGAAACCTGCTCGATACAGAAGAGCCATAAGTTATGACAGTAAAGAGTACTACATGCGACTGGCCTCTGGCAATCCCGCCATTGTCCAAGACACCATTGTGGAGAGTTCAGAAGGCGAAGCTGCTCAGCAAGAACCAGAGCATGGGGAAGACACTATTGCTAAAGTCAAAGGTCAGCCTACCTTTTTGATTTTGATTAAAAGTGATTTTGGAAGATTCTTATATTTGAATTCATAGAAAAATTTGAGCAACTGTAAACAGTAGGACCAACTTTAAAAATATCCATACATATTTTACAATCCCACCCATCTTAAAGATTGATTTCTTTATCAGGACTAAAGAGACTTGCTCTTGTTGTTGCTCTTGTTTATTGCCTACAAATGAATGTCACGTGCCCATTGGCTTAATGGTTTTTTTTACTGTATTTTGCAGAATCCTCAATGGGACTTGATAGTTTTTTTTAATATCCATATGTATTTTTTCATGACACAGCCTCAGGAGGTCTTGAGAACATGTGTCTCAGCATTTGATATTTTAGGTTAATGGCTTAATAACTAAATAAATATTTATAAAATTAAAATAACTACTGAACGTGTCATTAGTGCATATTAGCCAGTAGTAAGGAATAATGTTTTTTTTTTCTATGAGTTGAGAGGGATTATCCCAAATCAAAACTTTTAAGAGCCGAGTAGTTGATGAATTGTACTACAGTGTCCATAGACTTTCAGATTTTGCATTTTTACACATGGCGCCCTCAGCCTGAAATGCTTTCGTCTTTTCTACAGCTTCTCCATTATCCCTGTCTTAACACATCCTATTCAGTCTTAAACCCATTGCTCATATGTAAAATCATCCTTCTCTAAAGTCTTCTGCAATTCCTCTGTTCACTGATAGTACTTTGCTGTCTTTTATGGATGTTTCAGTGATTTTTTCACTGCTGTATGTTTTCTCTAATTTCTGAGTTTTTCTCAGAGAGATTGTTTTTCTAACCTTATAAATTTTGATACATGACTAGCACAGAATGAGGATTCAATCAGTTTAACAGAGTAAATCAGTCCATTGTTTTAATCTTTTTAAGCCTCTGATTCACACAAATTTAAGTCTTTGCATATTCTATAAAGCCCCAGAGCATAAATTAAGATTTTAATTAAAAGTTAGTTTTAAAATTTAAACATGATAAATTAAAAATCAGTTTTAGTGATTTAAAAAATTAAAAATTAATTTTAGATTGTTTTAGAAACTGATAGCATATGACTGTGTCAACAAAAAAACACTGTTTAAATTGTGATCAGTTTCTCCTGTTTTTATAACATACCTGTTTTCTCATGTGATGACTATGACTTACTCAACATTTCATAATTGATCCAACATTTTCATAAAAGCATTGAAACTTTTAGGAGTTGAACAGAAGTTAAAGCCTTCTAATTTTGTTGACATTGCACCAGCAGAGTTATTGAATTTGGTCCAAAGCCGTTGCTGGATATAAGCTAAGATCCACAGAGTTGATAGAAGACTTGTGTTTGAGTCATTGGCTCTTAACTTCTCTGGTCTGATTTCCTAATCTCTAATTGAGCTAAAAGCACAAATACACAAGGTGTTATGCTAGACATAGAAATGGAGGTTTTGATTCATTAAACTAAAAATAATGCAGCTAAAAACAATAATAATAATAATAATGCAGCTGTAAGCTTCCCCCTTTGTGGATGTTCTCTGCAGGATTTGATCTCTCTTGCTTATTTATTATACTTGTTCATATATGAAAACAATGTTCTTCTCAAGCCAAAGCAGAACCTCTGATAAGTAATATTGAAAGGATAAGACTCGGGCTGACTTGTACTTTTCCAGAGTGCTTAGAGCAACTACAACAGGCAGGTATGATGTTACTTTGGATGGCACAAAGAATATCAATTTAATCAAAATATGTGATTCAGAGTGTGTTTTGAGTACTTCTCTTACTTTGGGTCCTCACTGGTTACTATCAACTGATTTTAATTTATCCTACTGTGATTATTAAAAAGTTGTCAAAATGTAGGTAGTGAAATGTTTTCTTAATCTGCAAATTAAATTATATGTCCCGGTATTATAAAGAATTCTGTTCTTTCTGACCTGTATTTTGATTAAATTAATTCATGTATGAAAAACCATACTGCCACTTGTGAAATAGTCTTCAAGAGCCCTCCAAGTATGTGGCATATCTTATAATCATGTTTATTTTTTACTTTTTTTGAGACAGAATCTTGCTGTGTCACCCAGGCTGGAGTGCAGTGGCATGATCTTGGCTCACTGCCACCTCTGCCTCCCAGATTCAGGTCATTCTCCTACCTCAGCCTCCTGAGTAGCTGGGACTTCAGGCGTGCACCACTACACTTATTTTTGTATTTTTAGTAGCAATGGGATTTCGCCATGTTGCCTAGGCTGGTCTCGAACTCCTGACCTCAGGTGATCTGCCTGCCTCGGCCTCCCAAAGTGCTGGGATTACAGGCATGAACCACTGCACCCAGCCATAATCATGTTTATAATTTGCTATTTTTATTTTTATGACAATAATTGATTATTTATTCATGGTGTCCCCTTAATGACACCTACCTAAGCCACATCATTCTTACTATTATAGCTTTCTGTTATCATCATCACCTGGCACTTGCTGAAAATGTATTCTATATTAAGCATAATGCTAAGCACTTTACATGAATTACCTAATTTAGTCCTCCAACAATCATCTAAGAAGTGTCCTTGTACGAGATTTTTGTTGTTGTTGTTGTTGTTGTTGTTGTTGTTTAGGACACAGAGTCTTGCTATGTTGCTCACACCTGGCTCTTGTCCCAGTTTTGTAAAGAAACTGAGGTTCAGAAAGGTGAATAATTTTCTAAGGTCATTAACTCCAGAGGACTGTGTTCTTAACCACTGAATGTGCTACTTCCCTGTACCTTACAGAATTGTCCCAAATTGGAAATCTGTAGAAGGAACTACATGAGACTAAACTGCTTCCCTGCATGGTTCTTACAATGCCACATGGCCCTCTTGGTTATTATACTGTAGGTTTGGTGAAGCCTCCTCTAAAACGCTCCCGATCTGCACCTGATGGAGGAGATGAGGAGAACCAGGAACAGCTACAAGACCAGATTGCCGAGGGCAGCTCCATAGAAGAGGAGGAGAAAACAGATAATGCTACCTTACTGCGCCTGTTAGAGGAAGGAGAAAAGGTATTGTGCTTCTGAAAAGTAAGGATTGTAAATATTTCAGAACATATTATTAAGACAAGATGAGTTGATAGGTTAGTTGTGGAAAGTAAATGCTTTAGTCTCTGTAATAAAATACAGCTTTAAGCCTGCCCTTTGGGTTCAATATGTTACTTCTCTCATCTCTCACTTCCTTGAAACCTTAAGTAGCATAAGGTTTTATCAAATACAGTATTAACAACTGACACCTAATTCTCTGTCTTCCTCTATACCACGGATGTTGCCATAATTCTCTATTTCAAATCCATGTAGACAGCCCATTCATTAATCTGGCCTTGTATTTTTCTACATCTCCATAATTCCAGTATCACCTACGGCGGCTTCAGCCAATCTGGACTGTCACCTCCAGCCTTGGATTATTTAGCCCCTGCTCTCCTTCCCTTACAGAAAATACCACCTTCCTATTTCTCACTCAGTCTCCAATACCTGCCAACCTCTCCAGTCACATTCCACTGACTCTGTCTTGTAGCCTGAGCCCCTGCAGCCTGGTACACCTTGGAGTTATTTTTTTTCACTCTGCACTTTACTCATCATGGTTGTCCATGTTGCATTGCTATTAAGGAATACTTGTGCTATTTTATAAAGAAAACAGATTTATTTGACTCAACGCTTCTGCAAGCTGTACAAGCATGGCACCAGCATCTGCTCAGCTTCTGGTGAGGCCTTAGAAAGCTTTAACTTATGGCAAAAGATGAAGGAGGAGCAGGCTTGTCACATGGTGAGAGGGGGAGCTCTTGTGTGAATGGATAGTGTGAGGACTCACTCATTACCCCCATGACAACACCAAGCCATTTGTGAGGGTCCCACCCCCATGACACAGACACCTCCCATAAAGCCACATCTCCCACATTGGGGATCACATTTCAACATAAGATGAGGAAGGGACACGCATGCAAACCTGTCACTCATACTGTTTTTTTCTTGCCAAACTGCTCCTCTTTCTTTTACTTGCATAACCTTTATCCTATTAAATCCTGTGTATTATAATCACATTTATCTGGATGTTTGTAATAATCAAACATAGGAAGCTTTCTTTGACTTTTGCTAGCTCAAGCTTGGTTAGATACCCTTCCTCTATGCTTTCATGATGTCTTATATGTATCACTCTGTACTGTCATGTCACAATTACTCGTTCCAGTGTCTTTCTCTTGTCCTAGATGTTGAGCTCCTTATAGGCAAACTGTCTTATTCCTATCTCATTGTCTTACAGAGTTCCAGTTGCATAATAGATACCCAGTAAGCCTTTGAATGAAGAAATGATTCCTTGAATAAACAAGGGAAAGAATGATTTGAATGTGTCATGAATATCACCATTTTAAAGGATGTTCTTTTGCCTATCATATTAGATCTTGGTATAACCTTTGAGATCTTACCCACTAAGAAGTAGTCACTAGAAATTAGAGTATAATCAAAACAGTTCTTTTCAAATGTATGCCCTAATTCATATTGAATGACAATACATAAAGAAAAGATCATGTAACTATAAAAGTACACCAGATATGAAAGGAGCACAGGAGAGGCTTCTAGAGACTGGGGAGCATTCTGTTTCTTGGTCTAGATGCTGGTCACACCAAATTTTTAGCATTTGAAAAATTCATCCAGCCATACACTTAGGAAACAAAACTTTTTCTATGTGTGTGTATATGTATATGTTTGTATATATATGTATTAATATGTGTATTGCATATAGACATATATACTGCAATAGAAATACTTTTAAAGTACATTAAGTACATTAGGATTAGGCCAGATGCAGTGGCTCATGGAGGCCAGCACTTTGGAAGGCAAGGCATGTGGATCACCTGAGGGCAGGAGTTCAAGACCAGCCTGGCCAACATGGTGAAACCCCGTCTCTACTAAAAATGCAAAAATTAGCCCAGCATGGTGGCGGGCCCCTTTAATCCCAGCTACTCAGGAGGCTGCGGTAAGAGAATCACTTGAACCCAGGAGGCGGAGGTTTCATTGAGCCAAGATCACACAACTGCGCTCTAGCCTAGGCAATGAGCGAGACTCTGAGGTCTCAAAAAAAAAAAAGTAAATAAAGTACTTCAAGATTGATCAACTGTAGCAATGAAAATTAACTTAGGTTTAGATATTTCAGAAAACCTATTATAATGCTTTCATTTTTAAAATTTTTAATCTCATGAGGACATTTTTTGCTCTAGTTGCTTTAAGTTTTAATAGTGCAGGAAGTGTATTCAAACTGACATTTGTTGGACTCTGATTTAATAGCTGATTTTTGTCTTGACTCATGTTGAACTATGTTTAAGTGATGAAGAGTTTTTACAAAGAATTAGATACTACCCTTTGGAGAGAAAACAATACTTACATTGAGATATTTAGCAACCCTCCCTCCTATGAGGAAAATATAACTTCTGCCAAGCTTGGTTTTTTGCAATAGCACAGTAGTCTCCAGGGAGCAGAATCCAGGTGGAGAATGAATAGAAACAGATTCTACAGTTCCATTTCCAGGGGGTATTATGGAAAAAGAAGATAAACTGTATGGAAGAGAACGCCTGATTATGTACATTATCTCACTGAATTCTAACAAGCCAATTAGAAATTTACAAGAAGATACAGAGGCTCAGAGAAATTAAGAAACAACCCAATCTTCAAAGTTGGCAGAACTGGAAATTTACCCTACATTAGCAGGCCCTGCAATTTTCACTCTGTATCACCTTGCCTCACATACAACACAATCCTATTCAAATCTCTTTACATGTATGCCTCAATTGCCTTTCCTGCCAATCTTTCTGTGTCTGTTTCTCTTTATGAGAGCAGAGCCTTATCTAATGTTCTTTACTTTTAGAAGCTAGCACATATGTGCCTGGCCTACATAAAGTATACCCAGAATGTTGAGAGAGATGGAACCAGTGGATGAGTAGATGGGTAGGAGTGAATTGTTTAGTTTTACTCGGGTCAGTTTGAAATCAGACTGTAATCTAAGCTAATTCTTCTCAACATGCTTAATCTCTGATATAATATGCTTAGCTCCAGGGATACCATACTAGTGTAACAAAAATTGATCATTACAAAAAAGCTATAGTAATGAATGTTTATGGGCTTCTTTATAGATCCAACACATGTACCGTTGTGCTCGAGTCCAGGGCCTGGATACTAGTGAGGGGCTCCTTCTTTTTGGTAAAGAGCATTTTTATGTGATTGATGGATTTACCATGACAGCAACCAGGGAAATAAGAGATATTGAAACCTTACCTCCAAAGTAAGTAAAGGAATGAAGAGACACAGTGTATGGCTATCTTTAGAAGACAGAAAATATATTTGCATAATTTTCTTTTTTATTCAAAAAATTGTGATATAGGCAATGTTATCTTTCAATTTGTGTGTATTCACCATTACATATTCACAAAGATGGTATTCAGTTATTTTAAGGTAGTAATGAAAATGTTTGGCTCATCAAGATGAAAGCTAAATAAAATATATTTCTGTGCATTAATAGCATCAGACACCAAGTTATTTATATTATAATCTATATATTACAAAATTTATTCTGAATTTATAAATTGTCCTTTTAAAAAATATATCAGCAGATAGAGAATCATAAAGAAAATGCAGATTACTGCACAATACTCTTAAAAATGAAAGAACATCACCAGGTACTCTGAGTACCCTAGAAACAGCGTGACTGAAGCATCAGCAGAGATTCACTGACTGAGTTGTAGGCATCTTCCTTTTCTTCTGCCAGTCCTGTAATGGAAGTGGTAGTGGTAGTGGAAAACTCAGGAGACAGAGAAAGCTAGAAGAAAGATAAGAAGCTTAAGGCTTAGAAGATCAAGACTGCTTCTCTTATTTTAACGTTTTCCTAGCACCCTTGAATAAAGACATTGTTTCTGTAGTTCATTCCTGCAAGGTATTTCAAATAAATACTTTCAGCAGTCAGGTCTCGTGAAGACTTTCATGGGTCCTTTTTCCATACAAAAATATTTTAACATAGATGTTGTGACTAATGGTATAAATATAATCATATACGTATTAAAACATTTTCTTCTACCTAAAAGTTGATTTTTTTTTCTGATTTTAAAATAAATTAAGACATTTTATTGGGTATCAAAGTATGTGAGCTGAAGCACTATGCTAACCATGTCTTGTAGATGACTTGGTCCTGATAGTAATAAGGGGATTTTAAAAATTATATTCATCAAAGGGAGTTCCTTTGTATCTCAGGTAGCTAGCAAATTCTTCTTTTAAATGTAATTTTTAACTGAAAATTCTGATACATATTATTCCTCCATCCTGTTCATGTGTTTAAAATTAGCACACCCTTTGTGAAACAGTAAATTTATCTCTTACTGTGTTTTCGTTACTTGCCTTTTCTCTTGGCTGCCTGTAGTATGCATGAGCCGATTATCCCTAGAGGAGCCAGGCAAGGCCCTAGTCAACTCAAGAGAACATGCAGCATTTTTGCATATGAAGATATCAAGGAAGTTCATAAAAGGAGATATCTCCTGCAGGTGAGTCATTTCAGTAGTACTGTTTTATCATGTTTCTTTATTCTGAAAATGTATTATTTGAAAATTGATATGTGCCATGAAATCCCTCTATAGGATTCTCATTACTCTTTTTTTTTTCTTTGGAGATGGAGTTTTGCCCTTGTTACCCAGGCTGGAGTGCAATGGCGCGATCTTGGCTCACCGCAACCTCTGCCACCTGGGTTCAGGCAATTCTCCTGCCTCAGCCTCCTCTCATTACTCTTTAGAGTAATCCTTAGATTTGATTATAGACAGACTTAGGTCACATGGATGCAAAATTTTGTATAAAGCATTTGTCTTGTTTAAACACCGCCAAGAATTTAAGTGATTGTATTTGTTATCCATCTTTCCCTGTAGCTATCCAAATCAACATTTTAGTTTTCTTATAATATAAAAATTACATCCTTACTATAATTTTATAAAATTATAATTTTATAATAATTATTATTATTCTGTTATTAAAGACTTTAAATTGAGCAGAGTAAGAAATATCTGTTTATTGTGTAACTTAATCTTCAGGGAATTCATGACTCTAAAAGTGTTAGCAAATTAACTTCTTGAACATTGTAGACATTTTTAGTGGAAAAGTTAATACATGATTTTATTTGTGAACTTCTGTTTTTTTCTTAATGTTTTTCTCTCTGATCATTTCAGCCTATTGCTGTGGAAGTTTTCTCTGGAGATGGACGGAATTACCTCCTTGCCTTTCAGAAAGGAATTAGAAACAAAGTCTATCAAAGGTCTTGTTTATCAGGAACACTTTGTATACTATCATGGGAAGAGATGGAAGGGGAAATCTTTTCTCAGTTTAGCTAGTTTTTTCTTCTCTTTTAATTTTTAATTTTTCTTGCCTGAGAATATACCAAGTAAAGTTTAGCTAGTTTTTAAAATGTAGAATTTAGATCAACAAGTCAACATCTTTGAAGAAAATAATTTGTATTTTTTTTTTGCCAACCTCTTGAAACAATTCTTCTAACTTTTAAAATGATGCAATTCTATTGTGACATATCATTTTTCCTCCTCATAACTTATAGTGGAGATCATCCAAAACTACTTCTGTCACTAAGTCCGGTGTCTAAATATAAAGGATAATGAAACTGTAGCTTTAAAAATAAAACTTTACTTTCAGAATAGGCTTTCTTTATGTTTACTAAATTGAAGCCAATGCAGTTTCTTGCTATTGAATACAAGGACTGAATTCTCTTAAAAATTTAATTTACATGGGGCTTTTCTCTGGCTGTGGAAGGGATGTTGTATACCTTCATCCTTGAAAAAGTAGTGTAGACAAATCAGATAATCTAATCTAAGCCTATTTTTATCTTCAATAAACTATATTTAAAATTTACCTTTTAAGTGAAAAACAGACCAAGTCATGCAATGGCTCACACTCATGTTCTCAGCACTTTGGGAGGCCAAAGAGGGAGAATCACTTGAGTGTAGAAGTTCAAGACCAGCCTGGGCAACATAGTGAGACCCTGTCTCTATAAAACTTAAAATAATTAGCCAGGCATGGTGGCGCATGCCTGTAATGAGAGGTTGAGGTGGGAAGATTGCTTAAGCCCAGGAGGTCAAGGTTACAGTAAGCCATGATTGCACCACTGCATTCTAGCCTGGGTGACAGAGCAAGATGCTGTTTCCCAAAGTAATATCAAAAATTTTTTAAAACAACACTCATCTCTGGTACTTAAAGATATTTCTCTTGAATATGTGGATAATAAGACTATTCTGAACTAACCTTAGAGATGAGAGGCATTCTCTTTTTCTTTGAAGGGTGGTATAGATCCTGGCAATCCCTCTATTACAGACAATTTTATGTTTCAAATTATTTCCATGAGGAATAACTAAACCATGCAACATTGCTTCTCATTGCAGTACGGTAATATTACCTGTGAGCACCTGGGAAATGAGGGTGGTTCTTCAAATAATGCGCCTGTGGATGTTGATTGGTAACCCAAAACTCCTTTCACATATGGGAAGAGCTAAGTAAAGTGATTGAAATTCACTTTTACTTACCTAATTTTTTTAATTTCTAAAGGTGCTATTGTTTTCAGTGCTAAGAAAACAGTGTTTGGCTATTGAGATAAGTCCAAAATAATAGATTTTGTTATGGGCCTTTATATTTGGCTTTGGACATCGTCATCCTATTTTTTTTTTTTATAACCAAAAGGGTATTCTAATTACTATATACTCTTTTTGCCTGCCATTTAGTGGGTTATGGGAGGGTAGATGCAACTATGAACATCTAAACAAATCATCCTTTCTTAGGCTTCCCATTAGATCCCGACTGAAACTTCATTTGCAATTTTATGCTATTTTAAATTTTTCAGGTTTTTGGCTGTAGTGCCATCTCTAACAGACAGTTCAGAATCTGTATCTGGGCAACGACCAAACACGAGTGTGGAGCAGGGGTAGGTGGTTTGTTCCTTGCATACTATACTTTAATAGTGAAATTGGGATGATTCATATCTGGACAGTATTATTTAACATTTTTAATAAGTGTTTTTCCCCAAGTGGTTGCAAATTTTTTTGCACATTTTCCTTTGAGATCTTATCAACTTGTATAGGATTTTTCTACTATAAGGTATTACTCCTTTGCTTGTCATATTTGTTGCAAATTTCCCAGTTTTCCTCTAAACTTTGCTTTTTGACATTTACATTTAAACTTCTGTTTTTATGTATTCTGACCTATCAGTGCTTCCTTTATGCTCTTTACAGTTGTGTTTCATCTTAGCAAGGCCTTGTAGATGACATAGCCATTTCAAGAATCCATAGACCCAGCTCCATTTATATCACTCAATAGCTGATAGCCCTTTATAATCCACTAGAAAGAAGCAGTGCTTTGGGACTGTGAATTAATTATTAGAGCATGCCAGAAAATGACTTTTAAAAGTACTAGAGATTCTGTAATTTGTAAATGAAATTCTATTCCAGTCTGTGTGCATCTAAATATATTGTATATTTCTCTTTTAAGTTTTGTTTTTATTTTTCTATGCCAATCCTTAGCAAATACAATGCTAAATATATGCTTTTGTTAAACCCAGAAACATATTCTGCTCCTAATAATTGTGTTGTTGTTAACATAAATACAGGAAGTGAAAGATTTCCTTCAAAACATAAGCCTTTTTTCTACTTGTAAGCAAATTGCTACTACTTTTACCTCCCTAAATAATCTTAAACTTGCTACTGTCTGTGCTGAGTTAGCTATTCTTAAAGAACTTTTAAGAGTTCAGAGGCAAGAAACAGAAATTCGTTTCCAACTTTAATCTTCCATTTCATGTGTTCCCTTTCTTACAATGTTGAAGAATGATCATGGATATTTTTCCAAAGAATATCTTGTGCATTCAGTTTGCCTGATGGAAAGACTATCTAGACGTGGAAAATAGTATTGTCATGCTGAATGTGTTTAGGACCTAAGATTTACAAATGTATTAACTTACTTTCAGAAAAGAAAATATATAGTTAAATACTTTCTCCTGGTTCCATGACCAGTTATTAATTATTGATATTATAAAGCTGTTAAAACTTAAATAGGATTTTATAACATTCTAAGGAAGTATTTTATCCTCAAAAAAGTAATGTATAAATTTTGAATGACCTGGACAGCAATGACTTTCCTGTTATACAGTAATCATATTTTTATTAACTTATTTAATGTACTATGTACCTGCTATGTATAGAATATTATATAATATTTCATTTATTCTAATTAAGTATCCTTGGATTTGTTTACTTAGTAATTATAGTAAAAATAAAAAAGACTATGGTTAGAGTATGGCTCATGCCTATAGTCCCAATATTTTGGGAGGCTGATTTAGGAGGATTGCTTGAGGCCAGGATCTTCAGACCTCCCTGGGCAACATAGCAAGACCTCGTATCTACAAAAGTAAATTATAAAATATTTTTTAAAAAGAAAAGGCCAGGTACTGTGGCTCACACCTGTAATCCTAGCACTTTGGGACTAAGGCTGAGGCAGGCAGATCACCTGAAGTCAGGAGTTCAAGCCTGGCCAACATGGTGAAACCCTGCCTCTACTGAAAATAGAAAAATTTGCTGACGTGGTGGTGAGTGCCTGTAATCCCAGCTAGTCGGGAGGCTGAAGTAGGAGAGTGGCTGGAACCCAGGAGGCAGAGGCTGCAGTGAGCCAAAAAGAAAACAAAAGTTTAACTAGATCAGCGTTCTTCCAACTTTTTTGAATATGACCTAGAGCAAAAAATATGTATTATATTACATCCCAAGACATATAAATGGAATTATAAACACTCAACAAACAAAATTCACACACAAAAAAATCCTTTCCATTATTATATGTGATGCCTTCTGATGTCCTTCCTCTGTTTTCTTCAGTTCAGTTCAACGTTACTTCATATTTCAAAGTGCTGATCACAACCCACTAAACTGATTTTATGACCCACTAATAGATCTTTCATAGTTTGAAAAATTCCTGGACCAGGTGACTTACATTTTTCAACTGTGTATCTCTCAGATTTAAAATTTTATTGCCTGGAATTTATTGTCTTATCTATCGCTTTTAGATCTGGGTTGCTTAGCACTTTGGTTGGAGAGAAGTCTGTGACTCAGAGATGGGAGGTAAGTTTAATGAATATATAAGCTTTCTCAGAAGTTTGTAGTTAGAGTAGAAGTCATACAGTTAAAAGCATTTTAATTATCCATAAAAGGTATACCACAGAGAAATGTTTTATTTTCATTCTTTTTAGGAAAACAAAGTATTTCATTGTTCCGAAATCTGTTAAAAAGAAACTGTCCTTTATATAATTTTGCATATAAAATTTTAAAAGCTGAACGTAGTGGAAATAATTGATTGCTCAAAAATGAATATTGATCTTTCCCCAGAGAGGTGAAATCAGCAACTTCCAATATTTGATGCATTTGAACACTTTGGCTGGCAGATCATATAATGATCTCATGCAGTATCCTGTCTTTCCCTGGATCCTTGCAGATTATGACTCAGAGGTATATCTTAAGTTTTTTTGCCTACGTAGAACACGTTTTCAAAAATAATTTTAAATACTACAATTGAAGCGGGGTGCAGTAGCTCATGCTTATAATCCCAGCACCTTGGGAGGCCAAGGCAGGCGAATCACTTGATCCCAGGATTTCGAGACCAGCCAGGGCAGCATGGCAAAACCCTGTCTCCACTTAAAATACAGAAATGAGCCAGGTGTGTTGGTGGACCCCAGTTGTCCCAGCTGTTCTGGAGGCTGAGGTGGGAAGATTGCTTTAGTCGGGGAAGGGGAGGCTCCAGTGAGCCAAGATTGCACCACTGCACTCCAGACTGGGTGACCAAGCAAGACTCTTGTCTCCGAAAAGAAAAGAAAAAAAACTACAGTTGCCTAAATATTTGATTTGCTTTGTAGTTTAGCGTTCTGAATAGGCACAGGCACTTAATTCAAATAGATGAAAAGCATTTAGCACAGACATATAAAAAGTTTGGATAATTGACCTATTTACTGAGTACTGGACATAATTCATTATGTCTATTCAGTTTCTTTAAGTGCTGATTAATTTGCATCTATTGGTGGATGTCAGAATCCATTTGTGTAGTTTGAAGGGTTTGTTAGAAAAACAAAAAGTAACTCTTCTACAAAATATTCCTACCACATAAAAGAAATTTGTTATACTATTCCAAGAAGCCTTGAGAGATTTCCAACAAGTCAACAGGTAAATGACTTTAGACTCAAAATCAAGAGCAGATAGATGCATATGAATGTTATCATTCCTCTCTTCCTTTTCCTCCTGTCTGACATAGGTCTGATTAGTTCAGAAATGAACATAACAGGCAGAAGAAAAGACACTTAGCCCTAGGTAAACAAGCAAAAATTTGTTTTTAAAATTCAGAAATTCATTGGACATTCTCATTCACTAGAATCATGTCTGCTTATTCTTTCAGAAATTTTATACATCAACATATTAATGAGAAGGATATACCTTCTATCCTCAGAAAATTTTGGTCTAACGAAAGAATGAAAGGAAATCCACCCTATGTGCATGGGTGTATGTTAGTGTATTTGATGTGTGAATCTATATATTTGCTTGTTGGTTAATATGCATGCCAATATACAATAAATAAATGTAATAGAAGGAAAAGAGGAGATCAGGAGTAAAGATTAATAAAATGAAATTATCTTTTATTTCAGTTAATTAAGGAAAGTTAGAAAGAAAATGTAGATTTTTAAAGAGACAGGAAGACCAAAAGAAATGCGGTTTTCTGAGAAGGAAGTGGAGTACCTTGTCAACCCATAATTGAATATGTATCTCATGGGAGCATGACAGGTCCCATTACTGAACCTTCAATTCTCTACCTGTTTCTCCCAGTGCAGTTCTGACCTTCACTGTGTATTCCCCACATCAGGAAACAGCACCATCATCCATGCTGTCTTACAGGCTGGATATTATACTTTTGCTACTGTCCATGTCTGCTCAGTGGCCAACACATGTCTGCCTTTATCTCCATCAGTGTACCTAGTGTCTCATTTCTGGTCCTCCACGTCTTTTATTGGACCATTGCAGCAGCCTCCTAACTGGACTTAATGCTATAGTCTCTCCTTCCTTCGCTGTGCCCTCTACACTGCAGCCAGTTTCAGGAACACATATCTAATTGAGTCATCCTCCTGTTTAAAATCATTCAGTGACCAGGTGACGTGGCTCACACCTATAATCCCAGAACTTTGGGAGGCCGATGGGGGTAGATTGCTTGAGTCCAGAAGTTCAAGACCGGCCTGGGCAACATGATGAAATCCCATCTCTACAAAAAATGAGCCAAGCATGGTGGCATGCATCTGTAGTCCCAACTACTCAGGAGGCTGAAAATGGGAGGATCACTTGAGTCAGTGAGGTGAGGTTGCTGTGAGCCGAGAGCATGCCACTGCACTCCAGCCTGGGCGACAGAGCAAGAAGCTGTCTCAAAAAAAAAAATGAAGTAAAAATAAATAAATAATAAAATTATTAAGTGAATCATCATCATCATAATTTGGGAGCATTGGAAAACCTCACTGTGGCAACCTTTTCCGTGTAGCTCCTGCATACATATTCCTCATGTATTCCCAGAACTGCTATCGTGAGCACCCTGGTTCCCTCTGTTGTAACTTAGTGGCTTTTCACACACAGCCTGACCTGCCCGGTACCCATAATGCCTTTCTTCTTTCCACCAACTAACTCAACTGATCAGCTCCACTTCATCCTTCAGGAAACACTCACGTACCAGCCCTGTGATGGGGAGTCTTCTGTCTTTCTGTTCTCTGTCTTCTGTTCCCATACTACCCGGTAGCTGTGTAACATAATACCTATTTTTTTTTCACCATTGTAGTCATAAAATTTTCTTTTACAGCATAGTCCTGCTATTTGTTTAACCCTACTCAATTGTAGGGTCAAGGTCCTTAAGCACATAGATCATTTTATGTCTCTCTCAACTCCCATCCCTTAGAACGATGCCTGGTACTTTGTACTAGTTTAACGTTGTTGAATTAACCAGAAAATACAAATGAGGTACTTTGCATATAAACTTTAAGAAAATAGATATGCCGGGCGCGGTGGCTCAAGCCTGTAATCCCAGCACTTTGGGAGGCCGAGGCGGGTGGATCACGAGGTCAAGAGATCGAGACCATCCTGGTCAACATGGTGAAACCCCGTCTCTACTAAAAATACAAAACATTAGCTGGGCATGGTGGCGTGTGCCTGTAATCCCAGCTACTCAGGAGGCTGAGGCAGGAGAATTGCCTTAGCCCAGGAGGCGGAGGTTGCGGTGAGCCGAGATCGCGCCATTGCACTCCAGCCTGGGTAACAAGAGCGAAACTCCGTCTCAAAAAAAAAAAAAAAAGAAAATAGATATACCGACTTGACTTTCATAAATGTAGATCAGTTTATCCTTTTAAAAATACAAGTTTGGCAAAATTGGTTATTCATAATGCCCTATAAAAAGGACACAAATATGCCACAGGCACATGTTTCAAATTTCTACTTTTAAAACCCTCAGGGAGTAAATTTCCGTTTCCTTTTAAATATATGAATTTGGTCAGCTCATCAGCTTTTAAAATAATCTCTTGTAAACTGGAAGAATCCATCTCATTGAGAAGTTACTTGATCTGGTGTAATGTTATCTTTTAGAGGTGATTGAATTACGGTGTTCTAATTTATATCACTTCCAGATCACCTCTGAGAAGAAAACGCTCAGAAGTAAAGTTGGAGGGAGACAGGGTCGGGGCGGAGGGAGGTCTCATCTTTCAATTATGTGAGTGATGAGGTTAACGATGAATTGGAGCTATTGTGTCCACAGTCTCCTGCTGGGGTCCTTGCCAGGACTTGGAGGCATTTTCCCTCTTATTCCTCATCCCCTAAACCTAGATCCTAAGTGGCTTCCTCTGTGAAACACATAATTTCCAAAGCAGTTGTCTTCCAACTGAATCAGTTAGCAAACTACCACAAGCCGGTCTGTAAAGTGTGGATAAATAGTACGGACATAGCATTATTTTGGAGTCTGGGTATGACAGTTTGACCTCACAGATACTAGTGCATTTATAAATCATCATTGTCCACTACAGCCACTATATCTACATTAGTGAGGCTAGAGAGTGTATAGTGACTTGGAATTGAGTTACATTTTGTATTTTAGGAGGTGGATCTTACTAATCCCAAGACGTTTAGAAACCTGGCTAAGCCAATGGGAGCACAAACAGATGAACGATTAGCTCAGTATAAGAAGCGGTATAAAGACTGGGAGGATCCTAATGGTAAGCAACTTTTTCTGTCATTGGACTTTGTACCCAGGTTTCAAAAGTAAGCCATTATGTAGCAGTTGACATCCTTAACTTTTTCCTTCAAATTGTTTATATATCATATCTATAGGTATTATATGTCCACAGATATATGCAGGTTATTATAGTAGAAGAATCAGGTTTGCATGCCAACTTATGACCATGTTTAGAAGGCATTTTATATAGCTTATCAGAGTACTAGTGGAAAACTCAGTATGCCTGCTTTGCATAGGGCAGAAATTTTCCATCATAATCTGCTTCTGTCTCTAATCATATTTAGTCCAGGAACCACACTTTCATTTATTGGCTCTCTTTTAATTTTATTGAGGCAATTTTTGGACCCTTTTTGCGTTTAAAAAAATGGCTATATTCTAAAACCATATGATTTACTTGTTATTTATTATGTTTAATGTTTATTGTGTTTCTCCCTCAAAAAGGCAAAACAAAGGAGAAAGAAAGCCTCAGCTTGTAGTCCTGTGTGAACTCTTTTATTCTCTCTCTGCCAAGGAGAACATGTAGTAAAAATACATAAAATTGCTTAATATTTATAAACAACAATTTAGAGATATACATAAATGCAAAACCAGAACCTAATAAAAAGTAATTATAAGTTAATTTCCTGCTTTAGTGGAAGGTGGTCTACCATTTAGGGTTAACTATTATAGTCAGCCTCAAAACATGAAATTGGTAGACATACTAAATTTGTGGGAATAGGCCATTGAGCTATACTTAATTTGGATTACTGTCAAATATAGAAGAGAGGGATTGTGGTGTCATCATGAAGTTTTCCTGCTACAAATGCCAGTACTGACTGCATTTAGTATCACAGTTACCACATATGCTAGCATTTTCAAATATAAGTTAATACTAATTTTATTTTTTGTATTTCTTTTGGTTTTAATTCTGCTTTAATTTTCCTAAACAGGAGAAACTCCTGCATACCACTATGGGACCCACTATTCATCTGCAATGATCGTGGCTTCTTATCTTGTAAGGATGGAGCCTTTCACACAGATATTCTTAAGGCTACAGGTAAAACTTTAAATTTAAGGTTTTCTATTTTATACAAGCCTACTTCCATGTAAAATGTCACCTTTTTAAAATATCATTATCTTGCATTACAAGGAGCTCTGTGAATTTTTCATGACAAAGTAGTTACTTAACTAAAGTAGAATTTTGTTGGACCAAAATTGATTAGTGAACTAGAATTCTCTTAGAGCAAACAAGTGCCAGCCTCCTTTAGTCAAATACGTAAGTAGCATACACTTACCAAGCAGCCCTAACTGATTGAATTAAACATTTTTTTTTTTTTTACAAAAACGTGATATATTCCAGCTCTTTCCCTGTTTTCTCTATTACAATTGCTTTTCTGTACATTCATTTGTTCAGCAAATATTTAATAAATGCCTACTGTGTGCCAGGCACTGTTCCAGGTACTTGGGAGGACATCAATTAATAAAGACAAAAGCCTGACCTGTGCAGTTTATGTATTTCAGTTGAAGGAGACAGCCAAATATCAAAAACAAGAAAATTGTAAAGTATTTTAGAATGTGATAAAAGCTATCAGAAAAATATAGGTCCGGAAAGGGGGATGGAAGGTGGGGAGAACAGGAGGTTGGGCAGGGTGGGATGCAGTTTTGTAAGAGCAGTCAGAGTAGGTCTCCTGTAAACAAAAGTCGAAAGGAGGTAAGGGTATTGCTTCTGCAGACATCTGGAGATACATGCTGCAGGCAGAGGGAAGATCTTCTTCAAGGCTCTAAGGCAGGCCTGTACCTGATGTGTTTGAGGAGCAGCCCAGGGCCAGAGTGTCCAGAATAGAGTAAGAAAGAAGGAAAGTTGTAGGGGAAGAGGTCTAAAAGGAAACAGGGGCCAGTTTGTATGGCAGGCCTTAGCAGCCGTGGCGTGGCCTTTGGCATTTTCCACAGTGAGCATCGTAAGACAGGTACACCATGTTCACTTAAAACACAGCATGAGGGGTTTCACTGAAGAAGATGGGTAGTGTAGCTATGAGACTGCATAGGCAAAAATACCATTTCTATTTGAATTTGCTTTATCAGTCTGTAACTGATCACCTTTTCTGATTTCCCATTTAATTCTCATTGGTGTGAGAACTTGCATATCATGTTAATTTGTAAAATTAGCCAAACATAATTTGAATGTTTCCAACTGTAGATGATTTACATTAGAATCTTTTATCATCAGACTGTGGAAGAATTCGTATTTCTTACAGCCTTGTCCTCTCTTTAAAATCTATTCTTTGAATGACTTTTTAAAATCTTTACATTTGGATTTCAATTTGATTATAAAACATGCATACAGAACCCTCTGTAAGGATTACCCAAAAAAAATTAGATTTTTTATGATTATTAAAAAAATTTTGTGTATTTAATGTAGGATAATGGGAAATTGAAATGACACTAAATATAGTTTGAGTTTCGAAGCTCTTGAACTTGACAGAAGCTGTCAGGTGAGAATGGTTCTCTAATAGAGAGGTGCCTTCTCATTCTGCCCACAGGGTGGCCACTTTGACCTGGCTGACCGGATGTTTCACAGTGTGCGCGAGGCCTGGTATTCAGCATCAAAACACAACATGGCAGATGTAAAAGAACTTATCCCAGAGTTCTTTTACTTACCAGAATTCCTGTTCAATTCCAACAACTTTGATCTAGGTACGTATAGCTATGGTACTGTCTTAGGAATGTTAGCCAGGAAAAGCCCAACAGAAATAAATCATTTCTCTGAAGATTGTCTGCAGCACACATGAACAAGTATAATTTTGTTATAGTTTCTTGCAGTCACATGCTATAATTGGGTGTGGTTACATGTGAAAGAAAAGCATATTTATGTCCCAAAAGAGCTGTTTCAAATGTAGAGTCTGGGAGACATTTAAAAATTGACATATGCTGGGTTCAGTGGCCCACAACTATAATCCCAGCTCTTTGGGAGGCCGAGGTAGGCAGATCACTTGAGTTCAGGAGTTCTAGACCAGCCTGGCCAGCATGGCAAAACCCCATCTCTATTAAAAATACAAAAATTAGCCAGGCATGGTGATGGGCACCTGTAATTCCAGCTAGTTGGGAGGCTGAGGCAGGAAAATTGCTTGAAACTGGGTGGTGGAGGTTGCAGTGAGCTGAGATTGTGAACCGCAGTCAGCCTGGGTAACAGAGTGAGACTCCATGTTTAAATAAATAAATACTGACACAGATTACTTCCAACATTTAGAATTTTATTGTTTTGATGAAAACAAAGATGAAGTGAAAATTTATTTGAAAAGTATTGCTATTGAAACCCATTGATAGCTAAGAGCGGTGCACCCAAATTTTTCACATATTGTTTTAATCCCGTGTATTACCTAAGACATTCTCGGTTTATATGCTAATGTGTTTTAAAATTAGAATTTCAGAATAAATTTAGGTAAATCCCTTTTCTTTATCCTGTAAGGGCTCTATTTTCTAGAAAAACAGGACCAAATCAGCAATTACAAAAAGGAGAAAAACTTTATCAGTACTGTTTTTATATTATCTGGCAGTTAGAGTAAGTGGAATTGACTTTGGTTACAGTTTCTTGGAACACAGCTTGCTGATCTATGCTTCTGAGTATTTCTTTTAAAGCATATCAAAATTCCATTGTTTCTGTATTAGAATATTCCTGCCAGGTATTTGTCATTTTATATTTTTTTCACTTCCTGTATTTTCCACTGTCTTATAAGAGTTCACATAAATTATAACTGTACTACCTCTAAATTTTCATGAACAGAAAATACAGAGAATTATTTGTGTCCTATACATATGAAAGGTATTTCTATTTGAAGTTTTCTAAAGATGATTTTTATGTGTTTAATTGTCCATCAGCAACTCTACCTTTATGAAATGGGATCTAATAGGAAAGATAACAAGACTCTCCACGACCCTAGCAAAATTCCTGAAATTGAGTTTCATTACCTCCGATTATGCCTAGAGCTCACCCTTGAGCAGCTAAAGACACAACTTTAGAACTTAAGAGTTAGAGAAAGTGATAGGTTTTCCCAAAAGAATAGAGTAGATAGTCAACAAGGTCAACAAACACATGCTATAGCCTTTGACTATGAATGCGTGTTAGCATTTTCTTTTTTTTTTTTTAAGACAAAGCCTTGCTCTCTTGCCCAAGCTGGAATGCAGTGGTATGATCTCTGCTCACTGCAACCCCCACCTTACAGGTTCAAGTGATTCTCCTACTGAGCCTCCCAAGTAGCTGGGATTACATGTACCACCATGCCTGGCTAATTCTTTTTGTATTTTTAGTAGAGATGGGGTTTCTCCATGTTGGCTAGGATGGTTTCGAACTCCTGACCTCAAGTGATCCACCTGCCTTGACTTCCCAAAGTGCTGGGTTTACAGGTGTGAGTCACCATGCATGGCCACATTAGTGTTTTCTTATGTCCATTATAATTCACCTTTGGAGAATCTTGCTGCCTTCCCTGGGCAAACCACTGTCAAAGAGACAAATATGGGAGAGGTGCAGAAACAAAGAGATAGCTTATAATCTTCCAGAAATGTCTTATCAGTTACGATAATCCATGTTACAAAGGTGTTCCAGACAGACCACTTATAAACCCAACCAACCAATCTACTTTTAAAATAACTAAATAAAAAAGGAGGTTGTAGCTTTGTCACGTTCACCTTCATAACAAATTATCTTCTCTCTTTGAAGTAACATACTTTAAAAAACAGTGGTTGGGCTGGACATGGTAGCTCATGCCTGTGATCCTCGCACTTTGGGAGGCCAACGTGGGTGGATCACTTGAGCTCAGGAGTTCAAGACCAACCTGTGCAATATGGCAAAACCTCATCTCTACAAAAAATACAAAAATTAGCCAGCATGGTGATGTGCACCTGTAGTCCCAGCTACTCAGGAGGCTCAGTTAGGAGAATCACTTTAGCCCAGGAGGCTGAGGCTGCGGTGAGTTTGTTCATGCCACTACACTCCAGCCTGAGTGATAAAGTGACACCCTGTCTCAAAAACAAAACAAGACAAAACACTGTTTGCATATAAAACCTAGTATCATAAGATTCTTATAAGAAAACATAGGGGTAAATCTTCATGATCTTGAATTTGGCCATGGATTCTTAAATATGATCGATGCCTATAGAATGGAAGATAACATTTGCAAATAATGTATCTAATAAGGATCTAGTATGCAGAGTATAAACAACTCTTATATTTCAACAACAAAAAGACCAACAACCCAGTTGGAAAATGGGCAAAAGACTTGAATAGACAATTTTCCAAATAAGTTACACAAATGGCCAGTAAACTCATGAAAAGGTACTCAATGTCATTAGTTATTAGGGGAATGCAAATCAAAACCACAATGAGATACTACTTCATATTTACTAGGATGGCCATAATTGGGTGGGGTGAACTGAAAAATAACAAGGGCTGGCAAAGATGTAGAAAAATTAGAACCTTCAGGCTGTGCACAGTGGCTCACGCCTGTAATCCTAGCACTTTGGGAGGCCGAGGTGGGTGGATCACCTGAGGTCAGGAATTCGAGACCAGCCTGACCAAAATGGTGAAACCCTGTCCCTACTAAAATATAAAAATTAGCTGGATGTGGTAGGGTGTGCCTGTAGTCCCACCTACTCGGGAGGCTGAGACAGGAGAATTGCTCGAACCTGGGCGGTGGGAGGTTGCAGTGAACCAAGATCCCACCACTGCACTCCAGCCTGGGCAACAGAGCAAGACTCTGTCTCAAGAAATAAAAAATAAAAAAAATTAGAACCCTTATGCATTGCTAGTGGGAGCATAAAATGGTTTAGCCACTGTGGGAAGCAGTTTGGCAGTTCCTCAAAGAGTTTTAAACAGAATTACCATATGACCAAGCAGTTCCACTCCTTGGTATATAGAATTGAAAATGCAACTCAAGTAGTATGTGTATGAGCATGTTCATAGTAGCATTATTCGTAATAACCAAAAGGTAGAAACAGCCCAGATGTCTATCAAGTGATGGGTGGATAAACCAGTTGTAGTATATACATACGATGAAATATTATTCATCCATGAAAGTCAATGAGACATTAAATACTACAGTGTGGCTGAACCTCAAAAACATGCAAAGTGAAAGAAGCCAGACAATAAAGGTCACATATTGTACATTTCCATTTATAGGAAATACTCAGCTAAGTCCACAGAGACAGGACACAGATTTTGGTGTTCTGGGGCCTGTGGTGATAGTAATATGGGCAGCTACTGATTAACAAATACAAGATTACTTTTGGGGTGATAAAAATGCTTTGGGACAAAATAGAAATCATGGTTGCATAACATTGTATCTGAACTAAATGCCACTGAATTGTTCACTTTAAATGGTTGACCTTATGTGAATTTCACCCGAATAGGGAAAAAAAAAAAAAAAGTTTGTCTCTTCACACAGAAAAGATAGTAAATGATAAAAAAGAAAACGCACTTGGGGCTGGTCACAGTGGCTCACTCCTGCAATCCCAGCACTTTGGGAAGCTGTGGTGGGCAGATTGCTTGAGACCAAGTGTTCGAGACCAGCCTGGCTAACATGTTAAAAACTCATCTCTACTAAAAACACAAAAATTAGCCAGGCATTGTCGTGTGTGCCTGTAATTCCAGCTACTCAGAAGGCTGAGGCACAAGAATCACCCGGGAGACAGAGGTTGCAGTGAGCCAAGATCACGCCACTGCACTCCACCCTAGTCAACAGAGCAAGACTCTGTCTCAAAAGACAAAAAGAAAGAAAAGGCACTTGGACCTTTTTTCCTTCGCTGTGAGATAAATAATATTCACCTTGGAGTCGTGTTGTTCTTACATTCTTGAATACACATGGAGGAGAGCTTCAGAAGAGCAAAAATAAGGGCCAGACGTTACGGCTCTTGCCTATAATTCAAGCCCTTTGGGAGGCCAAGGTGGGAGAATCACTTGAGACCAGGAGTTCAAGATTAGCTTGAGCAACAGAGCAAAACCTCGTCTCTTCAAAATAAAATAATTAGCCAGGCATGTTGGCATGTAACTGTAGTCCTAGCTACTTGGGAGGCTGCCTGGGAGGATCGCTTGAGGCCAGGAGCTCAAGGCTGAAGTGAGCCATGATTATACCACTGTACTCCAGCCTGGGCAGCAGAGCAAGACCCTATCTCAAAAAACAAAAAACAAAAAAAAGCAGAATTAGACAAAGGCTTTTCTGTATACTATGTTACCTTTATATGTCATTTTAAAATTGCATATAGTGCTCATAAAATAAAGTTCTGTAACATAAATATTCAAGAATTACAGCAAAATTTTGAAAAGTAATTTCTATCTCAAGTAGCCTTTTACCTGTTTATTATTACCAAAAAGTTAGGCCTGGGGGCATTTCATGGGGATTCAACACCGAGTGTGAAGTGTGTATGGTTTAGGAGGAAGGGTTGTAATAATTTATTTTTGTCTTAAATCATATGGTAACTTTTCCAGCCAAGTCAAGACAATCCTTTAAACAATAAACTGATTTATACCACTCAATATCACATTGTAAATAAACCATCAACTAGCAATGATAAAGGCAAGATTGTTTCTAAGGGAAATATTTTACTTGCTTTCACTTGGAATTGGCTTTGTGTTCTAAAATTTGAACAATTGCACTCTTTACGAAAATTTCCAATACAGGTATTTATCTAACCAACTGCTGTTAAACTAGTGAGTCAACATTGTTGTTTATAGACTCATTTTTTTTACAGTGATAATCTGATTTGAACCTACGAAAACTCTGTAAGCTAAAGGGATATTTTTGGTATATTTCAAAAAATGAAAAACAACCTTTTTCCTTAGATGCAGCCAAATTTTGTATATTTTGTTGTGGATAGATTTCATAGTGAATGGTTTCTTTTATATTTTAGAAATTAGCTATTACTTAAAATTAAGTTTATGTGGAATAAATATTATTTATGTGCCTATCACACCATATTTTTTGTTGTTGACAGGTAGCCCTGTAGTTTTTCCAAATATTTTTTTCTGCTGAATGATGCAATAACAGCAAAAAGTTATGTTATTTCAGATTTCACTTTTTAAATAAGAATGCTTACTGCAAAATACATGCCAGTTCTACAGAGCTCTTTTGAGAACCTAGGAGTCAGCGATATGAGAAACCTCTTGTGTTACAGACATCTCCAGGAGACTGTTTCCAGGAAATTCAAAACAGTACCCCCACAAAATGTTTTGCTGAAAAGGAGTCCTGTGGTCAATTAAAATTTTAGACATTTTGTTTGATGTCCCTCTTAGAGAAGGGCAGTGCATGTTAGCATATTAAACCTCTGAGGAGTCCTGCTCAGAAGGCTGCAGAAAGAAGCATGTCTCACTTTGTATAATTCAGCATTTCCTGAAGACATTGCTGACTTAGTAACTCTTTCTGCTAGAGTGCTCTGAGGAGCAGTTTTGGGGGATGCTAGAAGTCAGTGATCTCTGAGGTACTTTTAGAGTTCTGGTAATGAATCTAACCCACCATTTCTCTTTCAGATTAATGTAAAGTTACCGTTTATCCCTTTTTTTTTTTTTTTTTTTAATGTCTCCAATTGCACAGGCTGTAAACAAAATGGCACCAAGCTTGGAGATGTTATCCTTCCACCCTGGGCAAAAGGGGATCCACGAGAATTCATCAGAGTCCACCGAGAGGTAACGAAAGTACACTTTGCAGTTGAAGTTGAATTTCATTTGGTCACTGAACATAATACAAAAAGAGGACCTCTAACAGAGTATCACTCATTTGTTACTAATACAACCAGGCCCCCTTATCTACAGGGGACACATCCCAAGAACCCCAGTAGGTGCCCAAAACCAGGAATAGTACCAAACCCTACATATATATATAAACTATTTATTTTCCTATACATATATAGGCCTGATTAATTTATATATTAGGCACAATAAGAAATAAAGAATAATAACTAACAATAGATCAGGGATAATGATATACTAAGAGCTATGTGAATATGACTGATCTCTCTCTCTGTCATAAACACAATAATATTTTCACACCATGATTTACTTCAGGTAACTGAAATCTCAGAAAGTGAAACCTCAAATGAGAGGGGACTGCTGTGTTGTTTTTATGATTTTTAGTTATTTTAGTTCCTATTGACAACTTACCAAGTTTTTTCTAGTCTCTGAGCAAGTAATAAAAGTCAGCCAGTGACTGAACCTGTGTTTGAAATTACAGGCTTTGGAGTGTGATTACGTGAGTGCCCATCTCCATGAGTGGATTGACTTAATCTTCGGCTATAAACAGCAAGGCCCTGCTGCAGTAGAAGCTGTAAATGTCTTCCATCATCTTTTTTATGAGGGTCAAGTGGATATCTACAACATCAATGACCCACTCAAGGAGACAGCCACAATTGGGTTCATTAATAACTTTGGTCAGATCCCTAAACAGGTATAGATGTTCTTTTCTTAGAATTGAAGTACTGTGTTTCACTTTGTAAATTTTGTAACATTTCTGTAGATTATAGATGACCACAAAATAATCAAGTTTAGATTAACTTAATAAAGAGCCATAAATATTACATAGTATTTCAATAGATTCCTAGATTGTTGCTTTTTTCTCACTTTCATAGTCTAATTAAACAAACATTTTGTTTAAAGAGAGTGAATTATCCCTTACAGACTAATGCAGAATGAGCTTTCTTAAGCCTGCATAAGATGTAACAGGAGGGGCCTTATAGGCCACATACAGAGGGGGTTTTGTCTGGAGGCCAGTGGGAAACCAGTGCTGATTTTAGGCAGAGAAATGACATGTTCACATTTAAACTTCAGAAGTTCATTCTGGACTCCATCAGAATAAACTACTCTATGCCTCTCTCTCTCTCTCTCTCTCTCTCTCTCTCTCTCTTTCTGTTTCTGTCACACAGACACAGCACACACATTCTGTCTCTCTCTCTCTGCTGGGGAGCCAAACGGGGAGCAGAAAACCACTTGGAAAGCTATTGTACTAGTTCAGGGAATAAATGACAATGGATTGGGTTAAATTATGGACATAGACATAATAAGTGCTTCTCTGTGAGAGCACATGCCATAGGAATGCCGAGGACGTGCAATAGCTGCCCTCACCACCTTCTGGAATTTGGAGAGGAAGACCAAGATCTAAACCTCTCAGCACCTAGATACTGTAGGTCTGTTTCATGTTCAGCGATGAGCAAACCTCCATGAAGAAACCTCATCCCTTTTCTCATCCCCATTGTCCGAGGTATGGCCAGAGGGCTGCGTGCACCAGGAGTAACTGCAGCAGGAGTGACTGTGGAGAAGGCACACTTTGACAAGCTGGTCAGACCACCCACCTTTACTAAGGACCAGTGGCTCATACTTTGATCCTGGCTACCTTCTCTGTTCCTGCGTTAGATGTCTCTATGGACCCCCTTTTTGTAGGTTAAAGTTTTTGAGGTATCCAGGACTGACACTTGAGAACACACGAAACAATGGCACATCTCTGTATGTAGAAAAGCCATGGTTGATAGCAGGACATGCTGTAACTGTATCATTTACAGTGCAGTCTGAGCCCCTAATAAAAGAAGCATGTTTACTTTTATTTTATAGAGATAGGGTCTCATTATGCCCAGGATGGTCGTGAACTCCTAAACTCAAGCAGTCCTCCCACCTTAGCTACCAAAGTGCTGAGGTTACAGGCATAATACAGCACCTGACCATGTTTACTTTTAAAGCAAAATGTTTGCTGATAAATTCTATTTACAGTTGAAGGATATTAGCTATACCTATATTTAGTTAATATCTTTTTCCTGAGAGTTAGAAGGACTGGAGCCATCTTTCATACCCTAGGGGAAATATATACTGTGAACATAAAAATCAAAGATACTTGCACTGTTGCAGGATTTTTGTGTTACTTTGAAGTAGAAGAGGCCAGAAGTCCGGGAAGTATCATTTGGATGCCAACATATTTCTGGGACATACATTGAGTAATAGAGAGTACTTTCAAGTAAAACCATCCTCAAAAATGTAGGCTTTATGGTTATCATCTCCATATATCATTAATATACCCTCAGCCTGGCATAGTGCTCTATCCTTAGGTCCTCACATAAAAGTGCTTCAGGAAATGCACATTCATGAATGTGCTTTCAAAGTATGTATCTTTACAGAAGCCTGATCTCATGGTCCTGTATGTAGATAAAATAGGAACAAGACGTTTAAAGGTTTGAGAGCCTGGAATGTGTATATTCCTCTGAACAAAGAATTTTTTCTGTTTTTTTCTCCTGGAAACCCAAAATGTCTAATTCACAAAGTGTGATGGTGTTATATTCATATTAAATCTCATTTCATTTAAAGCTTTTCAGATCTCCTCCTCAAATACTAGTTTTCCAACGAAACTACTCTATGTCTGTCTCAAAGATTTATAATAATTGAAAAATAGTCATCTTAAATGAACATTAAATTTTTTTTTTTTGAGACAGAGTGTTTCTCTGTCACTCCAGGCTGGAGTGCAGTGGCACAGTCTCGGCTCACTGCAACCTCTACCTCCTGGGTTCAAGCGATTCTCCTGCCTCAGCCTCCCAAGTAGCTGGGACTACCAGCGCGCGCCACCACACCCAGCTGTATTTTTATTTTTAATAGAGACAGAGTTTCACCATATTGTCCAGGCTAGTCTCAAACTCCTGACCTCGTGATCCATCTGCCTTGGCCTCCCAAAGTGCTGGGATTACAGGCATGAGCCACCGCGCCTGGCCATTAATATTTTTAATCCTATAGAAATACTGAATGATGATGTAACACTTTTTTTTTTCTTTTTTTCCTTTACAACATAGCAAAGTACAAAGAAACTGGTAATGTTCACAATTTCAGCAAATCAGTAGCACCTTTTTAGGACACCAAAATGGCATTTCTAAATCACATAAAGGCCACATTGAAACCAAAAATAATCCAATTAGATAGAATGTCTGCCTGCCTTCAATGGCACAGAATGTTATATTGGGCTACAAAGAGTCAGCTTTTGAATGTCGTTGGAAAATAATTGTCAATCAACTGTAGATTAACTTTCTTTTGTAAAGTTATTGTGAATTCAGCTTACCATAGAACAGAACACCCACACCTTAGTATCATAGTTCTGTCCCTGCTTATTCAGGTGAGTTCCTGGCCACCTTCACAGCCTCTTTGAATTTCTTTTCTCAGATATAAAATGGGGATAATATAGCACCTAATGGTTCTTGTGAACCTTATGTGAAGTAAGAACACAATGCCTGGCATATAAAAGGGCTTATAAGTGTTGTCTTTCATTATAAAGTGTATCATCTTCTTTCATACCAGTTATTTAAAAAACCTCATCCACCAAAGAGAGTGAGAAGTCGACTCAATGGAGACAATGCAGGAATCTCTGTCCTACCAGGATCTACGAGTGACAAGATCTTTTTTCATCATCTAGACAATTTGAGGCCTTCTCTAACACCTGTAAAAGGTAAGATAATGAGAAATAAAGTTTTGATTTATGATTTAATGGGACTGTTTCATAATCCCAGTTTAACAATAACAAATTTGCTTTTTGACAATAGCATAATTTGTTTAATAAATGCCATACATTTTGTGTTAAATTACTAAATACCTACTAGTATTTATATTTTCTCTTTTTCCTTCTTTTTTCTCTGTTTTCTTTTTTTTGGCTTGTTGGACTTTATATCAGAAAGAATTAAACAGGCTTCTCTCTCCTCTTTAAGATAGTCAAAACTCTAAAATACCCTTCAACTTTATAGGTAGAAAAAAGTTTGTCTTCATAATTTCATTCTCATTGAAGTATATTCTGCCTATCCAAAATATTAGTAAAAGAACATATTTTTAATCTGCCAGTGAAACAACATCTATCTTTTATTTAATGATATAATCGGATATCTAAAAATATTTTTTCAAATAGGTTTTTCCCCTGAGAATGAAAAAAATAAGAGTTTTGCAAAATCTTGAAGTTGTGGCTTAAAACAAAGTCTGCTTAACTTGTGTGCCATTCAGTGCCATTTGGCCTCATTACACATACTCTGTCCTGTGCCAGCATCAGTCACTGCTGGCGATTCTTCTGGAGTAGTAATGTGTTCAGCAGAGTGCTGGTGTGGAACAATGAGTCCATGCCTCTTGGGGAATGACATGACCTTCCTTAAGGAAAGTCTAAGGGCTGGCTATAACTTGGGAGGGATTAAAGACATAGATTTGTTGATGATCTGTGTCCCTATGACATTCTGGGGAGCATCCCAGATTACTCTGTACAACCCTATGGAAGCAGACCTAATTGGTAGTAACCAAACAAGAGAGTGCCCGGAAATAGGAAAGCTGGAGGGAAGTCCTGCAGAGGACCTGTTAAGATCAACATTCCACCCAGCAGGTCTTATAGGAGATTCAAAAGCTCAGCTCTGTTTCTGAGTTTATTTTTGTTTCAATGTAGGTGTCATGATACTTGATTTGTATGAATATTTGAAATTACCTTATCATCCCCTATGAGATAATGATACTACTTTTTCCTGTTCCTGTCCTAATGTCATGATTTCTTTTATCTAGAACTCAAAGAACCTGTGGGACAAATTGTATGTACAGATAAAGGTATTCTTGCTGTGGAACAGAATAAGGTTCTTATCCCACCAACCTGGAATAAAACTTTTGCTTGGGGCTATGCAGACCTCAGTTGCAGACTGGGAACCTATGAGTCAGACAAGGTTTGCATTATTCCCTGCCTATCCATTTAATCTTGCTCTTTCGTAGTATGAATATCCTATCTGACTAATAGGGTTGGGGAGAACCCAATCCAAGAGCTTGTCAGTTGTTCCTCCAAACCCCAAAGAAGGGTGAGCTTTCCCCTTTGGCGAAAGGAGAGCTTCACTGAATGAGAGCAGGATAAAAGAGCTCACAGAGACGTCATGTTTTCTGCAGAACAAGCCTCTTTTGGAAAGTTGTGTAATAGGGGCTAGCAGTTTCCTTCTTGCTCAAAGAATTCCTCCGAGAGATCCTAGCCAGTAAGGTGCTCAGCATTTCTGTCAACCAGAATAGCCTCCTTTTGATGAGTCACCATCTGCCCCACTTTTCATTTTAGTGCTCCAAACAAGCTGGCAGAAAACCTGTTGCCCCATCCCACAAGAAGCAACAGCAACTGTTTTAGGTCCCATCAGTTCCTCTTGGAGAGACAATCTGTAGTGATCCTTTGGTACCCCGTGTTTGCCTTCCAACAGTCCCCTCCCAAACGTAAGACAAAAAGAATCTGCACAGTCTGTTATGTTGCTTTGTAACACAATTTCATTCTGTTGATTTTCTCCGTAAACAGCAGTAGTCACACTCTCTTTTTACATTCTGTCTACAGCAAATGCATCCTTTTGCCACACCTTCCATAGGTCACACAGTTTGAGCATCATTTTCCCAATCTGGAGAAACCAGAGACCCCTATTGTGAAAAAGTCCTTTTTGATTATGGCTTTCAGCAGCAACAATAGTTAGAAGGTGGTGGGGTCGTTTAGGGTAGAGATTCAATGGATATGCTGCTGAACTAAAGCTAGCTCAGAACGTGAGCTGCTATTTGCCAGTGGGATGCCGGCACCTTCACTCAGCTTCTGCTCCTTGAATTTCAGAAATTTGTAGTACTTAATGGCATGTGTGTCTCACATCCGTTTTACTTTACAGGCCGTGACTGTTTATGAATGCTTGTCTGAGTGGGGCCAGATTCTCTGTGCAATCTGCCCCAACCCCAAGCTGGTCATCACAGGTGGAACAAGCACCGTTGTGTGTGTGTGGGAGATGGGCACCTCCAAAGAAAAGGCCAAGACCCTCACCCTCAAACAGGTAACAGAGAATGTAGCAAATGCCAAGAGGGACATATTCCATCTCCCGTGCCTGCACCCTGTAGGAACTAAAAAGCTTCCTTCATTATGAGGTACTTCAGATATAATGGACAAAACCAAAGTTACGTTCTGTTGCTAGAAATACTTTTTAAAAAGAAAAGGAAGTCAGTATAGGCTGTTTCTAACAATGATCTAAGCCAGTTGCTTTGTTAAAATCTGAAGAAAGTTATCTTTAGGTACATATATTTCAGTGTATTTAAGTAATATAAATGCAAAAATCTAAGTTGAATTTTTGCAAACTGAATTATGTTTGCTATTGACTCGTATCAGTTTCCTTCCAGGGTAATTTCCATTTATCTGCCACTAAATTTGTTATTCTTTGTTTTTCTCTTTTCTCACTTGTCATATCCTTAAGGACATGCCAAACCCATGAATGTAGTCAGTAGAGCCCTTGATATTTTAATTAACAAGTATTTTTTGATTGCCTGTTACATACATGATTCTATTATTAATTTTTACTTAAAGCAAGAGTCCTTTTATAATAAAGCCATTTCTTAACATTTGATTTGTGAGGGAACTTACCGTAAGGTATTTTTTATATAAGGAGCACATATCTAAGTATTTTTAATGATACAAATTTGAAAAATAATGTAACAATACCACTAATCATTTATTGAGCACCTGCTATTTCAGGGGATTGTGTTGAGTATTCTACAAATAGAAAAGTCCAGTCCACAAAATTCTACAAGTTAGTTATTAGCCCCATTTTACCCCTGAAAAAGACACAGGTTAGAGAGGTCAAGACACAAGTCTAAAGTCACACCTAGCAGTAAAGGTATAATTTAAATTAAGTTCTGTCTGACTTCAAAGCTATTTGAAAGCCAGACTCAAACAGTAGTGTCATAAATACCTGTGGGAAAAATTGAACCCCTGTTCAGTATAAAACTGAATCATCTATATAGGCCAGAAACTTCACAGAGTTGCTGGGTCCTAAGGCAAGCCATATAGAGAGAGAGAAAGTCTTGAACAGAATACAAAGTTAATAGTACATTTTGCTGATCCAAATTCAGCTTACAAATATTTTCCATTCAGAAAATGCACTTTGAAAGTAGTGTGCCAGTAAAAAAGGACTTCCTACTTAAAGTAGTCTCCTAGGTTTGCTAAGCATGTAGTAAAGTTGTCAATATGACTGAAATTTAAGCCAACTCATTTTTTTTGTATTATACATACATATATATAGATGTGTGTGTGTATGTATATATATATAAAATATATAATATATATATAATATATAATATATATTATGTATATACACAGATAGTTCTCTCTTGAAAGTATTTAAAAATTGATCAACCTTCAGTCTATACAAAATACCTACTCTATGTGATAGAAAAATTTCTCCTCCAACTTTACACTGATTTAAACCAAGGCTTTCCCCAAATGTACACTAGGAGGCAACCTCTTACAACCCAATGTGTGGAAGGCAGCGGATGAAGCCAACTCATTATTAAGCAGACATATTTTTCTGTCAGGACAGATGGCCCATTCTAAATGCTCAGGAACTACTAACAGTAATCTAAATCTTTTTCTTCCTAATATTTGCTTATTTTCACACATTGCCGTTTCCGTGGGTCCTGTTTCTTTTCAGATTCCAGCAAAAGAGGGACGTTCTTATTCTAGTTTGAAGAAGGAATTCCTCTCAGACATAGATATTCAGACATCTCCCATTGGCAGCAGGACTTCAGCATGCTGACGCCTCAGGACCACATTCTCCCTTTGTCTGTTGTAGACCACGTGCTACAACCATGTGGTTCTCACAGTTTATGCATTTTTGTAAAAAATTCATTCTATTGTAATTTCTTAGAATGGACTGAACAGAAGTTTGTGGCATGAAAGCATAGATGTAGATTTTAAATTCTGTATTTTTGGTGCCCATAATCAATACATCTCTACATAAAAATGTTATCAAGAAATTCAAGCTGGGTATGAGTTGTCATTCCCCCTTCCATCTAAGATCCTAGCCCAACTCCAAGAAGGAAGTAATGTGAAAACAGAGAGAAGAGCCTCCAAAATGCTCCAGGCTTCTCTCTCCCGCCGTGGGCTGAGACAAGGGCAGTCAGCAGGAGGAGAGAAGAGGTCTGCCTTCCACACTCTCCAGACACCACTGCTCGAGTCACTCACTGCCCAGCATGCATGCCACTGTTTCCTGATGGATCCAGGAGCTTCTGGAGTCACTGTGGAACCCTGTCCCTGTGATCAGTCTGATTTTGTTTGTTTGTTCTCATTTGTAGGCCTTACTGGGCCACACTGATACCGTCACCTGTGCCACGGCATCATTAGCCTATCACATAATTGTCAGTGGGTCCCGTGATCGAACCTGTATCATTTGGGATTTGAACAAACTGTCATTTCTAACCCAGCTTCGAGGGCATCGAGCTCCAGTTTCTGCTCTTTGTATCAATGAATTAACAGTAAGTAGTAAATTGCCCACAGTAAGTAATAAATTGCCCACTTCATTTATGTTTAGGTAAACAAGTAGTCTTGGCCAAACCAAATTAAAAATGGTGGGGCTCAGGGGAACATGTCTGTAGTTGTAGCTACTTGGGAGGCTAAGGCAAGAGGACTGCTTCAGCCCGGGACTTCTGTGCTGTAGGGCACTATACCCATCAGGTGTCTACACTAAGGTCAGCATCAATACGGTGACCTGAAAGCCAGAGACGACCAGGTTGCCTAAGGAGGAGTGAACCAGCTCAGGATGGAAATGGAACAGGTGAAAATTCCCGTGCTGATCAGTAGTGGGCTGTACGTATGATAGCCATTGCACTCCAGCCTGGGAAACATAGCAAAACACCGTCTCTTTAAGAAAAAAAAAAAAGAATTTTTTTTTTTTTTTCTGAGAGATGGTTAATTGTTTTTGAAGTTGATAGACATTCATTTTATAAAAGTTACTACATTTTCTTTGATTTAGTGTGGTTTGGAAAGCAAAAAAGTTTGTAATCCAGAGAGCAGTTTTGTCTTAAAATCCATTTACTGCTGCATACATTAGAGAGAACAAGATTCAGTTAAAACAAAGCTTTTTAGCATATGTTTTTTAAAATATAAGAAATTTGTAGGATTTGTTAAGAATGTTAGAAATTGGCTGGGCACTGTGGCTCACACCTGTAATCCCAGCACTTTGGGAGACCAAGGCGGGCGGATCACAAGGTCAGGAGTTTGAGATCACGCCACTGCACTGCAGCCTGGGCAACAGAGTGAGACTGTGTCTCAAAAAAGAAAAAAAGAATGTTAGAAATTGACCAGACGTGGTGGCTCATGCCTGTAATCCCAGCACTTTGGGAGGCCAGGGCTGGTGGATCATTTGAGGTCAGGAGTTCAAGACCAGCCTGGCCAACATGGTAAAACCCTGTCTCTACTAAAAATACAAAAATTAGCCAGGTGTGCTGGTGGATGCCAGTAATCCCAGCTACTAGGGAGGCTGAGACAGGAGAATTGCTTGAACCCAGGAGGAGGAGATTGCAGTGAGTTGAGATTGTTCCACTGTACTCCAGCCTAGGCAATACAGTGTGACTGAGTTTAAAAAAAAAAAAAAATGAATGTTAGAAATTTCTTGAAAATTTTAATAAAATATAATCAGAGTATGGAAAGTAAAAAGGGTGACAGTTGGGTACCCAAGCAAGTGAAAAATTCTTATAGAGCTATTTTCAAAACAGATCCGAAAATTATCAAAAAGATACTTTCTCTTTTCAGAAATAAGTATTTCATATACAAATAAATGAAATAATTCAAATAAAATAAATATCCTCATCTAGGAGCTTTCTACACAAACCAAGGAAGTAGACAAGAGGGGATTCATTGCTAAGATGGTCTGTAAACAGGGGAAGTTTGAGGGCAGGTTTACAGAGACTGAGGCCCCACGAGCTTATCACATTAGTATGTAGATGATGTATGTCAGCATGTAGGCAATGCCCCGTATGGAAATCCATCCTGCGAGTCGACAAGAACTCACTCAAGCCTCATCACTTCTTAGCTATACATATTCATTGCCACCTTACCCTCACCCCTACCGTAGGGCCATCCTTCATGACACAGAACAGTTCCATGTCATTGAGTGATGTTTACACCGTCACCTACACAGACAGCTTTACTCTTGAAGGATGCTGCATCTTTAATTTCTACCAAAAGTTATTCAGTATTATGCTTTTAGTCAGCTATCTTGTAGTCACTTATTATAACAGGAGAAAGAAAGGAATTCAGTTGTAATTGTCAATCACTTAGAGTGTCTGATTAATAATAGCAGGTATAATCAGGTTGAGAATAAGTGGGGGACATGCAAGGGTAAAAGAGTCAGATTGTTTTTTTGTGTCTGAAAGGTTTAAGAGGTTTTCAGAACAATACCTTGGGCTGGTCCTGCAAACATTTGAACCTTTTATGAAAATGTGGGTGCTGCAGAACTGCCCTAATGCAGCAGTGTTGCTGAGTCAGATGCTTAATCCATTATTTGGGGCACTTCATTTTGGGGTTGTTCTTAACTACTGATAATTTTATTATAGCCAGTTGTTATTTCAGCCAGTATACACCTACTGGATTGAAATACTTGCTGCAAATACTACAAAAGCAGTCTTTTCTTTTTAAGATGCTTTCGTAATCTCTTAATAACTCATAGGGCCAGGTGCAGTGGCTCACGCCTGTAATCCCAGCACTTTGGGAGGCTGAGGCAGGAGGATCACCTAAGGTCGGGGCCAAGATTGAACCACTGCACTCCAGCTTGGGCAATAAGAGCAAAACCCTGTCTCAAAAAAAAAAAAAAATTCATGAAAAGATTTCTATTTCTGTTATGTTTCTCCAACCAATATCAAGTCTGCTTTACTTCAGTTTACATTTTAGGCCAAAGCCACTTTGTCTTTCATTATTCTTCTTATGTCTCAGCCCTCATAATGACAGGATTTACTCTAATAAACTCTAATTAAGGCCCCAGAGTAACTGAAGAAGGTATTGCCCAGTGCAGAATGGAGCAGTTGTCTCTTGCAGAGATTGAAGCCACTAATTAAAACTCAACTACTGACATTCATAGTCAGAAATGGTTCAGTGACTGATGCAGAAGTAGACATAGCAGTGCTTTGCTAAGTATTATTTTGGTTTGGGTTTTGGTTTATTTCTTACCATTTTGTTAGAAGAGCTGGGGGACAGGAGGAATAAGGAGGAGCCGTGACAAGACCAGCACAGTGGATGGAACAGGCCCAGTCCTTCTCACCCTACCCCAGCCTCCTCCACCTTACCTTCTTTCTTACGCTGGTGCTGCTTGCATCTTCTAGTTCTCCACTGTTTTTGCTGACCATCTTCAGACTTAGGTAGGTTCTTATGTATCTCCTGAGAGTACTGAACTTGACCAGGTCTTATCTAAAGCTAATACTCAGCATCATGACAACCAGGCTATCTTAGGAATGAGAGAGGCAGCACAGTATGATATATAAGCTTTGGGGCTATAGAAAGCTGGCTTCAGATCTCTGATGATAAAAAAGTTACTTAAGCTCTCTGCCCCTCAGTTTCATCCTTTAAAGCAGGGGTAGTGATCAGGGCTAGTGATAATCTCATAATGTTGCTCTAAGGGTTAACTAGAACATCTAGTGTCTCCACCCCGGTGACTGGCACACAGGAGATGCTTCAGAAAGCATCCTTCTTTCTTTAGCTTTAGTGGGTTGTGTTCTTGCCAGGTTGGGTAGAGCCCAGCCTGGTGGAATTTGAGAAAATAGGCTGTTCTTCTATCTTTGGGACTTATAAAAACATAAGTTGTCAGCTCAGGGAATCTTGGGGTATACTAAGTTTGCCAACACGTGACCCATGAACCAGTGTCCCTTTCTCCCCCCACATTTCCCCACCCCTATTTTGAATACGGATTTTAAAATAGGCTATTACAGCATTGCTAAGATTGTACTTTTTGACTTATTGAAGAGAGAAACACAGCTGTATCTGGATTGAAAAATGCCTCTTTTACCTTGTGGTTTTGGTGGTTGGACTCATTTTGTAAAAGTAGAGGTGGATTCCTGCCTCTAGATGAAAGGTATAATAGATTTTGTTAACAATGGGAGGAAGAAGAGCAGTTCATCATCTCCTCAGATGACAGGGAGCTTTGTTGTGTCACCAGACCTTGCTCAGCAGTGTGCCAGGGACATGAACCTGCCCTTTGTCTCCATCTGTGGTCCCTTTGGCCACTGCATCCACTTAACTGTGAATTCTTAAAGAAGCCTCTGTTCAAGGTATTTTTTTAAGTCAGCAAGCACTGAATTTCAGGTTACCTAAGAAATTAGCTGCTAATCTTAGGACTGAAAGGCTTTTTGAGAGCTAGGCCAGGCATTCAATTTGCTTCAGAAACCAGAATGTAATAGGAAGGGAGCGAAGACAATGATGTTTTTCTCTCTCTTCCCAGGGGGACATTGTGTCCTGTGCTGGCACATACATCCATGTGTGGAGCATCAATGGGAACCCTATCGTGAGTGTCAACACATTCACAGGTAGGAGCCAGCAGATCATCTGCTGCTGCGTGTCAGAGATGAACGAATGGGACACACAGAACGTCATAGTGACAGGACACTCAGATGGAGTGGTTCGGGTAAGTGAACTGAGAGAAAAACTCATTCAGATATTTGTTGTCCTAGTTTACCTGAAACTTGTTGCTATTTACAGGTTAAGAACACATAACAGGCAGTAATGTTTAGTGAACTCTCGCTCCAGTTCAGACAAGCCTTGACCTCTGCATTATCAGACATGAGGAACACCGGTGTCTTGGCCTCTTTCTAGTAATGCTACTGGCCATTTGACAGCTTGACACAATGAGGTCACTTAAACATGATTCCCATGTCACACTGGGATTGCTAAAAATGCTAACTGCAGAAGTACTGGGTTTTCAGCCTGTCAAACGGCTTCATAGGGAAACTAGTGAGCAGGAGTAAGTCTCTTCCCTACAGAGACTCACAGTGCTGGAAAACTGGGATCCCAGATGATTGCACCTGAAGCCTAGATGGGGTTTATCCTATTCTTAGTTGCTTTATGCTGGGCCTCTACAGAAAATAGAGGTAATGGAGTATTCACCTTTGTAGTCTGTGCATGCTTTTCTTTAATTGTTCTCTTTGTAAAAGCAGAGAGCAGATGATTACCACCCTCTTTTGTCAGAGTCACATGCGAATAGACAAGGAGGCCATCAGGCCACTCCCATACCACACCCTGTGCCTCACAGGATACACATCTATGCACACACACAAACACACACACACACACACACACACACACACCCTGGAGTCCGCTTCCTCAAGAGTGGCATTTTCACACTGCTCAATCTATGAAGGAGCATAAAACAGCTCCCTAGCTAGGCACCTGGGGATTCTGCTTACTGTGCCTTCTAGGAGGTCAACAATGTATATTACCACGTGTAAGATTCTGAGAGGTTTTTGTAGGAAACAAAAAAGTTTACTTAGTTAAATCATGTTTTTGTTTTGTTTTTGAGACAGAGTGAGTCTCTCTCTGTCACCCAGCCTGGAGCGTAGGGGCAAAATCTTAGGCTCACTGAAACCTCCACCTTCGCCTTCTGGGTTCAAGCGATTCTCCTGCCTCAGCTCCCAAGTAGCTGGAATTACAAGCATGCCCTGCTATGCTTGGCTAATTTTTGTACTTGTAGTAGAGACAAAGTTTCATGATGTTAGCCTGGCTGGTCTCAAACTCCTGACCTCGAGTGATCCACCCACCTTGGTCTCCCAAAGTGCTGCAAGATTATAGGCATGAGCCACTGTGCCTGGCCTGAACCATGTTTTTAAACTTATTTGACTGTAATCTTTTCCCTCTGCTTTGAAAGAGCCATTGTTTATAGGCAGCCCCCTGCCACATCTTCCAAGATACAGAGAAATCTAACTGTATAACATAATGGAAGTTATCTGTTAACCCTGAGAGTTTATCTTCATTGAGTAAAATGTAAATTGGCTCCATAATCTGTTTCTTAACTTTTTTATTTTTGTACTTATTTAAATTTAGTTTTGGAGAATGGAATTTTTGCAAGTTCCTGAAACACCAGCTCCTGAGCCTGCTGAAGTCCTAGAAATGCAGGAAGACTGTCCAGAAGCACAAATAGGTAAAAATGACTCAATCGTTTTCACATTTCTTTTAAGTCACTGTGGATAAACTTAACACTGAACAACAAAAGGAGGAGCCCGGGGCTGGGCACTGCTTGGAGAAGCATGGTTGCTGCCTGTTATGTGATTCCCTTGAGCAGACATGCAAGCTTTTCTCTACTTCACTGGGCAACATTTGGTGTCGTGCTGTCTTGTGCTTAACTTCCACATTCCATACTAAATGTAGCACTCAGTTTCTGGAGTACCAAAGGCTTGGGCTTTCACTTCTGAAAACACAGAACAAACCTAGAGGACGGGCTGCTGTGTAAGTCAGACAAGCTCTGCTACGCCCTAGTCCCACATTTGTTCTGCCCACCATGGGGCTGGCTCAGTGTGAATGACAGGTACATTCATGTTTGTAAACAATTAACAGAGGCAGACCAGAGTCCACAGTCAGACTTGCTCACATTAGGGCATTAATTCATACTGAAACCTATAAGTCACACTGAAGCCTAACACTGGTTACCTATCTAGTCCATTATCTATTGTTTGTGAAGCAATTTAAAATTTTCCAGTGAAATATAGAGATAATTGATTTCCATCCAGAATAACTGAAAGCAATGCCATAATGTCAGGGTGAGATCTGCTTTGTGTGGCAGTCACTGGAGAAGCTACCCCTGTGATGTAGAACAGTGGGTACAAGGGACAGAGTTCTGGAAAGGAACAGAGTTATAAGTTTAACCTTCAGATTGTTTCTCCATGATTGGCTGTGTACACTGAGAATTCAGTGTGACTTTGATGATATGAGGAAGTTAATAAAGAAAATTTAGCAGAAGTCACTTCTTGATATAAGCTGAAAGTAGCTTTTACTTTCCGTGCCAGAGAAGAGAAAAGATCCCTTGGGCAGGACATTTTTAATGCTGGTAATATATTAGTACATGTAAATTTCTAATTACAGCCCCACCAAAAAGGTCATCTGGGTGTTTGGGGACATAAAAATTCAGTTTAATTCAGTAAGTGTTTGGGGATTACCTGTTATATGTCAGATATTGAATTAAGGGGTCCAGTGAGAAGTGGGTCATTTTCCCTTCCCTTAAGCAGCTTTTAAGTAAATAACAGTGGAAGATGAGATGAATGAGTGAGACAGAAGGGGTCAAAATCAGGGTGGAGAGATATATGTATGTCTTGATTGTGGGCAGTCTGGCAGAAGTGGCAGAGAGGGAGAGAGTCCACAAGAAGGACTGACTCTGCACAATGTAGAAGTGGTGAGACTTGTGGGCATTTGCTGGGGTGAAAGGTAAACAAGCTAGGGGTTCACTGGAAATTAAAGCCGCTTCCAAAGCTGTTTGTTTGTGGACCTCAGAACTCATCATAAGCCGCTGGGGTGAAAACTTCATTCATGTTAGTCCTATAGACCCCTACTTAGTAGGAAACAGACAAAATACTTGTCTTGTTAAAAAAAAAATAACTGTGTGGTGGGCTCAGTTTCCCTCTGTGTCCTCGGGAGTTGGTTCTAAGACCTCTCTTAGATACCAAAATCCGAGAATGCTCAAGACCCTGATACAAAATGGTGTATGTACTATTTTCATAAAACCTACTAATACCCTCCTGTATACCTTAAATCAGGCATCCCCAAACTTTTTACACAGGGGGCCAGTTCACTGTCCCTCATACCGTTGGAGGGCTGCCACATACTGTGCTCCTCTCACTGACCACCAATGAAAGAGGTGCCCCTTCCTGAAGTGTGGCAGGGGACTGGATAAATGGCCTCAGGGGGCCGCATGCAGCCTGCGGGCCCGTAGTTTGGGGACGCCTGCCTTAAATCATCTCCAGATTACTAGTAATACAATATAAATGCTGTGTAAATAGTTGTGATGTTGTATTGTTTAGGGACTAATGACAGTGAAAAAAAATGTGCACGTGTTCAATAACAGATACAGTTTTCTTTCCCCAAATATATTCCATCTGAGATTAGTTGAATCCATGGATGTGGAACCCACAGAAATGGAGGGCCAGGTATACTTGTTTCTCATACATTTTCCCTCCAGTAGACTTTATTGCAAGGGAGTAGAGAGTTGATATGAGGAAATGCAAAATAACAGTGAAAATAGGAAGAAGAACAAAATTCAAAATTAAAGTTGTCATCAATAATTCACTAATCTTTAGCCAGATTAGTGAATCTGGCTAAATGTTGTGGCATGCGTCTGTGGTCCCAGCTATTCAGAAGGCTGAGGTGGGCAGATTCCCTGAACTCAGGAGGTTGAGGCTGCAGTGATCTATGGTCACTCCACTGCACTGAAGCCTGGGGGACAGAGCAAGATTTATGTCTGTAAAAATAAATACATAAATAAAATTTGAAAATAAGATAACTCACCAATCTGTGAGTCATTGACTTCTATATACAATGGCCCTTCTCTCTACCATCTTGTAGAAAGAATATCCAAAAGTAATAGTTTAAGATGAAAATTTGAAGAACTCAGGAGGCACAGAACTGTTAAAGGAGTCCTGAAAAGGGGGAGAATACTTTGACCTGATGGAATTGGATGATTTAGAAATAGGAACGTTTAAGCTGTGCCTTGAATTCAAGCTACGTGATGTCAGAACACACAGAGATTGGGAAGATGGATCTGGGTGGCACCAGCGGCATGTGAGGAAGCTCACCCTTGGAGGAGCAGGTCTGCAGGGACAGAGCTAGAGTGACACTGTCTAGCTGCACCACGGCAGGCAGTGTGAGGCAAAGGCAGGTTCTGGCCAGATTGTGAGAGGCTGAATGCCAAGCCGAGGATTTTGGCCAAAATTTTTTATAAACTCTTTCAGAAATTCTACCTTTTTTTTTTTTCTTTGCTCTCTGTACTCTAGCCAAAAATCCTGGCACACACTTTCTTTTTTGTTACACTTAGCTTAAAATATTATGTTTATAGAGGCTTATAACTGGAAGCAAAAAAACTAGTAGAACAAAGCTGGGTGTAACTTTGATGGTTCTGTGTATTCCAACTCTCTCAATGCTTCACCCAGGGCAGGAAGCGCAAGATGAGGACAGCAGCGATTCAGAAGCAGATGAGCAGAGCGTCAGCCAGGACCCTAAGGACACTCCAAGCCAGCCCAGCAGCACCAGCCACAGGCCCCGGGCGGCCTCCTGCCGTGCAACAGCCGCCTGGTGTACTGACAGTGGCTCCGATGACTCCAGACGCTGGTCTGACCAGCTCAGCCTAGATGAGAAAGATGGCTTCATATTTGTGAACTATTCAGAGGGCCAGACCAGAGCCCATCTGCAGGGCCCCCTTAGCCACCCCCACCCCAATCCCATTGAGGTGCGGAATTACAGCAGATTGAAACCTGGTAACTTGAAGTCTGGTATCTATTTCTCACTCCTTGTATGTGGTCTGAGGGTTGGTGAATTAAGGCAGTGGGGTCTAGCTCTCCCTGGGCCCCACCGTGGCTGTGCTCTGTGACCTACAGTTTCTTCTAGTGTAAAGTGGACTTAAAGTTTCTGTCCTACAATGATATTTGCAATATGCTGGGCATCTTTCAAAGAAAAAAAACCTCAAACCAAAAACTGCATTTATTCACAACTCACGAAATCTAATTTAAAATGAATAAATAAAAGTGCATTCCTAGGTAACTTTGCCCAGAATAGAGTTAGAGGCAAGGTCCTCAGTTGGAGAAATTGGATGCATCTTCTTGCATTGAAAATTTCCCCTTCTCATCAGTCTCCTTCAGTGAGAGGTTTCCCCAGCCTGGCCCATGTTAATGTTAAGCTCGATAGCTTTACTTTCAACCAAGGCAGCAGCTGCCGAGAGCTGGAAAAGCTGTTGTAACTGCATGTTGAGGTACCCTAGGTTTAAGTCCACCGTCTTAGAGCACATCTCCCCAGGGCTGGCTTCCCTCAATTGAGTAGGTCATGTCCTCCACTTCTCCACTCCAGGGTACCGGTGGGAACGGCAGCTGGTGTTCAGGAGTAAGCTGACTATGCACACAGCCTTTGATCGAAAGGACAACGCACACCCAGCTGAGGTCACTGCCTTGGGCGTCTCCAAGTAAGTGTCAGGCTTTTTCCAGCTCTTCATCCCTTCCGAGTCATTTGCTTAGCCAAGGGCCATATACTCCAGCCCAGTCTTTGGGGAAAACAGATTTCATCTGTATTATCATACATAGCTCAAAGAGATAAATTTGAAGAAGAACCTGTCAGTGTGTGGATATTTTTCTTTTCTTTTCTTTTCTTTCTTTTTTTTTTTTTTTTTTTTTTGAGACAGGGTCTTGCTCCGTCACTTAGGCTAGAGTGCAGGGCCACGATCACAGCTCACTGCAGCATCAACCTCCCAGGCTCAAGCATTCCTCCCACCTCAGCCCCTCAAATAACTGGGACTATAGGGACGTACCATCACACCCGGCTAATTTTTGTATTTTTCATAGAGTCAATGTTTCACCATATTGGCCAGGCTGGTCTCAACCTCCTGAGCTCAATTGATCCACCCACCTTGGCCTCCCAGAGTGCTGGGATTACAGGTGTGAGCCACTGTGCCTATACACTGGATTTTAATTCTGAATTTTTTTTTTAAGTGAAAAAACTACCTTTTTCGTTCTTCAGAGATACAGCAAGGGTGAGCCAAAGAAAGTTGTAATGAAAGTATAAATTTGGGTTCAGTTTGGTTTTTGTCTACTTCCCTGGGTGAATCAAGCGGTCTCTCCAGCACCCTCATCAGCCCCAACCCCAAAACACACATCCACCAAAACCAGAGAGCATCAAGGAGATCACAGACAACAGAGGCCTTCCATACAGTGACCTTCTTTGTCGTGTCTCCTGTAGGGATCACAGTAGGATCCTCGTTGGTGACAGTCGAGGCCGAGTTTTCAGCTGGTCTGTGAGTGACCAGCCAGGCCGTTCTGCTGCTGATCACTGGGTGAAGGATGAAGGTGGTGACAGCTGCTCGGGCTGCGCGGTGAGGTTTTCACTCACAGAAAGACGACACCATTGCAGGAACTGTGGTCAGCTCTTCTGCCAGAAGTAAGACAAGATACGTGCTTTTTGAATTTGCTTTGATTAAGCTCTAAGGATATTAATTATTCTCTGCACACAGGTTCTAATTTGCCCTGGAGTCCCCACTACAGTATGCCGTGTTAGGATGAACCAGTCTTCACCTTCTCTGTTCTTCTTTATTACTACAATTAGGAAATTTTTCTATGATAAAAGTCACAAATACCTTGTCATCCATGATACAGAATGCACATATGCTAATAATTCATTATATTTAATTTAGAGGCCTGTATGTGAAATGTCTTTATAAATACTATAGATACATGTTAAGTATCCTCTTTGTACCCTTCACCAATATCACACCCCTTCTCCATGATTTTATGCTTTCAGGAGCATGTGTTGCTTCTGTAAACATTACATAATACTGTTTTGTTTTCAACTTCACTTTTCAGCTTTATATAGTATACTGTTTTTACCCTTCTGTCACTTTCTTACTCAACATTGTTTTTGAAATCCACTTATATAGATAACTTATTCTAATATACTCATTTTAACTACGGTCAGTTATTTTATCATATGAATTAATCAGCATTTATTTCCCTTTTGATGCCCTCTCAGGGTTTTTTACACACAAGCTGGAATTTTTATCAATACTATAAATAATGCTACAGTGTACATCCCTGTAAATGCCCTTCTAATACACAAGCTGAAATTCCTCTAGAGATGGAATGAAATTGATAAAATACAGCTTTATTCTTGATATTAATTAGGTATTGACAAATTACTCTCCAAAACAATAGTGCTAGTTAATATTACTTCCAACAGGACATGGAAGTTCTCCAAATTCTTAAGTGTTACTGCCAAACTTTTTCCACTTTTGCCAATCTGATAGCTAAAAAGTAGTGCTTTGTTGTTTTAACTTCCACTACTAGCTAGTGAGATAACATCTTTTTTTTTTTTTTTGAGACAGTCTCGCACTGTTGTCCAGGCTAGAGTGCAACGGCGCAATCTTGGCTTACTGCAACCTCCTCCTCCTGCTTCAGCCTCCCAAGTAGCTAGGATTACAGGCGCCGCTGAATAGCTGGGATTACAGGTGTCCACCATCATCCACAGCTAATTTTTTGTGTTTTTATGAGAGACAGGGTTTCACTATGTTGGCCAGGCTGGTCTTGAACTCCTGACCTCATGATCCGCCAACCTCAGCCTCCCAAAGTGCTGGAATTAACAGGCGTGAGCCGCCACGCCTGGGCGAGACATCTTTTTATGTTTGTTGGCTATTTGGGTTTCCTCTTAGGTACTTTGCTTTTTTTTTTTTTGAGAAGCTATTTTGTGTTTTATTATATATCTTGCATATATGTTCTGCCAGTCTGTGGCTTGCATTTTAACTTGTGTGTGTTTGTGTGTATAGTCAGGCAAGTTTTTTAATTGGTTGCAGTCACAGTTACTACTCTCCATGAATTTTGCTTTTTTGTGCCTTAAGAATTCTTTTCCTCTCCTGAGATCACAAAGATCTTACTTATTTTCTTTTAAAAGTTTCAAAGTTTTATTCACATTTAAGTCTTTAATTCATTTGTAATTTATTTTTGGATATGACATGAGCCAAAGATCTATTTCTCCCCCATATGAAAGGTTAGTGGTCCCAGGGCTATAGATTTGACTGTTACCTCTGTCCTACACCAGGATCCAGATGCACATCCACAGTCTTTACTTTCCCTGCCAGACAACAGAAAGGATTCCTTGGACAATACACTTTAAAGCTTATATTGCCTTGCTCTGGAGATGCTTTCACAGAAATCATATTATTCTCAAATTGTGTAATTGTGAGGCAGTTCCTGGGGTTTTTAGGCAGTGTTGGCTTGTTGGTATGGGCATGGTTTTTGGGTTTACACTGACCAAATGTTCACTGTGCTACTTTCTGTCACCATAATGCCAGCAAGTTACCGAGCATCTCTGAGCTTCGGTTTCTTCATCTGTAAATGTGGGTAAGAAGACCAGTCCTCTTAGAGCTATTGAGAGAATTAAATGAGATCACATATATGAGTGTTGTAAAGTGCCAAGTTCAGAGTCTGCAAAACAGGTGTTCCATAATTTGATTTCTTAAACCTTTTCTGCTGAGCAGTCTGGTTCAAGATGAGGCAGCCAGAGTGTTGCTGCCAGCTATTTCCTATGGGAATTTCTGTGAGGCTGGCAGAGGATTCTTTCTAGTGGCTCTGTGCTTTGAAAGGCCTGCTCTATAAAACCTGTAGTGGTTTTATAAACCAGACATGGTAGCTCATGCCTGTAATGCCAGCACTTTGGGAGGCTGAGGTGGGCTGATCACCTGAGGTCGGAGTTCAAGACCAGCCTGGCCAACATGCCAAAACCCTATCTCTACTAAAAATACAAAAATTAGCCAGGCATGCTGGTGTGTGCCTGTAGTCCCAGCTACTCAGGAGGCTGACACAGGAGAATCACTTGAACCCAGGAGGCGGAGGTTGCAGTGAGTGGAGACCACGCCACTGTACTCCAGCCTGGGCGACAGAGCGAGATTCCAACTCAATAAACTAAATTTAAAAGCCTATAATGGGTTTTATAGAGCAGGCTTTTCAAAACACAGAGCCACTAGGCATATATATATATTTCTTGAGACAGGGTCTTCCTCTGTCACCCAGGCTAGAGTGCAGTGTGGCACAATCACAGCTCATTGTAGCTTTGGTCTCCTAGGCTCAAGCAGTCCTCCAACCTCAGCCTTCCAAGTAGCTGAGACTATAGTTGAGAGCCACCACACCTGACTAATTTTTATGTTTTTCATAGAGACAAAGTCTCACTATGTTGCCCAGGGTAGTCTCAAATCCGTGAGCTCAAGCAGTACCCGCCTCAGCCTCCCAAAGTGCTGGAATTACAAGTGTCAGCCTTGACACCCACCCTATTAATCTAGTAATTTCTAATAGCATTCTTGTATGTAAGCTGGCATACATCTGTTCTTTGTAGTGTTTACTTTTCAAAATATTGTTTAAATATAGATAACTTCTTTGAAATTATCCATTGCTCTTAAATGTTGGACAGAAGCGTTATTGGAAACTGACCAAACAGTGATAAGTTCTAATGAAGCAGGCACAGAAGGAAGTACTGTCCAGAACACACAGCCTGTGGTCTCTATGGCAGAGAGCTGTTGATACTTTTGAGGGTTCTGTAAGGCCCAGTGGCAATTCTTTATGTCCATAAGCTTATATTACTTAATTTACTCTCTGGACACTTTTACTGGTAGATTAATGGACTAAACATAAATCTCCATTTCAGGGCCAGGCACAGTGGCCCCGTCTGTAGTCTTAGTACTTTGGGAGGTTAAGGCAGGAAGATCACTTGAGGCCAGGAGTTTGAGGACAGCCTGGACAATGTAATGAGACCCCATCTCTAAAAAATGTTTTTTTTTAATTTCTCGAGTGATTTAATACCACATCCTGAATCACACCCAGCTTTATTCCAGGAATAGGAACTCTGAATACGTCTTAAATAATTTGAATATCTCTTAAGAATAGTTTCCTTCAAATAGTTCTAACAAGATAAATAGGAAATGTGGGTATTGGGACTGGAAAAGGAAAGCCAGTCTACCTGTTTAAGAAATGATTGAGGAGTGGATAAATCAAAATGTTTAAAACCACAGTGGAACTTGATAGTGATCAAACTGTCGTATTTCTCTTGGAAATTAGAAGACTCACTAATGAGTCATTAGTAATACTCTTGAAATTAGATACTCATTAGCTCACTAGTGAGTCTTCAAATTTCCACTAATGAGTTTTTCTAATTTCCAAGAGAAATATGTCAAGCTCCAAGAAAAGACACTGACATACCTCCCAAGCTTATAGGCCATGAGAATTAGTCTGTACAGGTAGAATGGCCTCACACCGCTGTTCAGACATCTTGGCCTTATTGTGTAGGAAAATCTTAACTTTGTTTTTTTGTTTTCATTTTTTCAATTTTCTTCAAAGAAATAGCTTCCCTGATTTAATACTACTTTTCTTCATAGACTGAAACAATACAGCATTCCTTTTAGTCCTTATTCAGCCACGTGACACAAACCAGTATGGCCTTTGATATTTTACTGCAAGCTTTCCATTGAATTACTAATGTTTCTGGTGCCAGTGATCAAGAATGGAAAAGACCTGTAATTCATTGACTTTTCCTTTCCTTTAGGTGCAGTCGATTTCAATCTGAAATCAAACGCTTGAAAATCTCATCCCCGGTGCGTGTTTGTCAGAACTGTTATTATAACTTACAGCATGAGAGAGGTTCAGAAGATGGACCTCGAAATTGTTGAAGATTCAACAAGCTGAGTGGAGACCACGGTCTGTAGACCCCATCCCGATTCTCCTGTCCCAGCTTGGAAGGCATTGAAAACAGTCTCCGTTTACACATCTCTTCATACCACGTGTTTGAAGTGTTAAAATTCAAAGGGATCACTGAATAAAACGGGTGTAGAGTACAGGAATGGGGCAGACACGATTCAGGTGAACAGCACAAGAAGAATATGAGGTGTTTCCTAGGAGCAACATTTTCGATATCCAGTTCTCCGTGATGGCAGTAGCTGTCTCCAGGCTACTTATTAACTGTCTTTTCTTGCATCTCATTTTTATAGAGCTACTCATCCTTATTTGGAAAAACCAACAACAAAAAAAGGCTTTTAGAAAATGGTTGTAAATCTTACTTCTTTGCAAGTAACTATGTATATTGTAAATAGATATAAAAGGCCTTTTTTCTAAATAAGGACTTAACTGCCTGTAACATGAAACTTCAAACTAAACCACTAACTCAATGAACTACTTATGGTTTGTCTGAGATCCCTCACTTACCAATTAATTATAAATATGTTTTTTTAAATTCCCAAAGACATTATCAGTGGTCTTTTTTTCCTTTCCAACTCAGCCTGTGTGCCTGATGTCATTTCTTTCAAGTTGCCCACAGTATCTCCACTTAAACTAGGCTAGTAACCAAAATAATGTGGACCTTCTTTAGGAAACTGTGTGGGGGAATAGGAGTCCAGCTGTAAGATAAACTAGGACTATTTGGGCGTCTTGTACCTGGCTACGTACCACCTCAGTGTTGTTCCTACATGAACAGGGCCCCTTTTAAACTTGTATGTGGACTGCTGTTTGGTCAAAGAATACCTTAGCATTGCAGAAAGGTGGCCAGATGACTGATGTAGTGCAGGAAACAGCCCTGTCTCAACTAATGGAAATATATTTGCATGTAACCCAAAATTAGCTTATCTTGCATAGAACATAGTAAGTATGTGTCTTTGGTGACACTGTTCTACTATAGCTTATTTTCAAAAAAAAGGGTAAAAAACGAAAAGAAAAAAGTGTACAGAATTAACATATAAACTTTGTTGTAAAACTGAATCATGTCACAACGGCTTAAAATTAACCTTTACCATTTAATGTCATCTACCTGAAAACAGTGAGATTTATACTGTATCAATGTCTATTTTTTTGTTTTTGCTATGAATATAATTACAGTATTTTAATATTTAGTTATTTAATTTGTTCTACTAGTTGGATACAGAACACACAAATCCAGGGGGATTAAAGCTGGAAGGGGCTAAGAGATTAGTTTACAGAGAAAAGGCTTGGTGGTGGGATTTTTTTAAATGTGTGTTATGTACATATATATATATAATATATATTAAAAAATGAAACAATCTAGATTTTAACATTTTCAGAAACTTAGTGATAATATTATGAACAATTCTAAAAGCCCTGTGATTTGAAAAATGTAGAATCATTAATGGCCCAAGATAGGCCTTCACACCCTCACAGGTGTGAAAGGAAAGGCCTTCACACCCTCACAGAGGCATCATGCAAAGGACAGCGGCTTTGGCTTTTCCAACTTTCCGTCTTTAGGCCCTGGTGAGAGGCACACTTATGCACTAAAATGCACATATATGCACATGCATTCAAAAATAGGCATTTGGTACAATGGTGATCTTGTACCTCATGGGCTGAAACCAGCTTAAGAACAAATTTGTTCTTCCTGATAACGATAACTAGGTCTCCAAGAGAAAATACAAAGGCTGCTTTAGTGCCTTACGCTTACTAAATTTAAATCTTTATTTACCTGGGTTTGAGCCTACAGTCTATTTATGATTACATATCAAAATTGATTAAAACACTTCCATTTCTAAAAGTTCAGATATACTTGTTAATAAAAGGATTATCGGCATTAATACTTCAACTTAAAGAAAAGTTGTGTTCTGTTTTCCTTTCTGTGTCTTACTCCCCCCACACCCTCCCTCCCCCATCACCATCTTCAGTTCTAATAAATAATGCGGATGTTCAGCGGTTGCAGAAACTGTGCTATCACGTAACTGTGGGCCTTGCCCCTGTCTGGCCCTCTAGATGAGTTGTAGCGGTGTTATTCTACACTTTTTAAAAAGAAGCGTCTTCTTTTGTCCATGAACCATGTTATCCCATACCCAGTGACAGAGGTGTTCTTTAAAGACTTGACTGTATGAATGTGTGTATGTAGTAACTTAAAGGTTATTCCTCTTTGTAATAGGAAACTATATGGGATGAACACTTTTAAACTTTCTGACACAACTTCCATGACTAGAAGGTGGAAACCAAAACCCTCAAGGTCGTATTTCCTCTGGCCGCTGGTGCTGTGGGCAACTGTTTCGTTCAATCAGGTTTCTTTTCTTTTTGCTTCTAATGCAGAAATCAGCAGAATCACTCACACATACAAGTACACTCACATACATGAACTAATTATTTCTCTGGATATCTTTCTGTGTTCCATGTAAATTCATTTACCAGCATCTGTTGTCAACATGTGCATCTCCCTATGTGTGGTCTGCATTCTTTTTCTGAGAGTACCTCACAGAGCTCCTGCCTGATCTTCGTAGCTTGTTCATTCATCCATCCACCTGTTCATTTGTTCATCCATGTATTCTAACATTTGTGTGTAGTGTGCAACTGTAATGTCATGCTTTTGAAGAAGAGAATAGCTGCCCATAGCAGCCATCTGTCTGGATAATAGCAAAACACTCTAGATAAGTTATTTTGCACTTTCTTATGTATAAAGTTGGTAGAAACTTATTTTTGCTTTGTATCATTTAAATACATTTTGTTTTGGTAAATGAACTGTGTATAAAATATTTATGCCGTTAAAACTGTTTTTAGAAAGTATTTTTAATTTCAGCAAGTTTGGTTACTTGTTGCATGACTATTAACACAGCTGACTTTTTGTGTCAGTGCAATGTATATTTTTTGTCCTGTTATTAACTTGTAAGCCCTAGTAATGGCCAATTATTTGTACAGCAAAAGAAGTAAATTGAAGATACTGGCTAAGACTGGATTGATTGTGGACTTTTGTACTATATTGCAGACTCCAATATCTGTTTCTTGGCGGTTATGTAAAACACCTGAAGAATTACTATCCAGTGTGCAATCTGTGATATCTGAATGTTCATTGTGTATTTGTCTCTGATGCAAAAAGGTAGAGTAACACAATTACAATACATGATTAAATGCAATAGTCCAGGTACTTAAGTAATTTTTTTATTTCAAATAAATACCTATTATTTATCACCAAAAGAAAGAAAAAGAAAAGTTGTTAAGTCAGTTATTCAGGGAAGGAAAAAATAGGTCTAATAACTTCCTAAACTTTATGTAGTTCTTTTCTAGTTGTAAACACTTTCAGAAGCACCTGCATAAGATTGCAGAAGTGTTGACAGTTAGGGTTCCCGTTTCAGTTCAGTTTGATCCCTCCTTAAAAATCAGGCTTGCTACAGTCTGAGATTCTTAATTGTGCTGGATTCCCAGGGCTGATGAGTGTATGTGGATGGCAGCAGGGAAAAGCAAGCCCCTTCTGGAGATGTCTCCTCAAATTTGACTGGACCTGTAGAGAAAGACATGTCTGCATGGTTTTGGCTCTTTTTTCCTGAGCTTTATTCTCTAGCCAAAATATTGTGAAAAGTAAGCAACAGTGTGTGTGTGTGTGTGTGTGTATATATATATATATACACACACATATATACATACAATGTGTTTCTCTTGCACTCCTACTGTAGTCACATCAGGCATATTCCAGTGTCCTGCCCCTCACCTCAAGTACAGCAGTCACTGTTATCAGCTGGCCTTTTCCAGTTCAGCCTTCAGTCTGAGAGTGTTAGAACTCACAATCCATTGTTCTTGTTAACAGCTTGTTTGGTCTTAAAATAGCCTTTCTGTAAAGAAGAGTGTAGAACACACTTTTTAAGTTTATTTAGGCTGTTTCAATGATGTTACTTTTCCTCTTTCTAAAGATACTAAATTCATTTTAAGCTTGAAGAGCAGAGCCCAAGATTTGAGGATATTTTGCTTATTACAAATTTTACCTCAGTGCAGCTCCAGTTTAGTAGCAGAAGATAAAGGAATGCCAAGAATTACTAAAACAATAGAAAACAATAGCAATTTCTTCAAAAATAAAAAAGTGGTAAAGGGGAAAGCTCAGAGCAGTTCCCATATTATTAATGCTGTATTATTCCCATATTATTAATGTTCTAGTGATGGGTTGCAGTCATGTATGGGCACTGCAGACTTCTCGGATACAGAAATTCAGAGTTTGAAAGAACAAACATGCAAATGATCTTCAGTGATTCAGTGAGTCCCTTGTCTGCCATTTGCTTCTCATCTTCAACAAAATTTTCCCTCAATGCCTCACTTTTGACCATTTGATGGAATTGGCCCACCACTGGGTTAGTCTTTTTGCTTTACGAATATTCTCATTTGCTCCCACCTATTAAAAAGCTCTTTTTTTTTTTTTTTCTTTTACTTTTGCTAGAGATAGCACCAAGCCAAGCTACCATGAGAGCATGGTGTTTTGGAGATCCCTCAATAGGAATTACCGCCAAGGCTTCAGTTCTAAAGAGCTTGGGAATTTAGAAAGCCTCTTGTTTAGCGCTTGCTCTCTCCATAGGGTTTTCCTATATCAGCAGCTGCCTGTGAGGATGGGAAGGGTCTAAGATAGGGCTGCTTTAAACTTTTTGGTCTGAGAACTCTTTGATCCTTAAAAATCTTCAAGGACCAACCCACACACACAATAGCTCTTGCTTATTTGGTTTATATCTATCAGTAGTCATATTAGAAATTAAAACTGAGATTTAAAATATATATGTCATCTCATTTAAAAATAGCAATGATAAAACCATGATGTATTAATATAAATTACATATTTCTGTAAAAAATATTTTCCAGCTGGGTGTGGTGGCTAACACCCATAATCCCAGCACTTTGGGAGGCTGAGGCAGGCGGATCACTTGAGGTCAGGAGTTTAAGACCAGCCGGGCCAATGTGGCAAAACTCCGTCTCTACTAAATTCATTAAAATTAACCAGGCATGGTGGTACACACCTGTAATCCCAGCTACTTGGGAGGCTGAGGCAGGAGAATCACTTGAATCCAGGAGGTGGAGGTTGCAGTGAGCCAAGATTGCACCACTGCACTCCAGCTTGGGAAACAGAGTGAGACTGTGTCTCCAAAAATAATAATAATAATATTTTCCAAACCATAAAAAGTTTTGTTTTTTTGCAAATTCATTTTTTGCAAATTTCTTTAATGTCTGGCTTAATAGAAGACAGGTGGATTCTCAGGTCTGCTTCTGCATTCCATCTGTTGTGATACTTTGTTTTGACTCGATTTATGGAAAAAGACATGTCTGCATGGTTTTGGCTCATTTCCTGAGCTTTATTCTCTAGCTGTCATATTGTGAAAAGTGTGTCTGTCACACCCCTACTATAGTCACATCAGGAATACACTGTTTTGGTTGAAGCATGAAGAAAATCCAACCTCATACATAAATTGTCTGAAAAGGTGGTGAATATTTTTTATTTTTATGGGCTCATAGTAAGTATATATATTGTGAGTTACATGTTATGTTTTGATACAGTCATACAATGTATAGTCACATCAAACTAAATAGATTATCACCTCAAGCATTTATCATCCCTTTCTATTAGTAGCATTCCAATTCCCCTCTTGGATATTTTCAAATATGCAGGAAATTATTGACTAGAGTCACTCTGTTGTGCTATCAAATACTAGATCTTACTCATTCTGACTATATTTTTGTACCCACTAAACATCTCCACTTTCCACCCTCCTCCCTGCTGCTCTTCCTAGCCTCTCATAACCCATCATTCTTATCTCTGTCTCCATGAGTTCGCTTGTTTTAGTCTTCAGCTCCCACGAATGAGTGAGCAAATGCAAAATGTCTTTTTTTTTTTTTTTTTTTTGGCGAGGGAAGGGTCTGGCTTATTTCACTTAACATAATGTCCTCTAATTCCATCCATGTTGTTACAGATGACAGTATTTCATTGTTTATGGCTGAATAGTATTCTACTGTGTATATGTGCCACATTTTCTGTATCTATAGACTCAGGTTGAGTTGAAATCTTGGCTATTGCGACTAGTACTGCAGTAAACATGGGAGGGCAGACATCTCTTTGATGTACTGACTTCCTCTTTTGTAAATATGCCTAGCAGTAAGATTGCTGGACCACATGGCAGTTTTAGTTTTTTTAGGAACCTCCATACTGTTCTCCATAGTGGTTGTACTAATTCCCAACAACAGTGTAGGAGTGCTCCCCTTTCCTGTCTCTTGGATAACAGCCATTCTAACTGGGGTAAGAGGATATCTCCTTGTGGTTTTGGTTTGCATTTCTGTGATGATTAGTGACATTGAGCATTTTTTCCATATACCTGTTTGACATTTGTATGTCTTCTTTTGAGAAATGTCTATTCAGATCATCTGCCCATTTTTAGTAGAATTATTAGATTTTTTTTTCCTACTGAGTTGTTTGAGCTCCTTATGTATTCTGGTTATTAACCACCATTGTCAGGTGGGTGGTTTGCAAATATTTTCTTCTATTCTGTGGGTCACCTCTTCACTTGTTGATCATTTCCTTTGCTGTACAGAAGCTTTTTAACTTGATGTGATCCTATTTGTCCATTTTTGCTTTGGTTACCTGTGCTGTTGAGGTCTTCGCCAAAAAATATTTGCCCAAAGTCCTCAAGTTTCCCCAATGTTTTCTTCTCGCAGCTTCATAGTTTTAGGTCTTAGAGTTAAATCTTTAATCAATTTTGATTTGATGTTTGTATATGGTGAGGGATAGGGAGTCTAGTTTCATTCTTCCACATATGGATATCTAGTTTTTGCAACAGGATTTATTGAATGGACTGTCCTTTCCCCAATGTATGCTCTTGGCACCTTTGTCAAAAATGAGTTTACTGTAGATTTATGGTTTTATTTCCGGATTTTTTATTCTGTCCCATTGGTCTTTGTGTCTGTTTTTATGCCAGTCCCAGGCTGTTTTGGTTACTATAACTGTAGTATAATTTAAAGTCAGGTAATGTGATTCCTCCAGTTTTGTTCTTTTTGTTCACAATGGCTTTGGCTATTCTGGGTATTTTGTGATTCCACTAAAATTTTACGATTATTTTTCTATTTCTGTGAAGAATGTCATTGGTATTTTTATAGGAATTGCATTGGATCTGTAGATTGCTTTGGGTAGTAAGGACATTTTAATAACACCAATTCTTCCAATCCATGAACATGGAATATATTTCCATTTTTTTTGTATGTCTTTTTCAGTTTCTTTTATCAGTGTTTTACAGTTTTCATTGTATAGATCTTTCATGCCTTTGGTTAAGTTTATTCCAATGTATATTACTTTATTTATAGCTATTGTAAATGGGATTACTTGATTTCTTTTTCAGCTTGTTCACTGTTGGCATATGAAAATGTTACTGATTTTTGTATGTTAATTTTTGTATCTTGCAATTTTACTGAATTTCTCAGTTCTAATTTTTTTAATGGAGTCTAGGTTTTTCCAAGTGCAAACAAGAATAACTTGACTACTTCTGTTCCGATTTAGATGCCTTTTATTTCTTTCTCTTTTCTGATTTCTTGAGCTAGGACTTCCAGTGCTATGTTGAGTAACAGTAAAAGTGAGCATCCTTGTCTTGTTCTAGATCTTAAAGGAAAGGCTTTCAGTTTTTCAAGCTAGAATATTATAATTGCTTTTTCAGATCATTGCTTCTTAATAGTTTTAAGTTTTTTAATAGTTTACGTTTCTTAAAGATTGATTACTATGTGGACTTCAAAATGATGCCAATCAACTTTCCATATTCTAATGACATTAAAATCCATGGGTCTGTTTTGCACTTTGAATTTATTTTTTTACCCATCCATAATTTTATGGCATAATGCATTGATCATTTAGAAAATAATTTTTAAGTTCTGATTCAAGAACCAGAGACAAAAAAAGATGCACTTATGTAGCAGTATTACTAGTATTATAGTGTATGTAGAACTTCTAAATGTTGACATATTTCATTGTATATCAGAAAATCACATTATTATCTATATTAAAATACCAGCAGCATCAGGAAATTATAAGTCATAGTGACACACAAATTATCCAAAAAATTCTTATTTTTTCTTAAAACCTAAAATGTTATCATTGGCAATAAATACTGTCTGCTGTTTTCTTTGA